CCGCGACAAAATACCGCGATTTTGTAGTCGAGGTTCCAACTTCCTAAGTGTCGCGGTCCTCGCTTATGTAGTATTTCTGGCATTGGTACCTACTTTTATTTTATACTACCTACCTAGTCCCACAAACCACTGTCAAAAAAAATCTTTATTGGTAACCGGTTTCGGCAATTCCAGCCATCATCAAACCTTAAAAATAAATATAAACAATAAAACTTATATAAATGTATAAAAGCAAGTCAAATTTTCATTTTATTTTATTTGCTTTTACCTTTCATCTTTCAAACAACGCTATTTTATACCATGCTTAGTACATACCAAAAATCGCTATTTCAAAAGTAACGTAGCGACGGACGGCGACGGGAGCACCCACGCCAATAGTAACCGACCCAATCGCTACAGGCGAAAACGAAACCCTAGAAGCGCTCCAGCGACTGCTGGAACGAAGTAAGCCGCCTCCCAGGTCGAGCGTCGATAGCCAGTTACAGCAGTTACTTCTGTTCGCGACAGGGAACTGAAACTCTAGGAGCGCGACGGCTGGAGCGAAGTAGGCCGCCGCGGCGCCGAGGTTGAGCGTCGATGCCGAGTTGCAGCAGTTACGCGACAGGGAACTAGAACTCTAGGAGCGCGACGGCTGGAGCGAACACGTCGCCATCGAGATCGCCCGACGCTACATACAGTTCCAGTAACTATTGTAGGCGACCATAGTAGGCGACCGACGAAATCGCGACGGGTGGAGCTAAACACGTCGCTATGCGGTTACTACGGTTCAAGCTAACTTCAAGAGCGATTATAAATAATTTATTTGCAAATTATAAATAATTTATAATTTTGTCGTCATTTTGATCGTCGTTCTTCAGTAACAGGTTCCCCATTCGTTGTGGAGCGCGACACGGCGTTACAAAAAAATACCGCTTCAAAATCGCGTTACTCAAATACCGACACATCACTAGTTCTATTGGAATAAAATTTATTCAATTCAAACAGACCATTATTTTGCCTACAAAAGTCCGTAATACTTCTTTTAAGTCCCTAATATTTATTTTAAATACAAAAAAACATACAAATACAGGGTGAGTATTAAAAAAGTGCAAATAATTTCAGGGCTGGTAGATCGCGATAAAAGAAACATATATTTGCTCTTTACCGTTTTTTTAAATAAGTCCTAAATTAAAAGACTTATTTTACCTTGAAAATTTCAAAAAAAAATATATTTTTGCTTAAATTTTGAGAACCGCTAGATCTTTTCTGGGTTTTCTTTCTTGTAAATTTAATCCACTACCTATGTTGCTTTATTAACACGAAATTATGGGTTTTAACTAAAAACTAAAAAAAAAAAACTAAAAAAATCGCGAAAAAATCTCATCGTGTTTCTGGAGTCGAAATATACTTCCTCTAAAATATTTGCACTTATTCAAGACTCGTCCGGTATATTACTAGAAAAAAATCAAATAGCCCACTTTATAAATACAATCAGAATTTATGTTAAATGAAATAATACAAATTTTAATTAATGTTAATGAATATTAGTCAAATAAAAAGCAAATAAACCATTTACTTATTTGCCAATTTTCAAAACTTTATATATTATGTGTATGGTATAATAGTGTATATTTTTAAAACCGAGCAGTTAAAAAAATCATGTGCCTGTCTAATGTTTTAAAGTCTACATAATATATGTAGTTGGCTCACTGATCTGATAATGTGACTCAGATAAAATGTATAATCGTAATATTGACACAGATTTTTGAATATTGGGTACATTCAGGTGAGATAAATCAATACTGAAGCTTCCTAAACATATTATTCCATAGTTAAGTAAATCTTTAGAAAAGTTGTTCTCAAAATCTTATTCTCAATTTCACCAACATTTTTATACGTTTTACAATTCGAGTACATCCAGGTAAAAGTACACAAAATGTAAAACAAACCTTTCGACAGTATAATGGCCATAGAGAAAGATTTTTTATCACTTTTTCTATGATAGTATCTAAAACTGCAGAAATAGAAAATAAAAACACTTTATAATAAAGGTTTTATTTTAAAAAAAAATATGAAAAAAAAAGACAACCACCCAAGAAGAAATTCTGCAGAAGAAATTCTAATAAGAATGTTTATAACTGTCGTTAACGCTTACAGCTCTTGTAACTTTAAGGAATTTTTATTAAAATACTTATTTAGATATTGCTAGATATATGCCTCCGAAATGTATAAATAATTTATAAAGTCAATCTACCTCTTAAACAAAACCGATTTTCGAAAAGCAAAAGAAACCTACACGATCATCATTTTGCAGTTTGTTTTGAGGTATGAAAAATTTGCGGTTTTTGCAAAATGGACCATCTTCGTTTTCCAAGTTAAATATGTACTTATGTTTCACTGTGAGAAGGAAAGTGGAAACTAGCCAACAGATCATATTTTATTTGAAAAAGGTGACATGACCCAATATTTCCACATTATATTTTACTAAAACACAAGCTTTATTTTTTTTATATCTACAACAAAGGCGTTGGAATCTTTGGTGTTACAACAGCAAAATAAAACACTATTACACCACAATACAACAAAACACTATAATTTTACACTGGACGCGCGTTTTGCTAACCAAGCATCAACAGTCAACAGATGATTAAAACTCATGTCTTAGTTTCTCTCATCAATAATAATTAGTGAAACTCTCGTATAAGTGTAGTGTTTTGGTGTATTGTGGTGAACTAATATTTTATTTTGCTGGTTATAGTTTATAGTAAATTATTTCATAAAATCTGTAGTACCAAAGAAGATTAATTTCACTAAAGAAAGTTATATTAAAATATACCATCTGCCTTGTGTTTCCCATATCATGTCTTTTACTTCACATTTTACCTAGGTATCAGATTAAAATTATTTTCTTGTATAATAATAGCACAGTGTCTGTGATAATAGATAGATGTAGGAACATATCACAAAATTTAAAATTATACAATACATGAATAAACATCATAAACATTGCACTACATTTTCAAAAATAACAGAATATATCTACTAAATAAACATAAATTTAAAAAATACAAAAATATAAATTTAATTTATAATATTAACAATTCTAATACCAATATGACGATCTTGTATTTATGATTATAAATTAATCAATATTTTAATTAGTTTAAAGGTCAGCACAAAACATCCCCCTTTAGAACTTTTTCTTTAATGGCCATAAGCGGGAGTAAAAGCCCAACCGCCCGAACAAACACTAGAGGCGCCACCGATCATCAAATGGTGTAAAAATTACGAAAATTTAATCATCTAACTTTGACACAAGGGGTCGCGCTTAACTTTTTCAATTTTAATTCAATATTCATTGTTTTCAAACTATATTATAGACTTTGTTGTATTTTGTGAATATATAAATGTTTTCTTAGTATAAAGTTGCATTATAGTAATTTAAATTACATTACATACATATTTAAGATTCAAATATTATGACATATATGTCAGTTGCCGTCTAAAATGTCATCTTGATAACAAAAAGTTGTTTATTGTCAAAAGTAGTTAAAATCATGTTAAAATATTAAAATTTACAAGTTATAATTAGATATTTTATATTATTTCAACAACAAACACATAATAGTACAGCGTAATGTTGATATGCAGGTCCAGAACAAAAAGTGCCGTTATATTTTTCAGTTTTCGTTGTCAGCCGCGGAAGTTTCAGTGATTTTAGTGTTGTCGGATATTTTTATTTGTAAAATAGAAATATTGCGTTTGGATTGCAAAACTAAAAGTGGAAGTTTTATTGCAATGTAAGTAAGCGTTTGTCCATTTTATATTTTACTTTTTTCATACCTACGACAAATATACATATATTGAAATTTTATAATTCGTTTTATTTAAAAAATGTTAGAAAACAAGCTTGTAATCCTGTAATTGACATAATTGTTATGTAATATATTCTATTTAAATGTAATATATTACTTTACAATTAAAAAAATGTAAATTTAAAATATATATTAAAAATATATACAGGCATTAAATGAAATTTTTGGAGTGCGAACAAACACGAGAGGCGCTTTATTATTTACTTTCATTTCTTAACATGATAGACGAAGTTCTAAAGGGGGATGTTTTGTGAAGGTCAGTTGAAAATTATCAAACATTAGCGATATCCAATAAAAACAAAGAACATTTAAAAAATTAAATATAAATAATCACGATTTCATTACCCAATAATAATTGGTTATAAATAAAAAATACTTATTTTATAGACTAACCTGATTTTGATAACCTATATCTTGAAACCCAATGTACGCACTAATAATTGAAAAATTATGTAAAACCGCCATAACTCCAATAGTTTAATAAACAAATTAAAATGAAAATTTAAAAAGTTAGCCCCATTTCAAGTGAAAGACCCCCAACGTTTATTGATTTTTGTTTTTGACACAGCCCAACAGTAGTTCAAATATAACCTAAAATCAGGGATGAGCTTCAATATTTTTTTCTTAGACAAGGAAAGTTTTTTTTACGTTTGGTGTAAAAAAATACGCTAAAAGTTGTTAAAAATTGTAAAAAGTAAATTGCCTAAATTTCTAATAAACCAGAAGGCATGTTTTATCCTATTTTCCTCCTATATAATAATTATATTCCGATTTTTACATCCCATAATTGTAAAGAATTGCGTTGTTTTTACAGAATAATTGAAGTGTGTTTTGTAAATGTTTTAATGTACAGGTTAAACATTAAAGGGGCATACCCCTTGGGTATAACCCTTAAAGGCATTTAAAGTTTCAGCATTCTAAAGAATTTTACATTTTAAAACTTAAAAATCGATAATGTAAATAAAGTTTTTGAAGCGCCCATTCCTACTTATGATGGCCTCAGAACATTTTTAATATTAAAATGAGCCAAATTATAGGCAACCAATTATACAGAAATTTATTATTCCCGTTTTTTTTGAAAATTAGAAATAAAATTATTAGTATGTCTATAATTAATAACTGATTTAAAAATAAATAATACATATATTTTATAAACAATTAGCACAACAAACGACTTGATACACCATTTATTTAATAACAATTTAACTAAGTAAATATTTTATTACAGTGCATTATAAATTATATATCAAAAATAACATAACTAAAGATATAATCACATTATTAAACTGTCCTATATAAACTATGTTGAAGAATATTCTGATCGTTTAGTATTACAATTTAGACAAAGTAGGCGGCCATCAATAGGGTAACACCTTCCGCTTTCTCCTTTCTGGGAAAAAACAAAACCACAGTCCTACAAATAAAATAATTACTTTATATAAGTAAAATTTCAATGGTGCTTTATAATAATTCAGTGTATTTGTGAATTCCAGTCATATATACCTATTTTTTAAACAAACAATAGTAAATTACTATTTATAGTATATGTGTAAGAAATACCGTATGATCGAAAAAAACGGCGTCCAGTTGGCAGGGAAATGAACATCAATGACATTTCCCATATAAATTTACATTTAAAATGACAGCGATCTTCATTCCATAGCCATCGCTGACGCCGTTTTTTCTCGATCATCCTGTATTTTATTTGCCTACCTCACATTTAAAACATTCAATATGAAAACTATGATCCATAGCGATAATTCTAACTACTTCTACTTCGCCTGGTGGTGGAATAATTAGTTGTTTACATCCCCAACATTTGGGCATATATTTCCTTAAAACATTTTTAAAACAAGTTTAGACTAATGTATAGGTATAAAGCATCTGATATAATTTTACCTGCTATAATCTTCAATGCAGTAAATATCATTCGCTTCATTGGCAGTGAAAGGTAACCCTGCAAGAGTTTTACCACAAGCAACACAACGAAAGCATTCAGGGTGATAAAATTGATCCTTGCCCTTTAACAATTTCCCAGTAACTACTTTCTGACATATAGCACATTTTTCTAAAGTTGCCTAAGAAGAAAAAATATTAAGGGTTTCAAAAATGATAATAAAATATAAAATTTGCAAATTAATAATCGCCATTGGAGTAGTGGGTCACTATGTATATTTTAGTTAGTAAGTTTTTGTTGCTCAAGGCTAATAAGCTCGAGAGGATGGCAGTTTCTATTGACTCATAATATTAAAATTAAACATATATTTATAATAATAATGACTAATTTATATTAATACTTAAATAATTAGATATTAGGTTCCTAATTACATATTTATCCTATTAAATTCCGAAATATATATTTTAAAAAATAGTAAAATACATCAAAAGGAAAAGCAATTTCAACAACGTATGAGACTTAAATAAGGTAATAAAATATTAACCAGTAAATACAGTCACAGACTAACTTATCAAAATTTATATTTTAATCACTTGTGTTAGTAGTATTTTAAATATATGCCAAAAAGGCTTTGTGAAAAAAATCAGAGTACCTACATTGAAATGGACATTTCAGAAAATTTGTGAATTTTTCTAGAGATTGAACTACTAGAATAAAAATATAATAAAAGCATCAACATGTGAACTACATTTTGCCCTTTACATGACGACTGTTCAATATACAGGGTGTCCTAAATAAATGCAAATATTTTCAGGGCTGGTAGATCTCAATAAATGAAACATATTAATTTCCCTTTACCGTTTTTCAAATAAATCCAAAATAACCGAGTTATTTTACTTTAAAAATTGCAAAAAAAATATATTCTTGCTTAAATTTTGAGAACGAACTTTTAAAAAAAAAGTTTCGAAAAAAATCATAATCGTGTTTCTGGGGTCAAAATATATTATCCCTGAAAATATTTGCACTTATTTAAGACTCACCCTGTGTATATTTATACGAATAAGTACCCAAGCTTTGCTGATACCACACTGATACCTACGACTTAGTTATCCAATGCTGGCGCAGAAAGCGCAACGGCAAACTAAGTAAGAAAACGGCAGTAAGAAACTATTCAATTTATTGGAAGAAAAATCAAAGTGTGTCTGGTATATACAACAACAAAATAAAACACTAAATCAGCACAATACACCAAAACACTTTCCGCCGCGGACGCGCGTTTCGCTAACCATGTTAGCATCATCAGCAGACTGATGATAAAATACTAATGAACTAAAATACAATCTACAATTGGAGCGTTTATATCTTGGCTAGATCTTGCCACGCCCACTTTGTGCTCAGTGAGCACAAAGTGGGCGTGGCAAGATCTAGCCAACCGAGTCAGAACCCACCGAGCATAACAGTTAGATTTCCGCCACTAGAGTAGTAGGAACAAAGAACTTGAAGGAATTGGCCCGTTGTCTCTGTTCATACTATCTTTATATTTATTAATTCTGATGCTTTCATATGCATCTAATTGCCTGTAATTTGAGACTTATTTTCGTTTAAGTAATTTTAAGTTATTAAGTTCTATACAATGTTCTTTATCAACAATATGTTCGGCAACGCAAGATTTATCAGGTCTGCCATATCTTATCTGAGCTGAATGTTCTTTAAATCTAGTTAATATTGATCTTCTAGTTTGCCCAACATATTTCTGATTACAATCTTTACAAGAAATTTCATAAATACCCGACCTTTCCAGTAGAGGTGTTTCAATAATTATTAGGTAATCCAAAGGATAAAACACCTCTACTGGAAAGGTCGGGTATTTATGAAATTTCTTGTAAAGATTGTAATCAGAAATATGTTGGGCAAACTAGAAGATCAATATTAACTAGATTTAAAGAACATTTAACTCAGATAAGATAGGGTAGACCTAATAAATCTTGCGTTGCCGAACATATTGTTGATAAAGAACATTGTATAGAACTTAATAACTTAAAATTACTTAAACGAAAATAAGTCTCAAATTACAGGCAATTAGATGCATATGAAAGCATCAGAATTAATAAATGTAAAGATAGTATGAACAGAGACAGCGGTCCAATTCCTTCAAGTTCTTTGTTCCTACTACTCTAGTGGCGGAAATCTAACTGTTACGCTAGGTGGGTTCTGACTCGGTTGACTAGATCTTGCCACGCCCACTCTGTGCCCACTGAGCGAGTATATAAACGCTCCAATTGTAGATTGTATTTTAGTTTATAATCATCTGCTGATGATGCTAACATGGTTAGCGAAACGCGCGTCCAGTGTAAAACTAAAAGTGTTTTGGTGTATTGTGGTGATTTAGTGTTTTATTTTGCTGTGTAACACCAAAGGTTCCAACCCTCAACTGTAATATACAACAAGAAAAATATAAAAATAACCTTGTATAAGTATATACAAATTTATATACAGAGATTAGTAAGAAAACCACAGAATATCTATAGCTGCGCAATAAATATTCTGCCATAAAATCCTACTAATATAATGTACAGAGTAGAGAAAAAATACTTACTAAATAATCATCCTCACAGTAAGGTTCACCTCCAACAGCATAAAAAGATTTCCCTTCCAGATTTATACGACACACGTAACATTTAAAACAATTATAGTGGTACAATTTATTTATGGCAGTACATCCATCGGCAGCATCCAATACCTACATATAAATGCATAAGTTAAATAAGTTTTAGATTTAGCAAAATCTAAAAATCTGATTAGATGTTGCAAAGAAAACATCTGTAAAGGAACTAAAATGACAGAGATCTTCATTTCAAAGTCATCACTGACGCCTTTTTTTCGATCATATTGTACTATTATTACGTTTATATAAATGAAGTATTTAATAGACGGATTTGCAAGTTAATGTTTGATTTTAGTACTTTAAAGTGTTAAAAGTAAAATTATATTTTTTAATTAATATATTATATAATCACTTACCTTTAATTAATTAATTATTAGTTTAATGAATATTATCATATATGTTACTCAGTTATAGTTACTTACTTTTTTATGACATTTTACACAAGTTCCATAACTCTTATTGTCATCCAGTTTATATTTGTCATCCATAAAATCAACTAACATATTTGTAAAGCTGTCCCTACTGGATTCCCTATTATACTCCCTATCTACAAGTGTAATATTCAGAAAAAATTGAAAAGATCATTACTTTACAGTATAATGTAAATATGTTTCCCTTCATTACTTTATTGATATTTATAAATATTTATTATGTATCTCTCGGTAATATAACCGAATACCATATGATGGATTTAGATATATAAATATTTTATTTAGTCTAGTAGGTCCTATAAAGTATTTATATTTTATATTTGGACATTTACCAGTTTTGTCCCTTATGTCTTTTGTAGTTTGATGGTCTGAAACGGATCCTGTATCAATTCCATCATAATTTCCGGCTTGCCCTCGAGAATTTCCGTCGTGGTCCAATTGACCCTGCAATAGTTGATAGACCATATATCTTACATTTAGGTAGGTACTACCTGAGATATACAATTTTAAAATAAAAACCAGAAAAATACACTTCTACAAACAAATTATTATTATAAGAAGCTGAACGTTGACTTCCCGGTAACTTCGTTGTTAGTAAAGCAAGAATATTAATTTTTACTATACAGGGTGTCTCAAATTTTAATCGGGAAAATTTAATAGACGATAGAACTTGCAAAAATAAAACAAAAAGTTCATATCAACTTGTAAGATTTAAAGCTTCCTTTTCGAGATACAGGGTGTTAAACTTACTTAAAAAAGAAAAAAAAGATATTTGAAAAACTATTTAATCGATTTTGATATAACTTGACCCGTTTATAATACTTACTATGGGACTTAATTTGATGTAATTAGATTTAAGTTTAATTGCCAGGGGCGGCGGTGAGGCATCACTGTTAAATTATTTTAAAGGAAAAAATAAGCACACCACTGCTTTTTTAGAAGTTTAATATTAATTTTGGATTTAGTAATTAAAAATATTATTTTTTTGTCTCCTGACTTTTTTGTCTATCTTGCTTACTTCTTGCGAAAAAAATTAAATTCTAATTAGTAATTAATATTATAATTGGTATTCTAATGGTACCCTGTATCTCGAAAAGGAAGCTTTAAATCTTACAAGTTGATATGAACTTTTTGCTTTATTTTTGCAAGTTCTATCGTCTATTAAATTTTCCCGATTAAAATCTGAGACACCCTGTATAATCAAGAGGAAATACCATAGCTGGCCATATCGCCAATATACCGGGTGCGTCTCAAAAGTGACTCACCACTATAACTTTTTAATTTTTTCCGATAAAAAAACGAGATTTGGTATGTTAGTATATGACATAAATTGGGATTGATTGAGGCATTCAATTGTTTTTGGTCACTTCCTGTTTCACCGAAAATGACTACAACTTTTGATATTTAAATGGCACCCCCGGAATATTTCTACTTATTCGATAGAGAATGATATTCTGAATAGAATGACGTATCATGTGTCAACTTTTGACATTCTCGCTTAATAAAAAATTGTATTTTAAATTTCAAACTAGAGTACCATGGCTATGTTAAAAACACTAATTCTTAATCAAGGAGCCTTGGAAAAATAGATTTGATCGTCTAATGTTTTTAGTGTCTTGTCCTGGCCGGTTAAAAAATGGCCAAATCGTATTTTTAATCATATCTTAATTTTTTCAAATGGAACGAGGGTGGCTCATTAGCATATTTGGAAAAAGCATTTTTTTACGAATAATTTGATACCACACACTTGGTATATTTCGAGTCAAATTTTCGTTACGAACCGCAAGTTATAATTTCAAATAAACCATATGCAAAAATGTCAAAAGTTGACATATGACATGTCATTGTATTCAGAGTGTTATTTTCTATCGAATAAAGTAAAAGAATACCGAGGGTGCCATTTAAATATCAAAAGTTGTAGTCATTTCCCGAGTCATTTCCGATGAAACAGGAAGTAACCAAAAACAATTGAATACGTCAAGCAATCCTAATTTATTTCATATACTAACACACCAAATCTCGTTTTTTTTACTAAAAAATAAAAAAAGTTATATGGGTGAGCCACTTTTGAAACCCACCCGGTATCTAGTAATTATACACATAGAGTCAAAAATTAAAAATTATACCTCATAGTTTATGAATTATCGCTTGTCAAATTTCTTTAATTTCGACAGTGGCTCACTGACAGCATCATTCAAACAAAATTCTAAGGTACTTCTAGTAGTTTCACAAACTTCAAATTTTAGATTTTAGGTAGCTTAAGCTTATAACGGAAGGAAAAAAAAATCTCGAAATATCACTATGGATTAGTTAAGTGTCTAGCCGCTACAAGCAACTGAGTTTCAACTCGATAAAAAGTTACAAACTAAACTATGTTTCTATTTCCAAATGCGAAGGCTTAAAAGTAAATAAAAAATAATATTAACCTGTGAGAGATTATTGTTTTGACTACTCGCCCCTTGTCCATATTTATTGAAAGTTGCACAATGAGCCCCTGATGATGGTGTAAAGTTCCGTTTATCGTAAAGAGCATCAGACAATTCCAGGTTACTTAATGAATCATCTAATACAGGTGGTGGTGATGGAGGTAGTGGAGGTGGAAGGTCAAGGTTATCAATTTCATGATTGAACTTTTCTTTCACCCTGGTATAATAAAGAGCCTTAGCCCACGGCCACACAGAAAGCGTTTTTAGCGTTTTGCGTTTTTTGCGTCTCAAGCGCTTTTTGCGATTTTACCGTTTTAAGCGTTTTTTTCGATTTGTGTCCATTAAAAACACGCAAAAGGCGCTGCAGGTCTGCAGTTTCTATCAAGATGTCAATTAGTAACGTCGCAAGCTGGTGGATTCCCGGCCCGTCCAACAATCAATCCTGTGAGAAAGAGATAGGCGAGATCGGCGCCATTAGCGTTGAAGAGACGAAGATAAAAGATGCTGGGATTGAATTGTGGACGGGCCGGGGCATATATTCTGAGAGAAACACAATCTACTACTAGTGCCAGTGGTGTGTGTAAAAATAATAATTATTATTTACCATTTATTTTAGGAATTTTAGTTTATAAGTGTATATTTTTTTTATGTTGTAGTGTTGTGGTTAGTACTTGTTATAATTATAATATAATATAATAAATAATTATAATTATATAATAGAATAGTAAATATTTCTAGTTGCTAATGCAATTTTAGGACATGATTTATGAAACATTTTGGAGTAATTTCTTTACGCGCGCTGGGGGTAAAAATTCAAAACCGTGACATACGAGCTAGTGAGACGGCTTTGACACACGAGCACGTTGTAACGAAACGTGTTAACGGCTTAAAAATACGTAGTGACCATAGATAAATGCAACAAGTTTAGATTGGAAAGCCCGTAAAAATTTTAGGTCGCGAAATTATTTTGGGTCGCGACCGTTATACGCGATCTGGCGCTGCTATAGCGGTCGCTAAGAACAACGGCGAACAAAAACAGAAATAATTTTCTCTCGTCAAAGTCAGAATCTTCAAAAATCATAATAATCTTTCAAAATCTAAACCGCTCTCATTAAAGAAATTCCGAAAAGTGTTTATAGCGTCCATTTACAAAGTAATAATTGCTATCTTGTGAGTTTAATTCAAGTTTTATTTACTCCAACCGGTGATAATTGTGAAAAAGTGGCATTAAAAACTTAAAAAGCTGTGCTGTGAACTGTGAACTGCAAAAACCATCGTGGATCGTGGCATAACGTCGGTTTCCAATGTTTCATAGGAATTTCATACATGCGTCCTTATATAAAATAAAGTTTCTTGTATGCAACACACTGTCTTTTATTTTATAAAATTAAATGAAAATAATAATAAATTTGAATAAACAATATTTGGCGATATAATTCCGGAAAAAGCCGAACCGCTCCGAAATTTTCAAAAGTTTTGGGTCGCGACCGTTGCAAAAATAGCGCCAAATAGTGTTTACATTGTCCTTATGGGCACTTTCCAATCTAAACTTGTTTCATTTATCTATGGTAGTGACGCGACGTGTATTTGTGAGCAGTCCACGTGTTTATCAAAAATATTGATATTTTAATACAAATTTTGTAAAAGTGAATCAAATTATTATGTATAAAAAACATTAGTTACACGTAAAAAACTATTTTTATTATTTTACGCGAATAAAACTGTTACACGTAAAAAATATTTTTTACGCGTATAAAACTATTTGTTGCTGGTAGAAAAGTATTTGTTACTGGTAGAAAACTATTTTTTACGCGTATACAACTATTTGGTACGTGTAGTCAACTATTTGGCACGTGTCAAATCTATTTGTTACACGTAAAAAACTAATTTTTACGCGTCAAAAACTTTTTTTTTACTCGAAAAAAATATTTATTACTTGTCAAAAAACTATTTGTTACACGTAAAAAACTATTTTTTACGCGTCAAAAACCATTTGTTTCTGTTAAAAAAAAACTTTTTTACGCAGAAAAAAAACACTTTTTACGCATAAAAAACAATTTTTTACGCTTAAGAAAATATTCCTTTAATTTATTACTTTTTCAACATTTCAAACTACAATTTTTCAAACATTTCCTTCAAATTTTCGAATTTAATTGAATCTTCCTAAACAGTAGATGTTCTTTATAAAAATATTTTTAGATAATACCCTAAAATGAAAAAAATGCATACTATTTAATTTATTTTTATTGTATTATTAAATATAACGTCCGCCTATGATGGAGTCTCATCTTAGAAAACGCTAAAGACGCTACAGAAAACAAACTGATTTGTTTTCATTTGCGTTTTTTGCGAGACACGCCGAACGCTACACGCTTTTGGTGTGGCCACTCCTATATAATACCGTTATTTTGTTTTAGTCGCTAAAGACGCTTCACGCTAAAAACGCAAAAAACGCTTTCTGTGTGGCCGTGGGCTTAAGATCTATTACAAATTACAAATACAAATACATATACAGTTGCATTTGTATCTGTTATGCCGGGTCCAGACCAAGGGACAACAAATAAACACGATTTTGAGACAAAAACAAGACAATATAGATAAATGAAACAAGTTTAGATTGGAAAGTGCCCATAAGGACAATGTAAACACTATTTGGCGCTATTCTTGAAACGGTCGCGACCCAAAACTTTTGAAAATTTCGGAGCGGTTCGGCTTTTTCCGGAATTATATCGCCAAATATTGTTAATTCAAATTTATTATTATTTTCGTTTAATTTTATAAATTAAAGACAGTGTGTTGCATACAAGAAACTTTATTTTATATAAGGACGCATGTATGAAATACCTATGAAACATTGGAAACCGACGTTATACCACGATCCACGATGGTTTTTGCAGTTCACAGTTCACAGCACAGCTTTTTAAGTTTTTAATGCCACTTTTTCACAATTATCACCGGTTGGAGTAAATAAAACTTGAATTAAACTCACAAGATAGCAATATTACTTTGAAAATGGACGCTATAAACACTTTTCGGAATTTCTTTAATGAGAACGGTTTGGATTTTGAAAGATTATTATGATTTTTGAGGATTCTGACTTTGACAAGAGAAAATTATTTCTGTTTTTGTTTGTCGTTGTTCTTAGCGACCGCTATAGCAGCGCTAGATCGCGTATAACGGTCGCGACCTAAAATAATTTCGCGACCTAAAATTTTTACGGGCTTTCCAATCTAAACTTGTTGTATTTATCTATGCAAGACAACTTGTCACAAAAAATGGAGACTTCTGACAAGACAAACATGAGACAAATTGTCCAAACCACAATGACAAAAGTACAAAAAATGTCAAAAGTTATTGCCAATGAGTTTTATTAACTATGTGTAATTTCACTTGTCTCCTACTGCTGGCAGCACACGCCATCCACACTGCGCCGACAACTTGTCGCAAAATATACGAACAAAATATAGACACTCTGATCTTTACCGACTGGAGACGGGACATTGAAAAGTCTCCAAATTTTGAAATAAAACAAAAATGAGACAAAAATGTCGCAGAAATATATTGGATTTGTCACAACTTTGTCGTAAAACATGAATGTTTCTGTCTTGTCACTGCACTATGGTTTCTAGAAGCTACTTTTTTGGCCAAAATTAAACAACTTACATTTAATGGAAAATATTGACTGTAAATTTGTATTTTTAATAAAATAATATAAGACTAATAAAACGAAGTTATTTTTAATCTTGTCATTCAACGTGTGATTAACTTTTACCTATGAAGCATCTTCTGTATCTAGTTCCAAAAAAGAAAGTTGATCAATAATCGAATTACTGCTGTCCAAAAAACAATCTTCTTTAGAAATATCTTCCTGCTCTTCTTCTTTTTGCATTTCTTCTTCTTGCTCTTCCTCCTCGTGTTCCTCTTCTTTTCCATGCTTCTCTTCAAATTGTTCTTAATTTAACTTCTTTTCGATAAAGTCAGGTACACGTAGTAGGTTAAGTACATCCGCAGGATAACTAAATTTACAAAGCAGCCTGCACAAGTAAAGCCCAATCCTGCCTATGTTCCTCGGAAACTTTTGTGGCCGTTCTTCTCGGAGTTCTGGCAGATTGCCCCGAAAAAGGTAATCGTGGGCGGCCGGTAGATGATGTGGATGGCAGGGGTTAATTTAACTCAAGGATAAAATCCTCCTTTAACCAGTCATCATTTTGTTTTAAAAATAAATCTTTAAGCCGCGACAAATTCTTTCAAAATTTATACAAAGGCTCTTTATCTTTTTTTCCATTGTGCCTGATAGTTCTTGTTCATTATTCTGAAATTTCTGTCTTATAAAATTTGAAACATACCCGTTTTTCTCAACTTTATCGGCCCTTTGTAGCCATTTTTCCAAAAAATCTATTTTTTTCAATTGATACATAGCTGAAAAAAAATCTTTTAAAAAAAAGTTGCAGCTAGTAGCAGCCAATTTTTTCTTTGATATGTTCAGAAAGCATTGTTTCCAATTTTGCAATAACATCTAGCATGGAGAAACATGGAGAATTTTTTATAAGTCAAACTAAACTTTTAATTTTTTTATTTGTTCTGTTTTAAACTCATTATTTTTAATTAATTAAAAAATAATGGACACTGATTCTTATGTGTAATTGTTAGTGATTTCTTAAAAATACATACCATAAAGTGTAAAAATAACAGTAATCCGTTTTTATATCCCACTGAAATATATCACTTAATATTCACCAAAACTCTTCCAAAAATAAACAACAACTGAATAGGTACAAATACTTCACTAGAACGTCTAAATATAAATGCTGATAAGGAATAAAAATAAAAACTAAACAAAAATATATGCATGTGGTCTTCTTCATTGGTATATCTGCTTGCATTCCACTTACAAAAAAAGTCCATATACAGTGAGTCTAAAATATGTATTTTGGCCAAAAAATTAGCTTCTAGAAACCATAGTGCACTGTTTTGTCTGATTGGTCTGGACCCGGCATTATTTTGTATCTACAAAATTATTGTCGTTATTTAGTTTGCATTTTTTACTTAATACATAAATACAAAACCAAACAAGGACAATAATATTGTAGACAAAAAATACTTAAACTGCATAAAATTTGTAGAAAACACAAATTTGCTTTTCGTGAACATTGATTAGAAAAGAAAGATCTAAGAAGTATTTCTTGCAGCATAACTTTTGAAAAAAAACTCATAATAGAGTGCATTTTAAAACAATATATGAAAGCGATAGATTTTTTTAATATAAAAATATTACAATTGAAGGGCCCAAGGGAAAAACATGATAAGCGCCATTTCACTAATTTTACAGGAGAGCCCTGGACGGCTGGTGGTTATCAGGTTCTTTCCGTGTATTCTATATTTTTACCAGGCATATATCATAGGATGGTAGTAGGTCTATATTAGACCTACTATAATATTGTAAAGTCCTAAAAATAAAAATTGGCGCTTATCAAGTTTCACCCCTCCAATTAACATTGATAAAATATATGTATTTATTTTTAGATCAGTGTTTTATATACAGGGTGGTCCGAATTGTATTCCGGAAACTTCGACAGCATATTCTGCAGATAAAAATAAGTAAAAAAGTTCGCATAAATGTATGTCCTAAAATGCTTAGTTTCGGAAATACAGGGTGTAGAAGTGTCATTTTTATTTCGATTTTTTCCAAATAATTTATAAAGCAAATTGGTGCATGGGAGTTTTTTGACATGAGAAATTTGATTTTGATGTCAATATGACTCCTACATATATATTTAGGGGGCGCCACCTACATATATTTTAACTGGTTTTAAGAGTAATAACTTTTCGTCCGTACCTGTATAAAACTACTGAGTAAAAAATATACATTTACGAAGTTTTTTACGAAAAAATGTCTCTTGGTAAAAATCGCTACGAGTAATGGTTCTCGAGATATTTGGAATTGAAATTATCAATACACCTATCATCATTGACATAAATTAAATAACATATATTGAGTAAATAGTTATTAGACTGAAATCATAAATTTGACATGTTTTTGTGCCAAAAGTTCAACAGGAACTGTTTTATCATCATTTTTTCGCAGACAAGTTTATGATTAATTTAAAAAAATAAAAATGTCCCAAATTTATTAATTCAGTCAAGTATAGTAAACGCCACGAATGTTTGGGAGTGATTCTTCTCTTGATGAAGTTCGAAGAATCGACACGCGCGCCATCATTTTTATATTGAAAACGTAAATTTTTACCGCAGACGTTGGTTTTTAAAGGCCCGGTCTAATCATCAGCCTGCGCTCCTCCTACTTATTCTAAAATGTTAGCGTGATTGACAAAGACGATACTATATCGCGTTTCTTTGATTGATTCGTTTTTGTGCGTCAGTCCATTGGTGTGCTTGCAGTGCGACCAATGGGGCATTCTCATTTATATTTATAACCCTCTATAAAAATATGTTTTGACAATACTTTGACAGTTAAAACAACAAATTACAACAGATTATATATTGATTATTATAATGACTTCAAACACCACGGCACTGGAATTAAGTTTTATGTGACTTTGAACAGATTAGTTCACATGGTAGCGACCGATAAATCACTCTCAAACATTCGTGGCGTTTACTTTAACTATCTACCCAACGTGTGTTTTATTTTTTGTCAATAATGGCATGTATTGACTATTTTCATTCTAAATATCTTGAGAACGGTTGCTAGTAGCGATTTTTACCAAGAGCATTTTTTTATGTAAAAAGTCATGGAAATGTATATTTTTTCACTCCATAGTTTTTTGTTACAGGTACAGACGAAAAGTTATATTACTCATCAAAACAGTTAAAACACATGTAGGTGGCGCCCTCTACAAGTAGGAGTCATATTGACATCAAAATCAAATTTCTCATGTCAAAAAACTCCCAGACACCAATTTTCATCCAAATATTGACATTACTTCATAAATTATTTGGAAAAAATCGAAATAAAAATAAAATTTCTACACCCTGTATCTCCTAAACTAAGCATTTTAGGACATACATTTATACGAACTTTTTTACTTATTTTTATCTGCAGGATGTGCTGCCGAAGTTTTCGGAATACAGTTCGGACCACCCTGTGTATACATTCGCTCAGTACTTGCGAATTAATCGATTTTAAATCCCAGTTGAATTATGTGACATTATTGATTAAAGAATGGTGTTTAATATTAAAAGAAAAATATTTTTTAAGATTATATAAAGCAAGCACAATAAATTAAGACAAGTTTGAAATTCTGGACGCACAAAGATACGTATTTATTTACCTTTCTGATTCTCCAGAATTCTTTAGATACCGTTTAATATTAGGTGCGATAAATGCATTGCTTGATTGAGGCGTCGCATGTGCGATTGTATTACTAAAATTTCTTTCTTTCCTTAAGTCAGGTGGCAAAGATATCTGAAACAGGATTTCACTAATATAAATGTATAATATATTTTTATCTAAATTACTTGTCTCAAATTTTCACTTTTAGAACTAGGATTTTCTTCAGGTTTCAGAGCCAACGCTAAGTCTTGTAGTAACTCATCGATATTGTCCATTTTTGCACCTATAAAAACTTCTGCAAAAATTGCAACAAACCTTGTTTTAAGACAGTAAGTTGATAAATTAATTTTGTGTTAATCTCAAATGTGGCAATATAATATATCTTTATAGACGTCATTGTTTTAATATGTATATTCTATTTCAATATCTATTTTAGAAAATGACTAATACGAATTTATATTTTTAAATTATTATTCTTTACGAAAATATAGGATGTATTGTATTACTTTTTGAGCTATTTATTAAATTTGTATTATTAGAAATATGTTGTATGTTTTGGTGTAGAATCATAATAGTCGAAAGCAGTGGCGGATACAGAGGGCGGGGGGTTAGGTTAGGCCCAGGCCCAGGCACCTAAAATCTATTAATTGGGTTTAAATATTAGGTATTTGGGTTAAAAATGGCGCCCTAAAATGCATATTCTACATTACTTTTATTTGGGCTCCCCTAAAATAAATTCCTGTACCCGCCCCTGGTCGAAAATTAAGTAAAAAAAAAGAAAAATTAACACAAAATTAATAAATGCTGAAAAAACGGAACTCGCTCAATCAATAATATAGGAACGTACTTAAAACTTTCTAAACAATATGAACTGATCTCAGACACACCCTAATACACATGCAGGGACGTAGCAAGTCGAACCTGGGCCCTGGTGCAAGACCACCAGCGGGCCCTTTTCTTCATTATAAAAAAACAATGAAAAATGAAATAATACATTTATTGAACAAAAAATGTATGGCGAGTAGTAAATGTAGTAATAAATAAAGTAGTAGTAAATGTAGTAGTAAATGTAGAGAATAAATGTAGTAACAAAAATATTAAACTACAAAACTATTACTTATTAACTAATTTATAGTTATTTATAGGTTCGTTCCAACCGGACCGAAAACCGATCCTGGGACGGTAATGTCTAGTCGCCCCTTTATTGTTTGAAAAGTTTGAATTGTTTGTCAAGATTAACGAATGAATGGACCGATAGGAAATTACCGTTCTAGGACGGTTCTCTCGTCCTGTTGGAACAAACATTATCTATTTTTTAATTGTTCTATTAAGATCCGAGTTTCTGGCTGTCTCGTTTTCTATTGATAAAATTGCCAAGCTGGAGTGCCAAGCTTTATTTCTTAAATAATTCTTAATTAATTTAAGACTGAAAATGATCTCTTGGAGGTCGCTAGCGATACAGGAATTGTTAGAAAAAGGATAAAATCACAGCAGATTTCTGTGAATGAACTGGAGATCATTTGATTGCAAATAAATAACGTCGCCAAGTCATTAACTGAAATGTCTGCATTTATCTGATCTTTCTTGCGAAATTTCTTGCGAAAATGAATATTATAGATCATTGGAATAACAGCTGATCAGGTTTTCAGATAGGAGGACCAAATCAGCATCAGAATGATCTCTCAAGACCGAAGGAAAAAATACTTTAAATCTTTCAACTACGCTATTTAACCCTTTGAATCGATTTTCAAGTTCTGATATACCTAATAACGTCCAACGTTATATCCTTGTTATATTAAACACCAGCACACAGTTTTCTTTGTCGTTGAATAGTCGTTCATCACATGATAACTCATCAAATTGTTTTTTTCACTTTGTGGATCCTGTGTTCTTTAAAACTTGGATCAATTCCCCAACCACGAGCTAAATAATTTATAACTGCTTCATTTATAACTTCCTCGAAACTGTTCCTCATTTCTGCAATGTCTTTCTTAGCAGTTTCCAAAAGTTTTGACGCTCTTTGAATATCTTGATTTTTACTCTGCAGTGCATTGGACACAAGTTTTGTGATACTTAAGAAAAAACTTGTAAAATTTCTCGATAGTGAAACCTTATGAAGAGAATCACAACGAGACGACCATCGCGTTGGGCACAATCGTTTTAATATGAGCTTCTTGGATTCGAACATTTCCGTCAGTACTGCCCATCGTTTTATGCTATGTGCAAAAACCGCATAAAGACTACAAAATCGTAAAAATTTTCGGTCATATAAATTTAAAAAATCGGTCTTATAGTAATGTGGTGCAATACCTGAACAGGCAATTGTAATGTAATTTTATTTCATTTATGCAGATGTTCTCAAATAATGTTAAAAGTCAAATTTGGAAATGGGTTGCAAGAGCCAATGCCGCTAAGGCGGCACCTGGCCTCTTCCGGACACCGGGCCCTGGTGCGCCGCACCACTTGCACCCCCTATTGCTACGTCCCTGTACACATGCATATATTTGACAAATAATATGATGACGTAACGATAGCTGAACAGTCATTACAACTTTTCTATAAAATATTTTAATTAATTAGACACAAGATTAAAACGTACCTAATACCGAAATGAAAGAATATATTTTATAATAATTATGTTAAAGTAAAATTTTCATTTCAATTATTATTTTTATTTACAAAATTGACGAATATAACTAAAGTTTCTTACCATAAAAGTAAGGCAGCAGTTATTCACACTTTTTTTATTATTTACTTACTGCAATTAAAGTACGAATTTTAACTATTCACAAATTGTGATAACTGATAAATAACGAACTAACTTATCTCTGATAACTTAGTAATAAAACAAGCATTTTTTGTAGAATATATAATCTAGATTAATAAGAAACTTCTGTTATCTTAATAGGAGGTATAACCGATGATTAAAGATTTTCGAATAGCAGGAACAAATCTGAATGATGTCATTTTCAAAATAAATTTAAAAAAATACTTTAATAATAATCTAAGAAAATTCAAAAAAGAGTATAGTAAAATATTCTGATACAAGATGTTTTTTTTATATTTTCTGTATTAAACCCTTCTTATTCCAGCACGATTTGATAGAATAAAAACGACATCACAGAAGGCGGCGTAGAAATCATATTTCAGTTCTTACCTACCCTATCCCTACCGTTAAACTTCTCTAAGAACTGTTTTTTTTTGGAGAGAGTTTTTTTATAACGTTTATTATTAACGGATATTTCCTCATTATTAATAAGTATTGATTTCTCCAATATGTTTGCCTCTTTTTATCAATAATGAATCAAAATGACTATTAAAAAAGTGCTTTGCAATGTTGCCACCTCCTACGTCACGACCCTTATTCTACCATTTCTATATACCGTATGATGGAAAAAAAACGGCGTCCAGTTGGCTTGGAAATGAACATCGATGACATTCCCCATATAAAAAGACAACCATCTTCATTTCATAGCCATCGCCGACGCCATTTTTTTGATCATATTGTATAAGTTCAGTGTAATTTTAATTTTCGACACAAAAAATTACGAAAATTAATTGTAACATAAAGTTATAATGAACACTGTACCACCACTATACTTGTTTTTAAGCACACTAATATATTTTTAGTTATTTACAACTAACCTTAATAAATAAATCTTAATTATTAAGCTTCATGCAGTACCTCGCAATTAGTGGTTTCAATTAACGTAGAAGTTTGTTCCTTTAATTTCAATTTAAGCATTCAGAACGTCAAAATTATTGGTAGACATTTTCAATTAGTAGAAAAAGTTATCAAACTTTTAACTGTTCCACTAAGCACTAATTAAGCTTAATTTTCATGCATCCGTTATCCGACGATACGATGATCCGATATTAGTTTTATGGGTTGAATTTAAAGACTGCAATTGGTTAGAAACGGTTAACCAATCGAAGCCTTTAAATTCAACCAATAAAATTAATATCGTATTAACGTATCGTCGGACAACGGTTAGAAATCAAAAGTTGATTGTTTTATAAGCCAAATATTAGGCTTTCTCTGTTGATACAACTGACTAACGCAAGCTGTTGCTAGGATATTCTATTAACTTTAATTGTGTTTTTTAAACATTGTGAATGATCGTAAACTAAAAAGTATAAAGTGTAATTAAAACCACTAATTTATTTCACTAATTGCGAGGTTTTGAATGAAGCTTTAATCTCATTAACAATATACTAACTTTTAATAATAATAAGTTTTCACTTCATTGTCATAATACGAAGTATTTTCAATTTTAGAAAATACAGTCTACCAGTTCTAAAAGTTTGTAAATATTGCTTTTGAAATAATAACACTTTTTATGTTCTTTATAACATTTATTTAACCCACTTAGTTAATTGGCACATGTTCAATTATTTAATCACAATAAATTTATTCTGACCAGATAGTATCTTAAAATTATCTACCACTAAAAAGATTATCAAAATTACATAAATAAGCGATATATAAAAATGCATTAAAAGAGGCATAAAAAAGTTTAGTAATAAAATTACGTAAAGTCAAATACGACCTGAACTAACTTACATAAAAGTTATATAATATTCTCACTAAAATATATGAAAAATAATAATAAATCTATATAAAAATCACATTTAATAGTTGTGTCTATGCCTATTATACATCTATATAGTAATATGTTACTTCTCACAAGTAAATTTTCATAAAAATAACATATCAAACTATGTTTTCTAAAGCATATATTATATACATTTTAATTTATTATGCACTTGTTAAAAAAGGAAATGTAGAATTATAACAAAAATCAAAGCTGCACAGTGTTGAAAAGAATATAGAATATCACACCAAAGAATATTTATAATGTTCTTTAAACACAGCTTTTTTCAAGACTTACAGGGTGGTCCGAATATACAGGGTGGTCCGAATTGTATTCCGGAAACTTCGGCAGTATTCTGCAGATAAAAATAAGTAAAAAAGTTCGTATAAATAAATGTAGATCCTAAAATGCTTAGTTTCTGATATACAAGGTGTTTTTTGATATAAAAAATTTGATTTTGATGTCAATATGACTCCTACTTGTAGAGGGCGCCACCTACATATTTTTTAACTGGTTTGAAGAGTAATAACTTTTCGTCCGTACCTGTATAAAATTAGTGAGTAAAAAAATATAAATTTATGACATTTTCTACGTAAAAAAGATCTCTTGGTAAAAATCGCTACAAGGAACGGTTCTCGAGATATTTGGAATCGAAATTATCAAGACCTATCTACATTGATAAATTAAACATGTTGACTAACAGTTATTAAACTGAAATCATAAATTTGAAATGCTTTTCTGCCAAAAGTTTGACAGAAACTGTTTTATCGTTATTTTTTCGTAGAAAAAATTATGATTAATTTAAAAAAATAAAAATTTTCCAAATTTATTATTTCAGTCAAATAACTATCTACTCTCAACGTGTTAATTTTTTTGTCAATAATGACATGTATTGACTAATTCCATTCTAAATATCTTGAGAGCGGTTGTTCGTAGAGATTTTTACCAAGAGACATTTTTTACGTAAAAAATCACGGAAATGTAATTTTTTTCACTCAGTAGTTTTATACAGGTACGGACGAAAAGTTATTACTCTTCAAACCAGTTAAAAAATATGTAGGTGGCGCCCTCTACAAGTAGGAGTCATATTGACATCAAAATCAAATTTTTCATGTGAAAAAAAACCCAGATACCAATTTTCATCCAAATATTGACGTTATTTCAGAAATTATTTGGAAAAAATCGAAATAAAAATGAAACTTCTACACCCTGTATCTCCGAAACTAAGCATTTTAGGACATACATTTATACGAACTTTTTTACTTATTTTTATCTGCAGAATATGCTGGCGAAGTTTCCGGAATACAGTTCGCACCACCCTGTTTAATCGGGAAAATTTAATAGACGATAGAACTTGCAAAAATAAAACAAAACGTTCATATCAACTTGTAAGATTTAAAGCTTACTTTTCGAGATACAGGGTGTTAAAGTTACTTAAAAAAGAAAAAAAATTTAAGATATTTGAAAAATTATTTAATCGATTTTGATATAAACTTGACCCGTTTATAATACTTACTATGGGACTTAATTTGATGCAATTAGATTTAAGTTTAATGGCCAGGGGCGGCGGTGGGGCATCACTGTTAAATTATTTTAAAGGAAAAAATAGCGCCTCTGCTTTTTTAGAAGTTTAATATTATTTTTGGATTTAGTAATTAAAAATATTATTTTTTTGTCTCCTGACTTTTTTGTCTATCTTGCTTACTTCTTGCAAAAAAATTAAATTCTAATTATTGGTAATTAATATTATAATTGGTATTCTAATGGTACCCTGTATCTCGAAAAGGAAGCTTTAAATCTTATTAGTTGATATGAACTTTTTGTTTTATTTTTGCAAGTTCTATCATCTATTAAATTTTCCCGATTAAAATCTGGGACACCTTGTATAGTGTATACAGGGTGCGCCAAATGTTCCCATCAAATGAAAAATAACAGTTTTTGGCACATCCTGTATATTTAAATTGTTAACCGAAATAACAATAACATAAACTCTAGAATAGATGTAAATAGCAAGAAATCGTGGTTTAAACTTGTAAGATGTAACAATAAACATTAGAATGAACTAATCACTCGGAAGTGATCAATAGCTATATATTTTTATATAAATGCTCTAGAATACTGGGATATTTTTTTATTACAGCTCAGTAGTCATATGCCTTGTAAGAGTTTGCACCCTCCTAGCATTACAACTTTTACACAACACATGACCGTCAAGTGGATAGCATCCCCTACCCTCTGCTTCCGAAGATAAAACAAGATCGCAGTCCTAAAAAAGTTTATTAACGTAAATATTTAAAATTTCATTCTGCTTAAAAGAGTTATTTTAAAAATTCCAAAAAAGATATATTCTTTATAACCACAGAATACATTCACTATAAAGAAGCGACAGTAAGTCCAGATCTTTGTCAAGGCACACAGAATGAGCAAAACTGTTTTAGTGAAAAACGTTTTTGATTAAATGTATTTTATGATAAAACATCTTTAGTCACGACCCAGTATCTGCATATTTGATAGTAAATAAAAAAAACTTTGCTTTTTTTCAAAACAAAGATAACAGAAATATTATGTCATGTATAGTCTATAGACTCTAATAGGCAAATACTTTTTATTATAAAATCCTTATATTATACAGGGTGCTACAAATTCGGTACGAGCATTGGTATCTCGGTAACCGTAATAGATACGAACATAGTTAAATTGGGGCAAAGTTGCGCTATGGAATGTTCACCAAGATGCCATCAAAAAAGTTTCAAAAATTTCAATTATTGCTGAGTTTTATGGAAAAAACTGATTTTTTTTAAATCAATTTTATTTTTTCCTGCCATTACTTTTGAGAAAATCAAAAAACTAATTGCACATTCTCGTAGCCACTTTATTAGGAATTTAGGAAAATTAAATGCAATAAAATAATATAAACAATCAAATTATTTTCCCGGAAGATGGATTGGAAATGGTAGAGCAGTATAATGTTCAGCGGGGTTCCTGGACCTATCGCCAAGGGGCTACATTATTTGACGTCATTTGTAAAAGTGAAATCAATAATTCATCTCAACATTTACAATAAAGAGTACAAAATGCATTCGAAAGTATAAGAAAAAAGTTCAAAGAGCTATAAATAAAATTGAGCGAAAAATAAATTTGTGCAATAGGGAGGGTGGTAACCCTTTCGAAAATGTAGAACATTAGAAACTAGTTTGTAGATGTTGATTTATTTATAATAACTACGATTAATATTATGCATATTTTAGATCGCATACTGAGATTTCAAATTCACAATAAAAAAAGTTAAAAATAATATCTTTAAATTTCTGACGTGGATATTATTTATTTGAATCTTCCAATTGGCTCGATTTTCCTTATTCAATGTTAATTAGCGCTGATCAATATTGTTGGGATGAATATAATCAGATTAAATAATTTAAGAAACCAGAGTCGGACTTGAAATTATTTTAAATAATAATTAAATAGTTTTGTTGTTGTTAAGGTATCCATAACAAAAAAAAAGTATAAAGTGTGACATATCATTCTATTCAGGAGACCGAGTTCTTTCAAAACGTGAAATAAAAAATGCAGGTCCGTATTTAAAAAAATTAAGTTGGCCTCTGTATCTCACAAATTATCAGCTAATTTGAAAATCTACAAATACTGTCAGATAGCCCTCATAAAGTGGCTATGGAATGTGCAATTAGTTTTTTGATTTTCGAAAAATTAAGGACAGGAAAAAATAAAATTGATTTTCAAAAAAATCAGTTTTTTCCAAAAAACTCAGCAATCATTGACATTTTTAAAACTTTTTTGATGGCATCTTGGTGAACATCCCAATACACAACTTTACCCCAATTTAACCATGTTCGTATCTATTACGGTTACCGAGATACCAATGCTCGTACCTCGAATTTGTAGCGCCCTGTATATACATACCTCACACTTGTAGCACTGTATGTGAAAACTGTGATCTAAAGCGACCACTCGAACTGTTTCTTCTTTCCCCGCCTCTGGCATTATTGGTTGTTTACATACCCAGCACCTTGGTGCAAAGATTCTGAAGAAAAATATTATAATTAACTATTTAAAAAAAAAAGTATTTCCACACTTACTTGTGAAAATCTTCAATACAATGCACTCGATTAGTTGCATCAACTGTAAAAGGTATTCCATCAAGGCTCTTTCCACAAACAACACAGCAAAAGCATCCTGGATGGTAGGGTTTCCCAGTGGCTCTTAAGATTCTATGAAGAATCGGTTCCTGACAAACACAACACTTTTCTAGAGTGTTCTGAAAACAATTCCAACAATGTTTGAATCCCCAATTAAATTTATTGAGTTAGTATATCCTACCAAATAGTCTGCTTGGCAATAAGGATGCCCATCGAGAGCATAAAAAGGCTTTCCTTGGAGATTTCTAGCACACTGGTGGCAGGTGAAACATTTAATATGATATAGTTGATCCATAGCAGTGCATCCACTATTTTCACCGACGATCTATAAAAAGGAATTTTTTTAGTGGTTCAACAACAGGAAAAATAATTAGGAAAGTATTAAGTAAGTCTACATCATTTTACAGTAAACACTGTATGCTTTAAAAATTAACTGAATATACTCCTGCTGTCAAGGTTTACGTTTGGGTCGAGATTTCCGTATGTAAGAAGAGTACAATGCATTTATAATGTACTGAACAAAGAGAGAACAGTAAAAACGTTGCCAAATATACCGTGCTGGCAACTTTTACTTTTAGGTCGGTATTTACATGTGTGGAAGTAAATCGCATAAGGATCTTCTTAAGTCGGAGTGAGAGAAACGCGACGGTTGGTGCTGTTGCGTTGTTGCCGGTACGCGTTTCCCTGTCAAGTAAAGTAAAATCACGATTGCAAACAGCTTATTTTTAAGACTTTTTTTTCGAAAAGGTAACTAGATAAAATCATTAGATATGTTTCTGTGCATCTGAAATGGAATTATAAGGATATCGTTAAGGTGTCCATTTTTTTCATAACGAGAAAACGTCAGTAATTGCAATAATTTAAAAACTGAACTTTTTTACACATAACACGCCATAACTTAAGAACCACTTTAGTAATTGAAGCTTTTTTTATTTTGAAGATCGGATCATTTACAATATTTACATAAGAAAAATTCGATAAGATTGTTTTTTCCATTCTAAAATTTAAACAACCCATCCATTTACTTTTAGTAGATAGCGGTTTTCAGCAATCGTGTAATTTTTTTTTATAAAGATTTTTGCATACTGTCTGCGAAAAAAGTTTTTGAAAAACTACAATTAATTAATTCTAATATCGATTTCGAGATATCGATCTTTGAATTCAGAGTTCTAATAGCGCGACCACTGTCGAACACCAACTCAATTCCACTTATTTTTACCAAAAATTCAAGTGTTTTTAACTTGCACTTAAAAACATTCAAGCTATAGGAAAAATTACAACGACTCATTAATAAATAAACAAATAAAGTATCACGAGACGTAATTAAATCGTGAAGTTGAACGTATACATACGTTCGTGATATATATGAACGTTATATGAACGTATACATACGTTCATATAATCGTGAAGTTGAACGTATACATACGTATACACCTTTCCCTAGAACTTTAAGTACTGACAGAAGTACTATTGGTAAACCGGTCGACTGCGACAAATCTGCTATATCCCCTTCCACGTCTCTTAGCAATGTGCACTTAGCAATGTGCTATAAAGGTAGTAAATCTAGATGGAAATTGTGGCAGAACTTAAATTAACAGTGACACTATAGCGATTTATCGAAACGGACTCTAAAATAGTTGGTTGTGTAGCGTGCGGTAGATCTCGGCAAAAATTGAGTGAAATAATGGAACAACTTTTCGCTAGTAAGTTACTATATAATATACATACGTGTAGTAAACCGATCATTTATGAAATTCACTTAAATTAACTAAATTATATATTTTTCTTGCATTTTAGCTTTTATTTACTACTTGTCAAAGATCAGATGTCAAAGAAGTTTGATACGTTAATTTGACTTACCTGCTTCAGTAGCGTATCGGATGTTTGTGTTAATAAATACTTATTATAACTTATCTCTTTTTATTAGAATTATATATTTTTATAACAATTTTAATAACTACCAACATTTATTCACAACGTAAAATAAAATAATTAAATTATTGAGTCTACCCCACGTCTACCCTACATCATAGTTTTACATTTTTTAAATAAAATTAGAACGGCACTGATAAACCGGAATTTAAGTCCGCCATATTTGAGGCCCATCGCGGTGTACCTAAGATTTTTGATATGCTCCTTCCTTGTCTTCTTATTCAAAGGACCCAACAGTAAGAGTTGCCAGCACGGTGTATAATTCGTGTAGAACGAAGAAAAGTGACAGCTATCTTATAGTGATGGGCAAATCTGTTATTTTTAGATAACAGTTGAAACTGTTATAGTTACTTATAAAAAAACAGCTTAAAATAACAGCTTAAAAATAACAGGTTTCTTTATATTATTGCTAAATATCTGAAAGAGTATGAGGCGGTCACCGCCAGGCGTATTAACGCAGTTGCAAGTTGCAACAATGACGTGCTCGGTGGTAGTATTTCCAGGGTGTCAAAACATTTCTAAATATCGATTGTTATCTAAAATACCTCTCTAAAAACGGTGGTTGTTTACAAATAAGCGCTGTTTACAAATTGCGATATAAAAAAAGCCAAAATTCCGCCACTCGTCTATACCTATACATTCCGATCTCCCTATGCCCTGCCCCTCTATCCGCCTGAATTAGTTATGATTTTACCATTTGCGGTCAAAAAATAGCAATATAAGAAAATGTGTAGTATATTCTTCATAAGTAAACCAACTACACACTAGAGTTCGAATTAATTTTACACTTTAACTAACGTGTACCCGAATCGTTAATCGAATTAATAATTTGTAATGGTGATGATAAAGCAAAGCAAGAATTTCCATTAACATACAAACTGGATAAAATTTTCTCACATTTGCCAAAAATAAGCTTTAAACGTCGAGCAGTTTAAGCAGAATCGTGGTTAATCAATTACTCAACTTTTTGGAACACCCTGTATGATTTTTCAAAAAATTTCAAAATATGTAAAAAAACAAAATAAATTATGCCTGTCCAAGCGTTTTCCCGAAAGACTAACCGTTTTTTAAATAACAAATATTGTATTATTTGAGAGGCGTTTTCACCCTCTTGGAATTTGAGATTCGAGAAACCCCTCCTTATCGAACCTCAACCCCACAGTCAATCCGTTCGCCAAAAATCAGCTTTAAACGTTAAGCAGTTTAAGCAAAATCGTGATTACTCAATGGTCATATTTTATGAAACACCTTGTATATATTTTTAAAAAATCTTAAAATATGTAAAACAACAAAATAAAATATACGTGTTTAAGAGTTTTTCCGAAAAACTCACCGGTTTTAAAATAAACAATATTCTAATATTTGAGGGTGGTTTCACCCCCTTAGAATTCGAGTTTCGAAAAATCCCTTCTTATCGAACCTCTACATCCTAAAGTCAATCCGTTTCCAAAAATAGCTTTTTACTCAAGGGCTTTAAGAATGATTGTGATTAATCAATGACCAGATTTTTCAAAACACCCTGTATACATTTTTAAAAAATCTTAAAATATTATTCTGAAAATTTTTCAGAATAAATAAATACCTAAATAATGAAACTTAATAAGTAAGTACTAAAACATACAGCGGCCATAATATCTCGACCTCCGCCCGTTATGCTCGTAACAGGTTGAAAAACAATGTATCTATTTCTCCAACCTGTTTCGAACCTCCATCGACAATCGACCGATGCAGCAGCGTTACTTTCCCACTCCGATTATCTCGACCGCCGCACAGTGTGAAATTTACGCGTTGTAGCTGGAAAAAAATATTTCAGCGACTCTTTTAATGAAATATTAGTCTTTTTCGTTTTTATATAAGAAATTTTATCAAGGCAAGGTAGATCATGCACCAAAATAATCATAGTCGGGCATATACAGGGTCTCTCATAATGTTTGGTAAATATGGGAAACTGTTGTACCCTTGATTATGTATAAATAGATGTACAATGAGGGCTTAGTACAAGCCCGTCTTCTAGGTGGCGCCTTGCCCGTTCTGAATTTTTGTATTCCCCTACGATTTTCTTTGAGGGGAATCCGTTAAACCCGCCCATCGTTCAAAAATGGAAGGGCGCGAGGTCACATCTATTGGGCCACTTATTAGCACGTTTCACCCATGTTTTACGAAAATAGCTTTATCCTTGTTTGTTTCAACTGTGACAAGAAAAAAGGAAAAAAGTTATATTCGCTTCTAAATTCGGCAGTTTTGTTGATCTTTCTCGACTTGTAATTTCGTTTCGTTTAGGTTATGTCTTATAAAAATAAATATTTATAAGCTTTTGAATTGAGATATACCTTAATGCATATCTGAGTAATTAAAAAATTCAGTTTTTTCGTCCCTCGCGAAGAAACATAAACAGTATTTGTGAAATTTGGATTAGAAGCTATTATTTTATTAGTTTATTTTGTTGTGTTTAAGTGTTGTGTATTTGTACCTACTGGATAATATTTTCCAACATATTTAATTAAGCAAAAAGCATCTGTTTTACAGGTAAGTAAATACTGTTCATATTTATTTCTAAATTCATATAAATTTGTTTTAAATCACTCTTGGGAAAAATGTTATAGAGTCTGAGATAAGTTTAATAATAAACATTTGATAGATTGATAGATAGATTAAACGATAATGCCCAGTTTGCTTAAAAGTTTAAAAAAATACTGATTTTATGCTATAAATTGTTTCATTTCTCACTTTGCTTTTTTGGAATTGTCAGATATATTGTGTATTTTATAATTTTTCCGAGAATTTTTCTTAATAACTTGATAACGTAAAATATTGTTTATCTATAGTCAACCCTGTGTTTAGATAAAGCTTCATATCAGACTTCCTATTTTATATTTTCACTCAAATCATATTTTTTGTAAAATATGCTTGCAAAAGTAGCGTAAATTTGACAGGGAGGTATTTTTATAGATATACAGGATGATTCAAATATATATTTACTTTTAAAGTTATTAGTTATGAGCAAAGGTTATGAGTTTGTGAAAAGAAAGGCTATATTTTGTATTTTTGCTTGGTGGATTTGTTATTAAATTGTCATTCCAAAAATACCATAATGTCGTAGTCGTATAGAGTTCATTTTGACCAAAGAATATATTTTGACCCTTTTTGGATTGAATTTTATTGTTTATATAATAAAATATATATTTAAAGCCCTCTCTTTCTAAGTTAAGTTAAAAATAGGTAATATCGACGTTTTTACTGGAACTAATTTAAGTTAATAATTAATAATTATATAATTCATATAATTATATTAAAATAGACTAAATTGTTTATTATATACAGGATGAGTCAAAACTAGATATTATATTTTTTCTTTGCTATTTCAAATGAAACACTGTATTTTATATCATAAATCAACAAAGCTTTTATGCAACTTTTGTTTTATTAAGATCTATATCCCAAATTAATAGTTATTAAATGGTTTTCAATTGTCTCTTTGCGAATAAACATGATTTTTTACGCAATTTTTATTAATAGGTTTGTCGACAAAAGTGATGTATCTATTTATCAGCGACAAAAATTAAGAATTAGATGTTTAAAATAATTTTCTAATTATTTTTTACTTGGCATCAGTAAATATGATTTATTTTATCGATGCAGCTGAAAATAATTATGTATTCTAAAAGAGGACATTACTGTATATACATCGATTATGGATTTAAAAATTATTTTTCAAAACAAAGTTGGAAAAAATTTTTGAGAAAAAATTGGAGTTCTGTTCGAAATAATCGAGAAAAACCCAACATCTAGTTTTGACGCCCTTAGTATATATCATGCATTATAGTTGATTATACTGCAATTTATTATACATACGTAGTTTTGTTTGGTGAAAATGAAACTTTCTAAAAGTATTCCCAATTAAAACATATTAAGAATTTCCTACATTATAATTTTGAAGACGTTTGAGTGGGCAGACAATTTGGTCTAAAATAATATGTCTAAAAAATTTAGCCTAAAATAATCAAAAACCACTTAACACATATAACTCGCTTTTAAAAAATCTAAAAGAAATAAGTTTGTTTATTATATTCATATTTTATTAAATTATTATAGGTGTGACTGCTAAGTGGTCGTACTCGCCACTTTAACCAAGCATTGGTGGGACCTTCAGAGATCATAATGCGAATTTCTTCATACCATGTAAATCTATATACATGTATTAATAAATGCGTTTGCTTTATTAAATTTTTTTTCTTATACGGTATGAGCGAAAAAAAACGGCGTCTATTTGTTTACGTACAAATGACATCGATATTCATTTCCAAACCACCTCTGAGGCCGTTTTTTTTTATCGTATGGTATATATTTACATATCCCTTATCCTTTAATTCCGATTTATTTCTAATAATTATAAAAATAAGATACCTGATTAATTCTTCCGAAATATTATAAAATGAGATATCACGAAAGAAATAAAGTTAATTATCTCGTTTGTTTTGGGAATTCCAAAAAAATAAAAAAAAGGGTATAGAGAATCTTTAGAGACACAGTTCAAATGTTATTTTTGAGTATACTGGTTGCTTCAAAAAATGTGGCGGATACATGTTTTTTAATGCAAAACTCCATTTTTATTTTATTTTCGATTCTGCCTAAAATTCTATAACTTTTTTTTATAAATAACGTTAGTAAGTATTTACAATTTAAAAAAAAAGTAAAATTTTATTCCTATGTTACTTAACTGTCAGTTGTTTCCGAAGTTGGACTACACAAATTTGGTAGGAGTGTTTTACAGAGATGAAAAAAAAATATATTTATATGTAAAAATACTTGCAGTTAGATGCTACACTGTGTTCAAACATTTTTTTTGGCTGATCCGATATATATATTATTATTTTTTCTAGTGATTTTACAAAACCTTTCAACATTTGTTAAGAAAGTATATTAAGTACACCTATACTCAACAGCTTGCAATCTGTTCTGAATTTTATCCTTCTTTTAATTCATTTACATTATAACAAGTTGCCATATGACAAAACAAAAATTATTTATTATTAAACATTAAGTAAAGTGATTTATTTAGTTATATGACATTCTTAATAGAAGTTGAAGGATTTTGTAAAATCTATCAGAAAGAATTATAATATATCGGGTGTTTTTCAAAAGTAGCTTGATTGATGTATTCAATTAGTTTCGGTCATTTCTTGTTTCACCGGAAATGACTACAACTTTTGGTTTTTAAATGGTACCGTCGGTATTTTTTTACTTTATTTTGCAGAATATGGCATTCTCAATAGAATAATTCAATGTCAACTTTTGACTCTTTTACTTAAAAAATAGTATTTTAAAGTTCAATCTAGTAGAGTGCCATGATAATAAACAACATGTAACCGGTCGTAAAGATAACGACAGTTTGACTCGACATACGGAGTGTGTGGTACCAAATTATTTACCAAAATTAGGTACCAAAATTTATTAGGTATCAAAAAATGCTTTTCCAAATATGCTAATGAGCCACTCTCGTTTCATTAAAAAAAATTGAGTTATGATTAAAATACGAAATGGGCATATTTCAACTGACCAGGAAAAGACACAAAAAATATTAGACGACCAAATCAATTTTTCCAAAGCTCCTTGATTAATCCTTGATTAAAAAATAATGGTTTTAACACAGCCATGACACTAGATTGAATTTTAAAATGCTATTTTTGATTTAATTGAAAATGTCAAAAGTTGACATATGATTGTTGATGTCAAAAGTTGTCATTCTATTCAGAATGTCATTTTCTATCAAATAAAGTACCGTATGATCGAATAAAAACGGCGTCAGCAATGGCTATGAAATGAAAAGCGCTGTCATTTTATATGTAAATTTATATGAGAAATGTCATCGATGTTCATTTCATAGCCATCGCTGACGCCGTTTTTATTCGATCTTACGGTATAAAAAATACCGAGGGTACCATTTAAAAATCAAATGTATACATTTCCGGTGAAACAGGAAGTGACCGAAACTAACTGAATACGAATCAATCTCGATTTATGTCATATACCTACTAACATTCCCAATTTAGTTTTTTTCTCGGAATCTGAAAAAATAAAAAAGTTATAGAGGTGAACCACTTTAAAAAAAAACACTCAGTATAGGCTGTGTCATTGAAAGAGTCTGCAGATATTTTTTTAATTTTAAATACGTAGAATTAACCATTAATATATGTTGAACACCCTGTAGCATCTGCCTTAAATATCTACATAGTATCTAATATTTTTTCTTCATCAACAAATTGAAATATTAGAAAACTAGTTTTAGGTTACACCATTATACAAGGATTATACATAAAAAAGTAATAATTTTACGCAGGATCTAAAATAAAATAGGATGTTACATTTAAAAAAAAACATTATGTTAAATCCGTCATACTTTTTACAAAGTTACAGAGGTACTAGTAGGTATAGTTTCATATATTTTTTTAATTATCCATCTAGAAATAAAATATATATATACCTAATATAATAATTTAGTATTTAACAAGGGGCCATGAAAATCAAAATAAATATAAATCCATATCCAAAAATAAAAAATGTAAATAACGCTTTGAGGTAAAAATTCGGTTCAAAGCAGATAAGATATTTTATTCTTTACGGAGAATTAAATTCGAAGAATTCCTAGTCCCTACTTCTTTGCCAAATTCAATAGTCTCCGCCCCTTTTTACGTTTTAATTTCTGCCACCAGTTGGCAGCATCGACTTATACAGGCACATTGACTAACTATTAATATATAAACAAGGGTTGTACTATATTATCAGTGATTCATAAAATGTTATTTTTAATAAAACATTTTGTTGATTAGAAAATAGTTTTGAGGTTAGTAACTACGGAGTTTAATATACGTAGTGTCTAAAATTCTACAAAATGTGGTGTTGCCGAACCAAAATACAAAATCTATAAGAAAGGCAAATAAGAAAATACTATATACAAGCAAAATACACTATAAAATTTTTGTGGGTCAAACCGATTTGAAAAATCTATCTAAATCGGAGATAATCATACAATCAAAGAAAATAAAATAATCAATTGTTGATTTCTCGACGAACCTTACCGCACAAAGAGACTCTATTTGAGGTTCTTCTTTCATTTTGGTACTCTTGTTAATACAGATAATCGAAAATCTCCCCTTAACCAATCAGAATTTTTAGATAAGAAGATATGTTTATGCCTATTTGCCTTTTTCCATTTGTTCTCGATTTTCTGACAAAACGTCCTGGCCGAAACTCTTATATTTTCTTTGACAGCTCTTGAAACATTACTAGAATCAAAGCGTTCCAATATAAAATTCACCACAGCGCTTCGCCGCTTCTTTGGAGTGTTAGAAGTACAAACCTCATATACATCCTGACGAGTGAAGCGCGCAGCCATCTTAAAAAATATATATGTATAGCTAAAGCGCACCTAAACGCAGCTAAATTTTTTTATGTCGTATGCTATAATAAGTAGCCTTTCAAGAAATGACAAAGTTATCGTGGTATTATGTGGTATTATGTAACAAAAACATATTTAAAGTAGCTAAATTACAATTTTTCATAGGTAACTGCAGGTACTTCTTTAACATTTCTTTTCAGTCAAACTCTTTAGCAGAAATATTTTTAAAAAATGATAGCTTACCACGTAGGCCTAATATAAAAATAATATCAATGTAGTTATTCCGTGAAAGTAAACACTTCTCACTAAAACGCCTGAAAAATTTCACTAAATGGGCTAGATATTTTAGATGATTTTATCGTTTTGTCCGAAAGATAAAGTAATGTGCATTTTTAAATGATAAGCTTGATTTTAAAAATAAACATATGTTTTTATTGATGGACATTCCTTGAATAAATTTTACAATAACTTAGGACCTGGGATAAAGTTGGTAAAAATCGAATTAATTCCACCTAGAACGTCAAAATTTCACACTGTGCGCCGCTCTGTTATGCTCGTATTTAAACGAAACAGTTTAAAAAACAACGGATCTAAAATGACTGCTTCTCCAACCCGTTGCGAGCCTCCATCGACAATCGACCAATGCAGCAGCGTTCCTTCCCCACTCCTGTTATCTCGACCGCCAGGCATTATGCCCGCAACTGTTTCAAAAAAGCTGCTTCTTTTATATCCTATTATTTTTAAGCTGTTGCAAGCCCCACACGACCATCGACCGATGCAGCTACGTTCGCCGCGCCGCGCCGCGCTGTAGAGCATTCCGCACTCCGTTGTCCGTTGTATCTCGCCGCCTGTATCGATGGTTGTCGAAATAACATGTTTTCCATCCATAATCCATACTAGTTGTGTTTTGGAATTACTTCGAGCAGCATCGAATTTTATGGCGGTGCAGAGCGCCGACTTCGTTTCACGAACTGTCGATCTCTGCGTATCGTTATTTTATATCTGTTATTTTTTAAAAGTAGTAACGGTTGCGTTATGTTATTTCTAAATAATTGTTATAAAATAACAGATAGTTAAATAACAACCCATCACTACTATCTTATAATACCTCTACTGTAAATATAAAGTCAAAATGATCAGTGTTGTATCAAAGAATACTTTAACGTTACAGAAGCGACTGCTTTGAAGTGAGTGTCTAATTTTTTTTTACTTTGAAGTTAAAGAGTTTGACCTGCTTTTTATATACATATAAACAAATAAATAACAGCAAAATATGACAACCAGCGCCATTAGTAATTTAGCCATCAGTTAATTAGTAATTTAAACTATTATTATTATACTATTTTATTACTATGATATTAGATATAATTAGACATAATTTATTCATTGATAAATTAAAAAAACTAGGTACCCCATTTGTATTGCCTAAGAGTGGGTCCCATGTACCATGTATGTAAACATAATTTTGTTTTGATTATGTTACACTTCCAATAATATAATAAAGCATAAAATGCAGTAAAAAAGTCTATATTTATATTTATATGCCAAATTTTATAATTTAGAAAAAAATGTACTTGAATAATGTTACCGTTATAGTTAATGTTAATAGGAATAAAATGCTATAACTATAGCTTACTCCGTTTTTCTTATTACCAATTCTGAACTGTCTATAACTTTGACATAGATGCGCAGAAAAAAATACCTGACAATTTTTTTTCATCTGCACATAATGTGCTGTAATTCCGGAACGATTCAGAATCGGCAATAAAAAAAACCCAAAGTAAGCCTATATTATACCAAAATTTTACAATAGTCTCTTCCACACTACCAGATGGCGCTAAATGATGGCATTAGTTTATGCTTAGACAAGGAAAGGGAGGGGACGCGTAATACCTGTAGAAATTCTGTTACGGCTCGTACAGTTGTAAGCACAACAAAACACCATATTTAAATAATGATAATTTCAAGTCTTTAAAAAAAGCTTTTTACAACACAAACTACATAAAAAACACAAAATCGGACGTCATTTTCGGGAGCCAGACAAGACACAGACAGACAGACCGTAGATGTCGATTACGCGTCCCCTCTCTTTCCTTTCCTAAGAATTTGTCTTAAACTAACCTTTTCACCACATCGTACACATATACCATAAACATCCTCCTCAATCTCTGGATTGGCTCCTACCATACCCTGAACCAACATATCTGTTAAACTATCAACTTCCTGCTCCTTATTATGGCCTATTCTGGATACTGACTGACTAGGGCCTAAGTAAACAATTTAATATTTAGTTAAATTATGGGCTATTGCTGTTAAATGCAATAGAAGTAATAAATTTACTAAACATTGATATCAATAATAATACCTGTATGTGTACTACTCGGACCACTATAAGGGGCATATATTGAATAATTTGATCTTGAAGACATTTGACTTGGAGGCCTTGGATTTATAGGTTCATAAATTGATTCGTATGTTGAAGAAACCTTAAAACATTTCAGGAGATTTATGATACATTACATAATAATAAACATAACATATTTTATTATTAAGTTTTATATAAAGCAAAACTCTGATGGTGAGACTTAGGCAATTTTTTGCAATATTATATCATTAACTATAATTTTAAATACAGTTTGTTTAAATATTATACAGACTCACAAAATTGATTACTTTGATTACTAAAAATTAATACTATGTATATTAAAAAAGATGGATTTCCTGGCCTATTTTTATATAAACTTCTTGTCTTAAAATAACTTCACGTGGTTAAACCACCACCTGAAGTTTGGCTAGATACTTAAATAACACCCGGTATTGCATTAACTTTCATTTATGTCTAAAACATACCTGTGAGCCCATACTGTAGTTGTGAAAGTCTGAACCTGGTTGTGTGGCTCTTCTCAACTCGCTATAGCTAGAACTCACTGGCGATGGTGGTGGTAACAAATCATCTGGAGGTGGCGGTAAGTTTGTGTTCACAGTACATGGAGCGTAATCACCTAATCCAGATGACAAGTCTAATGGAGGTGGTGGTGGAGGGAAATCATCTCCATTCGAATATGTCACACCATCTTGTGGCAAATTACTGTAAACAGCCCTATCTGAGGACGGATGAGCTAAATTCGAATATATCAGACCATCACGGTTTCTTGAAGGTTGAATTTGAATGTTACTATATGCAACATCTGATTTATTACCATCGTATGGTTTAGGTGTGCTATTCAAAGTTGATACTGAACTGAAAAAAATAATTTACTTACTTCATTAAAAAAATTGCCCCATTGGAGAGCAAATAATTACCTAGTGTTCTTTGTGGCATAACCAGTTCCGTAACTCACAGAACTTCTTGGTAATGAATTATTACTCAATGCAGATACACTTCTCGAATATTCTGCTTGATCATCAATTGTGCGAGGTAAATTTGCATAATTACTGTTGTGCAGATTCAATTTATTACTTGAATTAAGAGTTGCTGTATTTGAATAATGGGAATGATTATTTGGAGGCAAGTTTGAATAAAACTGATTAGACTGTATACGAGATGAATAACTAGGCTCTACATTTTTCTTCAGTGGATATGACTGAGGTATCTTTAAATATAAAAAACTTACCTATATTAAGTAATTCATTCTATTTCTATGTCTATAATATTACCAGTGGTTGTTGTTTCTCAGGTTTTGGAGGAACAGCTGGGCCAACTTTCATTCCTTGACCATCCAATTTTGGATTTGGAAGTAATTCTGCTTTATTAATTAATGCTAACTCTGCCAACTGTTTATCCAGGTCATTCATTTTTATCAAAATATGTGGGAACTACAATAATTAAAGGATTTGTAATATTATATGATTAGACTAAAATTTTGCAGGAGAATCTTAGGGACATAAATATAGGGACATTTATACATAAATAATTAAGTATACTAACTTATTTTAGTTATCAATAATGTAGGTTCACGCCAGTAAAATCATAACATACCATGAGAACTAAAATATAGTTAAGTAGACTCAATATAGTATCAAAACTAATTGCCTTCATTTAATTAAATATATAATTAATAATAAATACGGTATTTCCATAAATACTATGCTGTTGAAATTTATATAAAAATAAATGTTATATTAAAATGGTAATAATAATAAACTATGCAAACAAAATATTAGGCAAAATTAATAAAAAATGTAAATTAAAAAAAATATATTACCTTTAATCAGCTACTGCTTAATTTATAAGTACAATAATTGGCATAAATACAATAAACCAATAAACTTAACAAACTTAATAAACAAAAAACAGGAATATATCTCCGAAAATTGATGACTGTTGATGACTTACCTGGTTAATATACAAGAAAGGATATCAGTTAATATGATTCACAAAACACAAAACACCCATTCTCAAATAAATTCTGACAAGAAATGCACCTAACCAACCAAATTGTGTGCGATATTCTCTATACGTGAAATACGAATTTTCATTTAAAATTTACATGGTCCACTAGTTAACATGACGTAAACGTTGGTAAGTGCTTAAAATCACAAGGCAAATTTTTCCATGTATTCAAGGTTGTATTTAATTAAAAGTAAAATATTTTGGGAAATATGGAAAAATAGGAAGTAAACTGCGTTTATTTGATTCACTAATTTATATTATTTATTATTATATAGAGGATATATAGAGGACAATGACTTTAAAATCAAGGTGTATAATAATTTAGTTTTTATAAACAACAAAAGTTTTTATTTATAAAAATGCATAATGCTATATGATCATTTTTTGATCATTTATAAATGCATATAAATGACTAGATATTATCATATATAGGATATTATTTATGAATTATTATGTATTTAATGATATATTTTTATATCAAATAATAGATAATTTGGTATACCGATAATTTATTGAAAAGATATAGGTATAAAATTACCGAGTTATCCAAAGGAGTTATCGAATATAAATATAGGGTATAGAATAGATAATAATGACTGAAAACAAGTAAAACAACACCATGAGGTCCTTACTTAGAGAAAAATTGATAAGCCTGATAAAGCCGTCTATAAACTTCAGACTTAAAATGTTTTCTTTTTTATTAACTAACTTTTAATATTTTTATACGTTTCTTAAGGGTCTGTTACGTAAATTAATAATAAATTCGTCCTGAAAAGGCCCATCCCTAACAGTCGACATATCGAACTAAGAACTAGTAGTGGGAACTATCGAATGAATACTATCGAAACATTCGATAGTTGCAATTCATTCGAATAATTCGATAGTTACTAAGAAAACATTCGTTGAAAACTATTCGAATAAAAATTATCGAATAGATCCGTCATCTGCCTTGAAATATTGTATTCTAGTAATTCGGCAGCAAAAACCATTCATTTATAAAATTCATTTATTCGTCAGGATCGATTATAATAAAATATTAACTGAATTTTAGTTGTCGCCCGGCGACGTAGGTTTCTTTCCGAGAAACCCGACAGCGGTCGGTGGCATTGCTATGAAAGAAGCCGGCATGTTTGATTTTTTGCGGAGTCAGATATACATAAGGGCACATTATTTTTTTTATTGAGGTGCTCGTATTTACACAGAAAATACATTATGAAGGGCGCTGTTGCCATATTTTGGTATTAGTTTATATTAGCAAAGAATATTATTGTTTGGCTTTAGTTAGTTAGGGATAGTATGTCCACAAAATAGAAATCAATCAGTTGATTTCTATTTTGTGGTATGTCTATATATTCTGCATTTTTTTTATTAATATTCTGTTGTTACACTGCAATAATACTTGTTATTTTGGATGTAGGAGAATGATTTTTAATGTTTTAAGCAAAGACTGGTTTAATAAATAATAATAACAGTAATAATTTGTTATACCTATTAACAACAAAATTTAAAATCATTTAATATAAACATTTTCTTTAAGTAGTAGCAAAATATAAACAAGAAATTAGATGTCAAAATTATTTATATTAGATCCTATTTAAAAATAATATAGTCTCTAAATTTTTTGTGTGTGGCAACGTTGGTTTATTAAATAATAATAATTACAGAACTAATTTGTTATATTAACAACAAATTTTAAAATCATGAAATATAAACATTTATTAATTTTCTAAGCGTGCAGTGTAATGGAAGAAAATATAAATAAAAAATTAGAAATCAAAATTATTTATATTAGGTGCTTTATATTACTATTTAAAAATTATATTTACTTTTACTGGCTTTTACTTTAAAAAATAAATGAAATATTTCTTCGCAAAAAACTACATGTAAGAGAATTAGCATAAACAAAATACAAACATCGTTAACTTTTTTTTTAAATTGGCACGTATAAAACTTTCAATTTAGTTTTCTCACCCCATAGTTTGAGTTCGATAACCCCATTTACTTAACCACATTACTAAAATATGATTATTAAGTTCAACTAATTCATATTATTAAAACATCTAAAATACAAATATGTATTTTTAAAATTAATTGTAAGTTCATCTCATCTCTCTTAAAAATTGCTACTTCTCAAAATTTCCCATTAAAAAATAGACCATATAAAATTAAATAATTGAAAGATCGGACTACGGAAAATCACACAAATTTTCGGAAAAATTTTGACCACCTGCACATGCACTCAATCGTCAATAAATAAAATTAAAAAATAACTACTATTTTAGTATTTTAACTATTTTAATAAACGCAAAAATAGCACAGTATTTATACGGCGAAGTTATAAGAATTTGGAAGAACTAATAATGCACTGACGCATACAAAAATCAAACGAATACTAAATTTCATTTATCAAAAGTATTCGATAGTCGTGGCTCAACGATAAATCATTCATTCATTAACCATTCGATAGTCTAATTCATTCGATAGTTCCCATCGCTGCTAAGAACTAATCCAACCTAACCAACGAAACGATAGAACTACTATCAGAGTACGTAGCTACTATTGACTACGGCCTTTACTACGGCAAGACTACGGTTTCCGGTTTCCGTTTAACTGACAACTGACACTATTGACAAAACACAAAACAATAAACAAGAAAGAAAGCAAGGGGAATAATAAATGCTAAATTTAGAAGAGCAAATATCAGAAAAATATAATTAGTGTAGAAGGCAATGATCAGAGTTAAATTAGAGAGGAAAAGTAAATAAATTGGACTTTTTAATATTTCTACAGGTAGAAATGTCTGAAATAGGTGCCCAAACTCCCAAGGTATTTGTATTTGCTAAAAATCTAAGCTAAAAATAGTTAGATATTACCTATTATTTTTCCGAGGATTCTTAACAGAGAGATTTTTTGAACATTTTTTTATTAGCTAATACATTAGCTATTCCTATAGCTATTATTTTTTAAAACCAATGTATACTTTTTCAGCCTACACTCTCATTAAGACATGATTGGTATCAGTCTGATTCTGCTGTCGTAATTACGATTTTAATAAAAAACATTCAATCTGATCAACTGAAAGTTAGTTTTTCTGATCAAGAAGTAACAGCAGATATCACAGTCCCTGAATATCAAGATTGCCACCTTCAGTTTCATCTAAGTCACAGAATCGTTCCTGAGCAGTGTAGTTACAAAACGTCTGCTTCGAAGGTATGAAGTTATTAAAAAAACAGTATATAATTTTTGTTATTTAGATATAGGTAATTGATATATAATTATTCCGGTGCTTGTCAGATATAACACCCTCCGAATTTGGCATTTATTTATATATCAGTCGAAAGCATACATTTAAATAAGAATTTTAAGCAAAAAAAAATTGCGGATGAACCACAATTTATTGAAAAATAAATAAATTAAAAGTGCATTTTTAGATTATGGTGAAGTTGTATAAGCGTGTAATTATTGTAAAATATGACGATTATATGCATTTTTTATTAATATAAAGGTCAGAATTAATCATTGAGAAGCATTATTAAGTCATAAATCAAAAATAGAGTTGGTGATCTCTATTGTAATATTTGCCTGATCGATTTACTCTTTCGATTCAAACATGCCGCCGGAGCCGTCTGTCACCATTTGTTGTTAAGGATGTAAGCTGCGTAAGCATTGTTGCCAAAGTTATTTCTTGTTTGTATGATACATAATACCGTATGATCGAAAAAAAACGGCATCCAGTTGGCTTGGAAATAGGGTTCCCAACCGTCCCGGTTTGACCGGGATTAACCAGGAATCAGAAAGTTTGTCCCGGCGAAAATTTTGCCTTGGCCGGGACCAAAAAAATCACATTTACATATAATGTATTTGAATTTCTAATATGTAATGTTTTGTTTCAATTATTTAAAAACTTGAAAATAATTGTCCCGGAATCGCCCATGCTCAAGTTGGGAACCCTACTTGGAAATGACGATCGATGACATTCCCCATATAATTTTACATATAAAATGACGGCGATGTTCATTTCATAGCCATGGCTGACGCCGTTTTTTTTTCGATCATACGGTACGTTACATGATACAAAAAAAGAGTTGAAACCGAAAGAGTTTTGATTGCGCTGGTTTCAACCTTTTCGTGAGGGTGTTAGTCTTTTGTTATGTTTTTTTTTTATTTTAATACGAATCTGATTGCTTTCACTTGATTTTACGTGCCGGTCGCCGGACGAACAAATCCTTAACAGTAGCGCTGTCACGATAAGAACAGATTATAAGTTATTTTAAAATCAAGACATTGAAAGCACTCAGATTCGTATTAAAATATAAAAAAAACAACAGATTAACCCCCAAAGAAGTTGAAACCAACGCAATCAAAACTCTTTCGTGCAACTTTGTAGTTATAAATAGTCAGATCTCGTAGGCAAAATATCAGCTAGGGGTAGGAGCAGTTCCTCAGGCGATCGCCTTTTCTTGATTTTAAAATAATTTATAATCTGTTCTTAACGCGAGTTTTCTTCCGACCAGCACGTGTTTTTTTAATGAACCTTTCAAGAAGAAATGAATGAATCTGGCAACGCCGACAAAATTTGGAGGAGTTTTCGCATAGAAAGTAGCCTGTTGTAGCAATAATTAGATGTTTATTTTTTCATTAAATTATGGATCATCCACACTTTTTTTTGGCTTGAAATACTTATTTCGATGTATGCTTTCGAGTGATATAAAAAAAAGTACAAAATTCGGAGGGTGTTATATCTGACAAGCACCAATTATTCCTTAGATTGAAATTAAGTTAAAAAAATTGGAAGGATTAAGATGGGACAAGCTACAAGGAGGAATTAATGAAAAAATCAAGCCAATACCTCAAGGTTAGTGAATTTAGGAGATTATTTAAATATAATATAATGTTAAATTTGCATAAAAGACCTTTATAAAATTTCAAGAACTAGGAACAGCAGGACCACCAGCTTATCCCACATCAAAAAAAGGAAAAGACTGGAATTTAGTAGAAAAAGAAATAACAAAACAAGAAGCAGAAGAAAAACCTGAAGGGGAGGAAGCTCTCAATCAGCTTTTCCAACAAATTTATGGTAAAGGTAGTGATGAAGTAAAGAAAGCAATGAATAAAAGCTATGTAAGTTTATAAATTAGAAGAAGAAAAGTTAGTAAATCTGTTTGGTTAACCTCATAATGAAAAAACGAGACAGTCTTGCTAATGCAATTATTGTCACCTTTCAGAATTCACCAGTTGATAGACTGGTCACACCAAATTACATGAAGTGGAGAAATGTTTTATGTGATTGCTGTATTCTGAAAAGTGACCAATATTATAACTGTCGACTGTCAACATTTACAATATAACTTACAGCCAAAAAAACATATCTCTACTTTTTTATCTTATTCTCCAGCATTTCTTTGTAGTTGCATAAGTATACCGTATGATTGAGAGAAAACGGCGTCAGTGATGGCTATGAAATGAAGATCGCTGTCATTTTGTCATTTTATAGGTAAATTTATATGGGAAAAGTCTTTGAATAAGAAGACTAAGGAAGGAGCATATCAAAAATCTTAGTCCACCGCGATGGGCCTCAAATATGGGCGACTTAAATTCCGGTTTATCAGTGCCGTTCTAATTTTATTTAAAAAATGTAAAACTATGATGTAGGGTAGACGTGGGGTAGACTCAATATTTTTTTTTTATTTTACGTTGTGAATAAATGTTGGTAGTTATTAAAATTGTTATAATAATATAAAATTCTAATAAAAATAGATGTTATAATAATTATTTATAACCATAAACATCCGATACGCTACTGAAGCAGGTAAGTCAAATGCTGTATCTAAATTCTTTGACATCAAATCTTTGACAAGTAGTAAATAAAAGCAAAAATGCAAGAAAAAATATATAATTTGTTAATTTAAGTGAATTTCATAAATGATCGGTTTACTACACGTATGTATAATATATAATCACTTACTAGCGAAAAGTTTATTTTATTTATTCCATTATTTCACTCGATTTTTGCCGAGATCTACCGCACGCTACACAACCAACTATTTTAGAGTCTTTTTCGATAAATCGCGATAGTGTCACTGTTAATTTAAGTTCTGCCACACTTTCCATCTAGATTTACTACCTTTATACAACTTTATACAATTGATTATAGATGATATATAGACAAGGATACAACTATCAGTAATAGAATAAATAATAAATAACATAAAATAAGCTCCGTAAAGAGTGACAAATCCACAAAATTTCAAATCAAATTCAAATGTGTCAGATGAATCGTCAAACAGAACTGTCAAGGATCCCCACCCTAGAGTGCTTTTTCCGCCCACCATGCATGAATACATGGATAGCATTATGCTCCTTAGCATGTCCTTAGTCCTTCCTTGGTCTTCTTATTCAAAGGGAAAAGTCATCGATCATCATTTCCCAGCCAACTGGATGCCGTTTTTTTCGGTCATAGGTAGTAATAAGTAATAAATTATGCTATGATCGAAAAAAACGGTGTTGAGTTGGCTTAGGAATGACGATTGATAACATTCTCCATATAATTTTACATATTAAATTACATGATCATACGTGATCTTCATTTCATAGCCATCACTGACGCCGTTTTTTTTTCGATCATATGGTATTAAACGACCTGTATTATTCTGAATGCATATTGAATATTTCTTTATTTTAGCTTGAAAGTGGTGGCACAGTATTGAGCACTAACTGGTCTGAGGTTGCTGGTAAAAAAGTAGGTGTGAAACCTCCAGATGGAATGGAATTTAAAAAATGGGATAGTTAATTTTGAAATGGTTGTTTTGACATATACAAATTAAATATTTATTTAATATATTTTTGTGTTGGCTTTTTTAATAAATTCCTGGTAGGCCTATATTTGAGATTTTAATTAAGATATATGAGAAAAATACCTATATGTTACAAATGGCTAGACCAAGTGTTTATAAAAAATTATACTTGACTCGTATCATGAGAGATGTCATGAGAGTATCATCATGTAAAAAAGGTATAAATATGGTATAAATCATAGGTATAAATATAAACTACCATATGATAAAAAAAAACGGCGTCAGCGATGGCTGCGAAATGAAGATCGCTGGGTATTACTTTTTATTGTTAATCTAAGGGTATTACCGATCGCGGTATACCCCGATCGCTGTTTATTCTATATGTAAAATTATACGGATATGGATATAATCGATCATGGGGTAATTTCCAAGCCAAAATTGATATATTGCGAGTAGATCTTGTTTTCTATGGAGTAGACTCCTCGTTAATTAAATCTGTTTCACATTCTAAATTATCGATATTTTTGGACGTTCCTAGTTATTTAGTTATTTGATCTACCTATTGGATCTACCAGTGCCAACCCTTGATAACAAAACGTAACCTAATAGGTATTATTGTAGGGGCTTAGGGGTTATGTTGTAATAAGTTATGTTATAAAAATGTTTATTCTTGCAATTTCCAGCTATTTCTTTGATTAAAAATATTAGAAATATGTCATTTAATAGAGCATTTAATCAAGCCTTAATAATGATGCGATTAAACCGTAATTACACATCATTAGCTTATTCATTATTCAATAGAGGAAGTAAGTTTAAACAAAAATTTATCGATATACAGTACTATTTAAGTAAACGAAGATATTTATGTACATATGTGGAAAAAGAAAATAATTATGCTTACCATATTGTCGCCACTGATAATTTAGGTAGTACAGTGAATAGAACAGTTACTAATATTTCTAATGAGCATGAACTTACCACATTTCTGGATCGGAATTGGCGTAATTCGAATAGTACAGACATCGCAAATGCATTCAAAGCCGCTTCGCAATATTGCAAAGATCATCAAATAAATTTGTCAGATACTCGATTTGATTCTTTAGTAGATGGCTTGATGGATCATTGTGAAAATCTTACTGATACGGAATTATTGGAACTTCTGAGATGTTTAAGTGAATATCCAAGATGTGACAGTTATTTAGCTCATAATTTTCATGATGTGTGGAGTTGTTTAGATGATATGTGCTGCTGGAGAATACCCAAGAGGAATGTAGAAACTCTAATAACATTTGCTGATATGTGGTACAAATGGCAAATGGCAAAGTACAGTGACTTTATATATGAAATATTGGACAATTTAGCGAAAAAAACAGACAAACTAACCAAAGAGCAGTTATTACATTTATTTTTTTTGTTTAATGTAAGTAGAAGGAGACAAGTCCATTTTGAATATGAATATGCAATTGAAAAATATATCAATGAGATGACTGTAGACCAAATGGCCGTAATTGCATTGGGTTATTTTAAGACAAAGAGTAAGATTAAACTGTTACCTATTTCGCAAGCTATGATTAAGGGAGTTACTAATTCCTGCAAAGATATACATGAAATCTCGTTAACTGCTATAATGAAGGTAACAACAAATATAAATTTAATATACCTCTATTGATTAGTATTTATAAATAGTGTAGGTCTTGTTATTACATAGTTCTTATATTTTGTAGACATTAAGATTTTCTCAACCACCTAAAGTATTAAATGATATCCAAACAATGTTAGAAAAACTATATCCAGAATTGGATAGATTTTCAAACGTATGTTGTCTTCATATAGCACTAATTTTAACAGCAGTGGTCACTCCAAATTATAATATCTTAAAGTAAGTAAGAATATAAGATATATTAATTAATATTATATTTTTGAAATTTTCAGCAAAGTTTCAGAGATATTATTTAAGGATATTAAAACTATTAGATTAAAAGAAATAGAGCGCATACTAAATGTTTTATCAATGTTTAATTATCATCCCAAAACTGTGCCACGTCTGTATGAAAAAGCTTTTGAAGAACTCCATAAAGATTATCGCTCAAGTGAAATTGCTAGGCATCCAAGGCCTTTTTTATCTGCATTACATTATCTTAGTTTGCAAGAAATCTATTCTTATTCTTACTTGGATAATATATTGGATGCTGAATATATAAACTTATCATTTGGTATTGTATAACAATTGGTATATTTCATGGAAATATTTTTAAATTACAGGTCTAATAAAACTATACTAATTTTATTTTTTTTCAGGAAAATCTGCAAAGTCAGTACCAAGGGAACTGTTTTCCCTGGACTGTAGTATTGACATTGACTGTCCTGATTATAAGGGTAATAGATTACCTCCACATTTAAAATATAAAGCTGCAAAGTGGCTTACTGATTTTATCCCATCACCTGACCAATGGACAAATGTTACATTGGCTGATCGACTATTTATAGCTGCCATAGAAGTTGTAAAAAAAATTGTAAAAAATGAGGACTTTATTTTTCTTCATCATGTACTTCCTCATTTTCAAAGTGGAGGTATACATTTTTTATTTACTTATTTTAAAACGTATATTAATGTATGGACAAGACTATGATGTTGGTAACACATAATTAAATTGTGTTATGATTATTATTAAACCATAGTTCCACATTTGAGATCAACTAGCTTAAAGATTATTTGGAAAAAGAATTAATTAATCTATGCCAACCCTATATTTGATAGCTAACAACTCTGGCTAACAATAACATCAAAATAAAACAATTCACCACAATACACAAAAACACTTAACAGCTGACGCGCGTTTTGTTAACCATGTTAGAATTTACAGCAGATGGTTAAAACTTGTTTTAACTTAGTCAAGTTAAAGCTAGTTTTAATCAAAAACCATGTTGGCATGTTAAGGTAACAATCTTGATGCTAAACGCGCGTCCAATGTTAAAAGTAAAGTACTTATGTATATCATGTTGAATTAGTGTTTTAGTTTGCTGTTGTAACACTAAAAGTTCCAACCCCCAACTGTAAGCAAACAATAACAGTATAAATGTAATATTTCAGTTATAGTTGTTTGCAAGAATATAGAAACAGATCAGTTTGTTAAGCCTAAAGGTTTTGAGAATTATATATTAGGTGATATTATGGTTCCTTTTAACGATGGGTCTTTAAAATGGTACGCAATTATGGTTGTGGGCTATAATAATACGATTAAGGAAACAAGCATTCCATTAGGACATATGCTCATGAAGGAAAGACAGTTGAAAAAAATTGGTTACACGCCAAGAATGGTATGTTTGAATTTAATTTCAAAATTAAAATATTAAATTTTCTGATTTCAGGTTATATGGAATCAATTTCTGCCATTAACTGCCAAAGAAAAAGAACGATATATTTCATCTATGTTATTGTAGAATTACCAGTTGTAGTATATTTATGAGATTTTTTATAATAAAGCTTAATAAATAATTATTTGTGATTTGTTTCATACATTTTAAATTTATATTACTTGAACTTCAGTCAGGTAAAAATAGTTTACCTAATTATTTCTGACATTTTTGTCATAGTAGGCCTTTGTTTGACAGTGATCTTTCTTTATGTATAAACAAAAGTAATTTTGATTCTAACTATTTTTTCTTGCTTAAAAATCTTCTAAAATGAATAAAACTACTGATAAAGTGTTTCGTCGTAAAGGTAAGAAACTGTTTATTAAAATATACTGCATTTTAAATATCTACAATTTAATTTCTTAAAATAAGGTCTGTGCACATTATCATGCATGTATCGTTTCCAGAATGTAACTTTTTGACTATGCTTTTTGATTCTGAAAAATATTTAGCGGTTTTATAAGTAACTAATTCACAGTGTCCGGCACGTATCGTATTATACACGCACCCAATATTTCTATTCAGTATACTCAAAATAATATTTCGTCTAGGTGCGGATCGTATTGGATATTGTATTAATTGAATTTTGTCTTGTTTCTTTTACATTCAGGTAACATAACTTTAATGTAGCAAACTCTTCATGTATGAATAAGTGAAATGTAAATACACAGTGTAGTTGCTGGGACGGAAACGATACGTTTATGATAATATGCATATAGACATGTAGATTTGCTTCTCTAAATATATAACCGTGCTTTTCTATTTGTTAATGAGTTATAGATAGCATTACCAGAATAAGTAAAAATGAACCAGGACGCAAGGATGCACCCCGTCCGAGAAGTAGAAGTGTTTTCACAAGCTCTCATGTCAGTGATGAAATGCCTTCTAGAGATATGATGAAATTGGAAGGGCCCTCTAGTTGGCCACCCTACGTTCCTAAGCCTATTACCGTAAAAAACTATTTTACAGATGATTTTAATGTAAGTGTATCTTAACGTTTTACTACGTTTTCAACATAATAATACATTATTACTATTGATTCCCTAGTGTATATGTGGTCTGCATAGATATTTGTTTATTTTAATGATGTTTTTAGGATTATTATGGCGACGATACATATCAAATGAGCGGAACAGTCATTTCGCCTCATGGAGTAATTACTTTACGCTTACATGACCGCATTCGTGTTGATATATCTCCAGAACGCGCTGTTAGGATTGCCAATGCCAAAACTGGCATCGTTTTGGCGCTCAGTGCCAGCGGGTCGTCGTCCGGTCTCATACATCCGAATGGACGAGTATATCAGTATGGTTCGAGAGTAGAAATTATGGCAAATGATAGTCATGGCAATGATAAGTAAGTGATTAGGGTGTCACAATATTCTACTAGTGTCTAGTCTATATCTAATGATCCCTGCCAGCAAGCCTGCCACGACTTTTCTGTTTTGCCGGTTGGCTATGTGTATTTTGAAGTTTGACAATAATTAACAAAAACAGCTGACGATTATCCAAACAAATTAATTCAGCAATCAAATTTGTATTAAAAAAAAATAGGGAAATCATAACAATCAAACCTGCAATATATATATTGACTATAGGCAGCGCTCTATACGGCCGAAATCAGAAAATATCACTATGTATTTCACGCCGTTCCTGTTACAGTTCACGTTGATCGCATTAAAATAATATTGAAATCGTAGCTTTATCACAATATTTAAGTATTTTAGTTTTTTGCTAGTGCAGTTATTGATGTAACGTTGTTTCGGCTAGTAAAAATTAAGTAAAAAAGAACTCGAACTGGGCGTCGCGTTGTGTTCTGACAATTTCAAATGTTAATAAAAATGAAGAAAAAATGATAAGGAGGGCGTAACCCGTAAAGGAGGTCGTAATTATGTGGTTGGGTGCAATAATATACAATAACTCAACTTTCCCGAATATTCAACTCTCCCGAATCAACATTTTATAGCTTCACAGCTTCTCAAACTGATCTGATTAAAAGCAAAAATGGATTCAAGCAGTTCGACGAAACAAGTGAGTAAACAAAGTGCCCATTACATAATGAAAAAATTAAATAGACATATATTATGAGAGGATAAACTCTTTTTAATCCACTAGTGCTTAATTTTTTATGAATATCTTCTAAAATTATAATAATGTACCTCCAAAAAATTTCGTTATAGTCGAAATAGCCCAAGTTATGTCCCCACTAGCTAAACAGTGCATAAAACTATGCTCCTTACCGTAGTTGAACTCATCTAAAAACTTTTATTAGCTTCAATAATAAATTATAATACAAGTTGGACCTTCTCAAAATATTTATTTTTTTAGAATTTGCACAAATTATACTTCCACAACATTTTAATAATAATACCGATTGTTTACGATATTCTCCGATGGTGGCAGCATCGGTCGACAATGCACCAAGCCTTATTTATGCGAAAGGATCATCATGAACATATTCCAATACAACCTCACACTCGATGTTTTAATACCCCATTTAAATTAATTTAAAGTAAATTATAGTCCTTATAGGCAAAGCAAAATTAAAAAGCAGCAATAAATATATGTAACAACTAGCGTGTACTCGCGACTTCGTTCGCGTCGAATTAATCATTTGTAATGGTGATGATAAATAAAAGCAAGAATTTCCATTAACATACAAACTGGATAAAATTTTCTCACATTTATGTCAGCACGAGAAAAAACAATATGGCGATATTATTATATAACTTGGTAATATTTGAGGGGTAGTTTTATCTCGTTGGAATTTGACTTTCGAAAAATCCGTTTGCCAAAAGTAAGCTTTTTACGTCAATCAGTTTAAGCAGAATCGTGGTTAATCAATTACCCAACTTTTTGGAACACCCTGTATGATTTTTTAAAAAATTTCAAAATATGTAAAAAAAACAAAATAAATTATGCGTTTCCAAGCGTTTTTCCGAAAGACTAACCGTTTTTTAAATAACAAATATTGTAATATTTGAGGGGCGTTTTCACCCTCTTGGAATTTGAGATTCGAGAAACCCCTCCTTATCGAACCTCTACACCCCACAGTCACTCTGTTTGCCAAAAATCAGCTTTAAACGTCAAGCAGTTTAAGCAGAATCGTGATTACTCAATGGTCATATTTTATGAAATACCCTGTATAATTTTTAAAAAATCTTAAAATATGTAAAACAACAAAATAAAATATACGTGTTTAAGAGTTTTTCACCCCCTGTGAATTCGGTGGTTTCACCCCTTTAGCATTCGAGTTTCGAAAAATCCCTTCTTATCGAACTTCTACGCCCTACAGTCAATCCGTTTTCCAAAAATCAGCTTTTTACGTCAAGCGCTTTAAGCAGGATCGTGATTAATCAATGACCAGATTTTTCGAAACACCCTGTATACATTTATAAAAAATCTTAAAATATGTAATAAAACAAAATAAAATATACGTGTTTTTTTCGAAAACTTGGCCGTTTTTTGAATAAAAAATATTGTAATATTTGAGAGGTGGTTTCCAAGTTTGAGTTCCAAGGGGGTGCCCTTGGAACTGGAATTTCGAAAAATCCCTTCTTATCGAACCTCTACACCCTAGAATCAACCTGAATGCCAAAATTGAGCTTCTTACCTTGAGTGGTTTGAGCAGGATCGTGATTAATCAGTGAGTCAGTCGCTTAAGGATTTTATATATTAGTATAGATCAAAATAAACGAAAATTGAGATGTATCCAGATAATTGCGACTGTTTGTTTAAGGTTACTTGAATATTCTTTTTTTGATATCCAGGTTTGCAAAAATGTGGTACAAAGGAGTTAGCTTTAGCAGTATGCAGTGTGCCTTAGTCTATCTGGTTGACTCGGCCGGAACACGGACTACTACAGATTCGTTTAACGATTTGTCGCAGCATGATTTCACACTGAATGTGTTTTATGAGTAAGTCTTAATTTTTTAAGGTACTAATTTGGGATTTCTGTAGATTTTATTACTAAAGAAAAAAAAAATAGTCATAATTTTAGATATTATGATTGACATGTTTTAAGAAAATATTTTTAACTTTCCCATACTTAAATTAATTTCTAATTTATTTCTCGTAGGGGAGCGGGGGGCACGTTGTTACCATTTTTAGATAATTGTCAATATGACAAAAGCTATTAAATAATTTATACATTTGGTTGCTTTTATCGTTAGTATGTCTATTCAGCTATTAAAATATGACCTAAAAGTTATTAAAATTTATGTAATTTTTTCACAATGAACAAAAAACATCGATTGTAACAACTTACCCCCTATTTGGGGCTAGTTGTTACATCTTCGGGGCACGATGTTACGGTAGATAAATAAACAAAATCATCAATAATAAATCATTTTTTTTATTATTTCAAAGCGTTATAAACAAAAGAGATCACTTTAAACAGTATTTTAACATTTATGAGTAATTATAATATCTACAGCATGGAGAAAAAGACCCATGTATCATTCTGGGAAACACCATCTTCGAAACTGAATTTCCAGCAGCATTTATCAATTATTCTAAATGTTCCTCTTTCGGCAGATGTGATCGCACTGACTTGTTTTTGACCACGGGCAGCAACTATTTTTTAGGCTTCTGTACCGTTGTGACACCTCTGTTTCGTCAACATTCCATATGCGCGAAGGCGAAGCAGTGAATTCATATTTTTGGAGAAAGCCTTACAGTTTGCCAGAAAAATCATTGGTTCTGTTGAACGACGTTCTTCTATCCAAAGATGTACCTTCTGGTGTTCGTAGAGATAGTTGAGGATTTCTATCCATAAAACTTTTAAACCAGTCCGGCCCAACCATGTTATTTTTAAGCCAGCTGGGGGGAATATTTGTTAATTCGAGTTTTACAGCACATTGGTAAGCTAGTTTTCGGACTTCTCTTGGTAGTAAACTAAAATATATTTCTTTTGAGTAGATAAGAAGCTAATTAGTTCTGTTTCTTGTGAGAATACCAATCTAGGTTTAACGTAACCCAATGAACAACTTTCGTTGTTTTTGTTTTTTCTGACATAGGTACCTGGACAAGGACATCGGACATAAATTAAACATTTCACTTGCTTTACGAATGCTCGTTTTATTCTGCAGTATGCCTACTGCAGCAGATTCATAAACTTCTTGACTAGTTGTACCTCTTTCTGTTTTTCTTTGATAGTTTCTCATTCTGAAAAAAAAACAAAGAATATTTAGAAATTTTAAAATATGAAGACGAACGGTACAACACAAGGCATGGTTTTTGTAGTTTTTTATATGTAACAACTTACCCCAAAAAATTGTAACTACCTGCCCCGTGGTACGTTTTTAAATATAAATTGTTAAAAAGTCAGCATTAATGGATATCTATAGTAGAAAAAAACAACATTGCAAATTACAGGTAGATATATTATGAACGTTCAAAGTTAAAATTTTTGAGAAAATAAAAAATATAGACATCAGTAATCAAAAATTTCGTAAAAGATTTGTTTACTTACTTGGTTCAAATTTGAGACACATGCACACAACTTAGCAGCGTGGCGCTTGACGGGTCACTGATCATTTTTATTTAATGAACGATGTTATAAGGAAACAAATGAGTCAACTTATGCCCACCAAAAAGTTAAAAATCTCGGTAAAAAAGGCGTGTAACTTCTTACCCGTGTAACAACGTGCCCCCCGCTCCTCTACTTTACGTTTAACATGTATTTCGGAAAACAAATAATTTAGTAATTTAATTAGCAGAAAGTTAAAAATATTTTTTTAAAACATGAGAATACACGGACTACTACAGATTCGTTTAACGATTTGTCGCAGCATGATTTCACATTGAATGTGTTTTATGAGTAAGTCTTAATTTTTTAAGGTACTAATTTGGGATTTCTGTAGATTTTATTTCTAAAGAAAAAAAATTAGTCTTAATTTTAGATATTACGATTGACATGTTTTAAGAAAATATTTTTAACTTTCCCATACTTAAATTAATCTCTAATTTATTTCCCGTACTATACATTTAAAATGTATTTCGGAAAACAAAATTTGTTTTTTAATAATTATTTAATAATTTAGTAATTTAATTAGCAAAGTTAAAAATATTTTTTTAAAACATGAGAATCATAATATTTAAAATTATGACGATTTTTTTCTTAAGAACGTGTTGATTATGCTTATAGCATTATGATCCGAAAAGAGTACTGCCAGATTTATAATAATATATTCATTTTACTATTCAAAACTATTTTGAATAAAATGAATAATTAAAAAAAAAAAATATGACCAATTATATTTAAATCTACTTATTTAATATTAAGTAGTTTCTTTATTGTAAATTTAGCTTAAAGCTTCATTCAGAACCTCGAAATCAGTGGAATAAATTAGTAGTTTCAATTAGCCGTAGAAGTTTGTTCATCTAATTTTAATGTAAGCATTCAGAACATCAAAATTAGTGGTAGTAATTTTCAATCAATGGAAAAAGTTAACAAACTTTTGACTTTTCCACTAATTATACTTCAAAATTTGCGAGGAATGTCATTTTGGCCTTTGATTATCACCCGTCAAGAAAAATTTTTGTTAGAAGTCAAAAGTTTATGGTTTTATAAGCTAAATATTATTCTTTCTCTATGGATACAACAGACTACCGCAAGCTGTTGCTAGGATGTTTTATTAATTTTAATTGGGTTTTTAGCAGGGTTGAAAAAAATCATGATTTTTTTAAAAAAATCAAAAAAATCAGATTTATATGACTTAAATCAGATTTTTTTGATTTTAATTCAAAACAATATTTAAATGGGGTTTCCAAATGACTACTACTTATTTCCAATTAAAGTCCTATCCTAAATGGCTAAATCTTTATAACTCTGTCCGTTGTCGATAACATTAATAATTCTAAATCACCAATATATTTCTCAAAAAAGTCGCTCGCTTCAGATCAAAAGGATTTTTTTTCAAACGTCTCAAAAGTATTAATTTTTGCCATTTTAATGCCTAGGTATAAAAGTAAAGCACTGTTACGCCTAAGCACAAAAGTACAAAAATATATTATTAAACTGATATTAAGTGTCAAATTCAACGAGTGTACAAATTAAATTGTTGCTTGATTACTGTTTATATTATTTGCAATATTTGAAATTGATTAAAAATTATTGTAATGTTTTAAAAAAAAAGTATGCAAGTTCTATTAGGAGTAAAATGTACTTTTTGTGCTTCCTTGTAACGTCGGAATAGCTCATAGCTTTACGATGGTCCTTCAAAGGAGTATAATTCATCAAAAAAAGTATAATTTTTACTCCTAATAAAACAATACACTATTGTTCGGAAATACTCTAAGTCGAGAATGAAATTAGTATTATCTAATGTCAAAGTGTGAAATACTTACTGAGGATCAAAATGTCGGTAAGAATTTGGAAAAATACAACCATTTCAAAGAAAAATAAAACAACATATTTCCTGACAACGATTATTATAGATTCTTGGGAATGAAGATATAGTCTCTATATCAGAAGAATCTTGTTCTGCACTAGACTGCGAATGATGTGTATTCGACCAGCAAATTATTATTAAATTAACTTATACATAAATTTTAAAATAAATCTCCGCGTTTAGTGGTCTAATGGATTCACACGAAATTACTTCAAAAATCGGTCCAACATTTAAATTGATGAATAGATATTTTTATATAGTTTTATAACATTTACATGCAATTACTTTTCGATTTATTATCTGTTATATCTTTTATAGAAATATTTTTTATAGTTTTCTAGAACACATTTTTATAACTTTTACAGTTATTTTTTTATTTATAATAAAGTTTTAATAAAATTATTTTTTTTTGATTTAAATCAATGATTAAAATTAAAAAAATCACTTGATTTAAATCACGATTTAAATCATGATTTAAATCATTTGATTTAAATCATGCCAACCCTGGTTTTTAGACATTGTGAATGATCGTAAACTAAAAAGTATAAAATGTAATTGAAACCACTAATTTATTCCACTAATTGGGAGGTTCTGAATGAATCTTTATACTTTTTAATTTACGATCATTCACAATGTCTAAAAAACACAATTAAAATTAATAGAATATCCTAGCAACAGCTTGCGGTAATCAGTTGTATCCATAGACAAAACCCAAAATTTAGCTTATAAAACAGTAAACTTTTGATATCTAACCACAGTTTCTCTTGACAGATGACAATCAAAATCCAAAATGACATTCCTCTCACATTTTACACAAGTATAATTAGTGGAAAAGCTAATAGTTTCTTAACTTTTTCTACTAATTGAAAATTACTACCACTAATTTTGACGTTCTGAATGCTTACATTAAAATTAGAGAAACAAACTTCTACGCTAATTGAAACCACTAATTGCGAGGTTCTGGATGAAACTTAAACTTCACAAATAACATTTTTGATATGAACTCGAAGATATGACAAAAGCTGATCAAATTTAACTTTTAGAGTAGTTTAATTTAGATATTTAGAATGTAATGCAGAATTTAATAATGTAACAATATAAATTGTTCATTTTAAACAGCTGTTATGATTATTATTTTAGAGATTCACCATATTTAGATCAAACACCGTCACCTACAACTACTACTCAGTTGGTCAACGAGGCCGTGAGCGTTCTGCAAGCTACTAACTACTGGTACACCGAGGATGGTACTGAGAATTGGATAATAAACAACGTACGAATTTCGCAGACTGCCGATGGATTAGTGCGGTATGTTTTTATTTTTTAGCGTGTTAAGCAACTCATAAAATTTCTTTTAGGGCATTTGAAAATATTGGAAGAGTTTTACAGCATTTTTTAAAAAATGGGGTAAACGACGATGGAATTCACCATATTCTCTCCTTTTTTTTTATATATAACATGTTTGGCACGGTGTTTAATCACCGCGACCTTACAGACATTTTTGTGTGTCTCCGTTTCTTGAGTTATAACTCATCATACAGCCTCAGGGTTTTGACAAAAGCTAGTATCGCGAGACTGCTTCACAGAAACTAGTTCTCTATTTCCGATATTAGTTGTACGGTGTTGTACCAAAGTTTATGGCACGAATGGTTGTGAACACCTCAGTGATGAGGTGTTCAGGTGTTTTCCCATTTTCCCGCATGAGATGAAGTTACAATTATGTCATTTAACATGATCCAGAAAAGACAGTAAACTTCTCTGGAACAGGCATATTAAGAACATTACCAGCAAAGCCACAAAGGCTCTCATGATATGCAGAAGACTGGCGGGAAATAGATAGGGCTGCCCTAATATTTTGCGCTGGATGTATACCATGATAGTAAGACCCATGATTAGCTATGGAGCAGTTGCTTAGTACACAAAACTAGAGCAACGTGTACAGCAAGGCAAAACCTGTGCAAAGTACAGAAAGAACATGCCCAACAACAGCAATGGAGGTCATCCTAGACCTAACTTCACTGCACCTTGTCCTCGGTAGTTATGCCAATGTAACAATTATTAGAATGGTCATTGACGGAAACAGTACTGGGAGAACTTTTCAGATCAGGGGCTTCACCCTCAAAAATATATAATATATCCTCATAGGGCATTTAAAAGGGCTGTCAGGTCCTTGCTGGTTGCGAGGGCATATTATGACGTGGAGGAGTTTTTCGCTGGTTCTTGGTAGGTCCGACTTACTTGTTTGACTGTCGGGAAATATTTTTATTTGTAGATATTTATTTTTTTTAAATTTAGGTCTCTTAAACTAATGAACGTATTTGTAAGATTATTGTATATTTTGTGCTATCTTGTTTTTAATTGTTTTTTTTTAATTTTTTGATTGAGATTGATTAAGATTGATTGATTGATTGAATTTACAACTTTGAACACCTCACTGTAGTATTGAGTAATAAAAAGGATTGGAAGGGCTCATTTGCTCAGCATGTAAAAGACAATACAATAACGTGGTATACTGTTGCTTCCAATAACCAAAGCAGGGGGGCCGAATTAGGCAGTATTTAGGCCGAAAACTAAATACTCCGAATCAATGAGCAATGGGGAATACTTCAAATCTACGCTATCGAAAGATGCGTACAATTTATCTTAGATAGGAACTATCGAAAACAGGAAATAGCCATCTTATCCGATAACCAAGCAGCACTAAACACGATCAACTCAGTAACCATCAATTCGAAGTTGGTCAAAGAATGCCTAGTGAAGCTGAACAAATTAGGCAAAGTAAATAAAATCCTCCTACTCTGGGTGCCCGCTCACCAAGGGATAGAAGACAATGGAAAAGCAAACGAACTAGCTAGAAAAGGAGCTAGAAAAGGAGCACTCCCACTAACTGGACCAGAACCGTTCTGTTTTCCAAGCGGAAACCAACTAAAAGCGGAACTGAAGAACCTGGAAGACTCCATACGTAACCTAGAATAGGAGTCCTCGAACGGTCTAAGACACTCGAAAAAGTTCCTTAGAATTTACGACCGAGAAAAATCAAAGATTTTCCTTGATTTAAGTAAAAATAATCTTCGGATTGTCACGGGGTTTCTAACAGGACATTGTCTCCTCAACGAACACCTCAGTAGGCTGAACCGGAGAAACAATGGCGAATGCAGATTCTGCGGGGAAAATGGGGTAACACCAGAATACCTTATCACTGAATGCGCCGAGACGACGACAGTTCGTGCCATGAACTTTGGTACGGCTGATGGAGAGCTGGCCTCTGTGCAGCCGTCTCAGATACGACCTTTAACCCTGATGCTGTATGATGAATTATAACTCGTTGTAACTCAAGAATAGATCTATATAGATCTGTAAAGTCGCGGCGAACTCCTCTCCTAAACATTCTACATTCTACATGATCCAGTTATTTCGACTATTACTTAAGGAAAAGCTCTAATTTAATGATTTTAAATTTCCCTTCAATATTAATAGACAATGATGGCCCAGAAGAAGATATTTTGTTTCATAATTCGACATTGTCTACCACTTTCAAAGTCATTATATCACAGTTTTTCTTTCTTTCAGCGTTGGAAGAAACAGCAACAAATTCTCGCTACGTACATCCCCTACCAACGGATCAGCTTCAATTTCATCCCCATACATGCACTGTACAGGCTCCATGGGCCAGACAAGACACCTCTTCGTTCGAAGAGGCGAGAGACGCATGCACTACGACGGGTCCACGTTCATCGTACGCAACGCTGGACACTCGGCCGGTTTCGACGAAAAGCACCAGCTGAAAGTTTACTGAGGAAGCCCGCGCGCTCAGCACCGAAACGTCGACTGTGAAACGACGCCCCGTTACCAACGGGGAATTTATAGTTTTATATTGTGAGCGGTTTACACATCGTGAAGTGTTTTAATTCATTGTATTTTTATAAGACAGTGATCATTTGCATTAAATTTTTGTTTTGACTTCAGGGGATCGTTTTACTGTATAAGATTTGAATAAAGCGGTTTGAAAAGTAAAATACTTTTGGAATTTTTATCATTATAAGTTATCATAGCATTTATATAAAAATGTCATCGATTGTTATTTCCAAGCTAGCAGGACGTTGTTTTTTTCTCGATCATACAGATAAGAACACTAGGGTACTATAAGCGATACTAATTAAAATTTTAGTTACGTAATCGAGGGCGCGATTTTTAAATTCAATGTTTCCAGCCATAGAAATATTCAGCGCCGGCGCCGGGCTGACTAATTAGAATTTAAATTTCCCGCTGGGGATTCAGGTGGTAGCTCTATTGTAAAAAATGTCAAATTGTCACAGTTGTCACATTTATTTATTTATTTCAAATACGTTTAAATAAAATATACGACAGCCTCCCCATAAGAGCAATGAGAGGATTTACGTCCCAGTATTGAAGAACAGAAAATCGAGTCGAATGGTTTCAAGACATAAGTTCATCCTTGTTTAGTCAAACCTCCTACAACACAAGGATAGACTTATGTAGGAAATGCATTGAAATTCTATAGCCATTCTTCAATATCGGGACAGGAATTTAAGCGGTACCTTTGGCGGTACCATCCGTATATTTTATTTTAAACGTATTTGATTTATTTCCTGTCATTCTCATTCGTTTTGACACTTTAGTTTTGTATTACGAGTTTTTGGTTTAAATGAATTGTGTTGTGATACTTTAAGTATTACCTTGATGAGATAAACGCAATTTAATTAATTGCTAAAAAAATTACTAGCAGGCCTTGCAGTCGAAGATTGTCCTTTTTAGAACGTCTTTTAGTGCGAAGTATACAAGATAGCTTAAAGCTTCATTCAGAACCCCCCAATTAGGGGAATAAATTAGTGGTTTCAATTAAGCTTCATTCAGAACCTCGAAATCAGTGGAATAAATTAGTAGTTTCAATTAGCTGTAGAAGTTTGTTCACCTAATTTTAATGTATGCATTCAGAACGTTATAATTAGTGGTAGTAATTTTCAATTAGTGGACAAAGTTAACAAACTTTTGACTTTTCCACTAATTATACTACAAAATTTGCAAGGAATACCATTTTGGCCTTTGATTACCACTCGTCAAGAAAAATTTTGGTTAGAAATCAAAAGTTTATTGTTTTATAAGCTAAATATTATGCTTTCTCTATGGATTCAACAGACTACCCCAAGCTGTTGCTAGGATATTTTATTAATTTTAATTGTGTTTTTTAGACATTGTGAATGATCGTAAACTAAAAAGTATAAAGTGTAATTGAAACCACTAATTTATTCCACTAATTGGGAGGTTCTGAATGAAGCTTTACACTTTATACTTCTTAATTTACGATCATTCACAGTGTCTAAAAAAACACAATTAAAATTAATAAAATATCCTAGCAACAGCTTGCGGTAGTCTGTTTATCCATGAGAAACCATAATATTTAGCTTATAAAACAATAAACTTTTGATTTCTAACCAAAATTTATCTTGACGGATGATAATCAAAGGCCAAAATGACATTCCTCGCCAATTTTGAAGTAATTCGTTTATTAACTTTTTTGACTAATTGAAAATTACTACTTACTACCACTAATTACGTTCTGAATGCTTACATTAAAAATAGGTGCACAAACTTCTACGCTAATTGAAACCACTAATTTATTCCATTAATTGCGAGGTTCTGAATGAAGCTTAATAGGCAATGCAAAAAACTCATCGCAACTTTATTAGAATATTTTGAACGGGAAAGTGGTAGCAATAGCCCTTTATGTCCCTTAAGACCTGTTAAGGAGGTAGGGGGAGGTTTTGTTGGTGTAAATAATAGCCGGTTATATATTTATAATTAATATAAAAAATATATATTTTTGTTTCTTAAAGTATTTTGACTAAAAGAAAATATGTAAAAGTGGGCAACGCTGTGCCGCTCAAGCTTAATCACGTGACTAAAAGTTTAATTGGTATGAGCATAGTCTGTCCAACGACAGGATACTTGACAGTGACAGATGCTGTTGTATTAATTCACGGTTAAATTGAATATTCGGACATTATTTAGATGTCGTTTGTCGAAAGATTCTCTGACTAGAGTGACTAGTGTGACAGACTTTCAGCTTCATTCAGAACCTCGAAATCATTGGAATAAATTAGTAGCTGATTAGTAGTTTTAATTAGTCATAGAATTTGTTCACCTAATTTTAATGTAAGCATTCAAAACGTCATAATTAGTGGTATTAATTTTCAATTAGTGGAAAAAGTTAACAAAATTTTGACTTTTCCACTAATTATACTTCAAAATTTGCGAGGAATGTCATTTTGGCCTTTGATTATCACCCGTCAAGAAAAATTTTGGTTAGAAATCAAAAGTTTATTGTTTTATAAGCTAAATATTATGCTTTCTCTATGGGTACAACAGACTACCGCAAGCTGTTGCTGGGATATTTTATTAATTTTAATTGTGTTTTTTAGAAATTGTGCATGATCGTAAACTAAAAAGTATAAAGTGTAATTGAAACCACTAATTTATTCCCCTAATTGGGAGGTTCTGAACGAAGCTTTAGTGCTAAATTGGATTAAGGTATGTTTTAATGGAACACCCTGTATATAATTGTATTTTTGGCTTCCCTCCTGACCATTTTACATGGATATGTTTTAGAGATATAATCAAATAAATAAAAAAATATATATTTTGCCATATTTATTTAAAAATATTAAAAACACAAGAAATACACATTGAAAACAAAACTGTGCTAGGGTGTTTACTACAGTTTACTACATAATTATACGGGGTGAGTCTTAAATAAGTGCAAATATTTTCAGGTGTGGTATATTTCGACCACAGGAACACGTCTATGAGTTTTTTTTCCGCAAAAAAAGATGTTGAAAATCGTGCATTTTCTTTTAAATTTCCCTGTATATTTTTCGAAAACTTTTTAGAACTGCCTGTTCACCGCAAACTTTCGCACGGTACAATTTTTTAATCTCTGACATTAAGTAGCTTTACTCAGTGCCTTCTATTAAAAGATCAGCCTACGGGCGGACTTTTGTTTACTTCATCAGCTGTACATACTTAGATATTGGGTTAGATTCCGTTTCATATTTTGTCGGTTGATTTTTGGTTTTAACTCTTTGATTTTTGGTATTATTTATTATTGTAGTGCAAAAAACTAATTATTTTGGTGTTGAAGTGACATAAACTACTACCAGATATATGGTCACTCTCGGTTTCGCAAAAAAATAGAAATTTTAAAATTACACGTTGTGCAAGTGATTTAACCTAAAAGTGCCCATACATTATTTTCTTATCGTGATTTTTGTGTGTGTTTTTTAAGACTCTAACAATTCATCAATAAAGCTTAAGTGGAGTGTGTTATTGGTGCTATGCCTCATCTTTGTTGTGTTCCTGGTGGAAAGGATAGTTACTAAGGATAGTTATTATACTAGGCAGCCTAAAGTGTCCGGAAGAGCAAGAAAAGTGGGTACGAGTTATAAATCAAGAGAATTTTATTGAAAATATCTTTAATAAATTTAAAAATAATATTCTCCCATGATGGTATTAATGAAATCTGGACAATTATGTTTATTTTATTCATATTGTGGAATCTCCACTCCAAGTGTTGCTGGTTCAGCTTCGATAGATTCAAACACGTAAGTAGGTATTATGATCTAGGGAAAAATAAAGAATATGTGTATTAGAGATCATGAAAAAGATTATTATTTTGAGTTCAAATTTTAAAAAGATTTTTGTAAAGACAAGACTGATACAGTTTAAAAGAAGAATGTGTTTTGTTTGATAATATATAATGTATGTTAAGCATAACATATATTTGTTCAGTAATTTTAATGAATAGTATTGATTATTTATAATACCAAATTAATATCAAATATTTAAGTGATGGCTGAATACAATATGAATAAAATAACAATAAAATTGGTATATTTGCATAATACAAAATTAAGTTTTAAGAATAAAGGTGTTACTAAAAATACTAAGAAATTCATATTTCTTTGTTTTAATTGGTCTAATGTTATTTACATTTTACGTAAGAATTATACCGTATCATCGAAAAAATCGGCGTCTAGTTGGCTTGGAAATAAACATCGATGACATTCCCTAAATAACTGTACACATAAAATAATTAACTAGAATTTTACAATCTTGGAAAATTTGATATTCTTGAACCTTGATTCTAAATATTCTAAATTTTTTGATTTTCTTCGAATTTAGGTTCGGGAAAAACGCTGATTGATTTTTCATTTGGTTTTTCATTATTTTTATTTGGTTTAAAAAAAAACGGTTCGGCTAACATTATAGCCTCCATCAGTGTTGTGTGAAAATATGAAAAAAAATAGTGTCGAATATAATCCAAAAAATAATCAAGTGTGTTGTATATGAAAAAAATAGTGTCGAATATAATCCAAAAAATTGCATATAAAATATTCACACCACGCACATAATGTTTACTGCGTACTCCATAGTCAATGTAGATAATTTTAGTGTTAAGAATAATAATTTTAAAAAATATGTGGTCGTCTTTTGATAAGTTTATATTAGTTTATTAATTGCAGTAAACATTATGAGGTGTGAATTATATTGTATATGTAATTTTTTGGATTATATTCGACACTATTTTTCTCATATGACACAACACTGTGAAGGCTATAGTTAGCCGAAACTTTTTTTTTAAACCAAATAAAAATAATGAAAACCCAAATGAAAACTTAATCAGCGTTTTTCCCGAACCTAAAAATCCCAAGAAAATCAAAAATTTTAGAATAATTTAACATATAAAATGCCAGCGATCTTCATTTCGTAGCCATCGCTGACGCCTTTTTTTAGATAATATTGTATTATTTGTAAATATAATTTTTCGAACATTGATACTTGCAAAATATACATATAAATTTTGTGAATGCAAATAATAATACATCACTATTAGTAGATATTAAATGTTTTTTGTTAAATTAGATCGATTTTCAAACCCCAAAATTTAAAATATATTTACATTTTACCCATTATCTTATGTACCTATACATTATTTGTACATTGTAAAACATTTGCTGCATTTGTATGGTTCATAGTTTATTTGCCAAAGTATTTATTACTATAAATAGGTATATATGTTGTAGTTATTAACTGTATATTATGTATATTTCATTTAAACTATATCATTTTGAAAATACAAACCAAAAATCTGAGGAATAATTATGTTTTCCATGTATTCTACAACATATTTATTAATCCGTTATATCTAACTAGCGTGACGTCATAAATCTCGCCCGTAGGCTGATCTTTTAATAGAAGGCACTGCTTTACTTTATGGTTACGGCACTAAAACGGATGCAAATACAGAAAAAACCGGTGGCTCTCAAAATTTTTCCAAAATTTTTTTTTTTTTTTTAATTTTCAAACTTAAATAACTCGGTTAATTTGGACTTATTTGAAAAATGGTAAAAGAAGAAAATGTGTTTGTTTCGTCGATATCTACCAGCCCTGAAAATATTTGCACTTATTTAAGACTCACCCTGTATATTGTAATATAATAAACCCGACAAACTGTATACACCAAAAACTGTTTAATTATATACAGGGTGAAGGATTTTTTTTAGTTTTTTTTAAACATAATTTCTGTATAATATAACAACATAGGTAGTAGATTAAATTTACAAGAAAGAAAACCTAGAAAAGATCAAGTGGTTCCCAAAATTTAAGGAAAAAATCTTACTTACAAGTTTGAAAAACTGTAGAGAAAATAATATGTTTTTTTTCTTGAGATCTACGAGGATCTACCAGCCCTGAAAATATTTGCCTTTATTTAACACTCACCCTGTATAATAGATTTGAATTGAATTGCAATTGCTAAAAAAATGTAATTTATGACAACAATTTTTTACATAATGTATAATAATTATATTAAAGTTGTTAACATGTGATCCCAAAAAAACTACTTTTGATTAACTCTGTATACAGTAAAATTATTGTATTTATATTGTAATTGAGATTTGACCCTGGTTATTGTTTTTGCTATGTTGTTAATTTTTACGCAATAGTTCCAATCTACCTAGTAGAACATAATAAATATGAAGCCAATATTTTTTTTATTTTCATAAAATATTCATATTGGTTGCACGAAATCATAGTAACATTCAGTTAATTGCTACTTTGGGCGGTATTTGGTTACATTTTAATTACATGTCTATATTTACACTAATTACAACGGTTGTAAAACGGATTATTTATTATTAAGATAACACAATATAATGAACAAAAAAATTGGAGGAATGAAATTTTGCAATTTCTAGTGTCTTTTCAGAATGGTCCATAATGGATAAAATAGAAATGTTATTGTGAGTTATGTTTTTATACATAAAAAGAAGACCTTTAAATATGGATAGAAACAATGCGGTAAGTTTAAATGAATATATATAAAAAATGGGAGCGTACGACTTATCTTAGACAATAAAACATACCTATTTGTAATTAAAATATTGCAATATACAGGGTATTTCAAAAAACGTGCCATCTCTTGTGGAGAGATTCCCCTCGTAAAAATAAGACTTATTTTTCATATTAACATGGATCCGATTCTGCTATGTTTCGTAGATACAGGGGGTTAAAGTTTTCATGTTTTTTTCGATTCATTATAATTTTTTTCCAAGTATTTTTAGCGATTCGAATGAAATTTTCATGGAAGTGCGACATATATTTTAATGTTCAAAAAGTGTCGTCATATTCACCAGAGACGTGCATATTAGTTGTCACTACAAAATATGAGCGCCACTGACTTTTTTCTTTTGTTAAAAAAACTGTGTTAAAATTCTACGCCAAACTTTCTAAAATATTAAATAATTTTTTAATGAAACACCATGTATGTTATTTTTTTAATAGATGGAGAATTAAAAAATATACATTTCTTGTATTTAGAGTATGTCAAAATTTTTAACGGTGTCGCAGATATTTATGGCTTTATATTTCACATGGTAATTTCCATAGACTTAAAATAAAATATAGACTACACTATTTACATCTCAACGCGGACAAACAATCTTTTTTGTACACATGTTTACTTCTGGGTACAGTCGACCGAGCCTTCCTCATCCAGGCTATGTTGTCACGTCTTTAATATTATCAATATTTTTTTTCTTGTTATACACATATAAGATATTAATACTACATTTTAATAAAGTAGGTTTTAATATTCCATAGATGTATTAAATAGTCCTTATACTACTAAATTATAAGTCGGATACTGTTTAAAAAGGATAAGTTCTTTACAATATGACAACACCGATTAGAGGCGAGGGAGCCTATTCATTCATATATTACCTTGTAGTACGCGTCGCACGTGTGCCGACATAGCCGTTTGTTGCCGCTATGTCCCCGGCTGTATTAACGCATTTTCTTACCTTGTAGTCCTTAAGTGTTTATTTTATTTTCTTTTTCTGTTAAAGAACTATAAAATATGGTTCGCCAGTGCCAAACTTGCAAGAAATTTGACTTAAATAATCCATTTAAGTCTTGTAACGACTTTCGACCGGTAGGCAACTCTCAATTTACCCATTGGGAGTCAGTGGCGTTGTTGTAGAAAGGCGCTTATTTAGATAATATTTTAGTAAAATGTAAAATTTGAATTTTTTCTCTTACATTACATTATTTACTTACTTACATTGTAACAAAATCATAATTATAACCCTGTTAATAATTAATAATGTTTTTATTAAAAATATATTCCGGTTTATTCTAAAATTATCTTCAGAATCTAAAATAACATACAAGAATTTGAAAATGATATTACATTATGAAACAATATTTTTTAATATACCGGGTCGTCTCAAAAGTGGCTCACCCCCTATAACTTTTTTATTTTTTCATATAAAAAAAAACAGATTTGTATGTTAGTAAGTAGATATATGACATAAATTAGGATTTATTGACGTATTCAATTGTTTTTGGTCTCTTCCTGTTTCACCGAAATGATTACATCTTTTGATTTTTAAAGGCACCCTCGGTATATTGCTACTTTATTCGATAAAAAATGACAGTCTGAATAGAATGACATATCATATGTCAACTTTTGACATTGTCGCTTAAAAACTAATCGTATTTTAAATTTCAATCCAGGGTGCCATGGTGTTGTTAAAAACACTAAGTTTTAATCAAGGAGCCTTGGAAAAATAGTTTTGATCGTCTAATAGGTTTCGTGTCTTGTCTAGGCCGGTTAAAAGATGTACAAATCGCGTATTTTTAATGATACATATGTCAATTTTTTCAAATGGAACAAGGGTGACTCATTCGCATATTTGGAAAAAGCATTTTTTTATGATTATATTGATACCACACACTTGGTATTTCGAGCCAAATTTTCGTTACGAAGCGCAAGTTATAACTTCAAATAAACCTTATGCGAAAATGTCAAAAGTGGACATATGATATGTCATTCTATTCAGAGTGTCATTTTCTATCGAATAAAGTAGAAATATACCGAGGGTGCCGTTTAAAAATTAAAAGTTATAGTCATTTCCAGTGAAAGAGGAAGTGACCAAAAACAATTGAATGCGTCAATCAATCCTAATTAATGTCATATACTAACGTACTAAATCTTGTTTTTTTTATTAGAAAATATAAAAAAATTATGGGGATGAGCCACTTTTGGGACGCATCCGGTATAATAAAGACAGTACCAAGTTACATAAATGTAGTTTTTATTTTATCCACTTCCTATCACCTTTTTTGCTTTAATGGAACAGATTTATGTTTTCTCTAATTTACGTAATAAGATATCACCTAACCAGAAAAAAAATACAACAATCATATATTTTTTTTCTCTCCCTGTCGCCGCGCGCCGATTCTATTATATCTGTGGAATAGATCCTGTTTTGATTAATATTAGAGGTTGTAAATGTTTGACTAAAATTGATAATTTATTATTAATTTCAAAAATTATGCAATTTCGATTATAAAATTTCTTCTATAACGTGTATTTTATTATTTTTATCCTTTTTGGATTCTAAGACGTTTTTTCTAAACTTATTTTTAAAAAACCTGTCCTAAATCTTAATAAAATATAAAACAATTTAAATCCGATATATTTTTAATTTAATTATAGCTTCATTAAAATAAAAAAATTACCCGGCTATGATACGGAGAGTTCAGGTGTACTTGAGAAACGAAAGACAGTGTTGTGTTTCTCGTCAGAGTCGTCAGGGAACGACCGTTACGACAGAGACAACCTATCTATCACTCGTGTCGCACTCGTTATAACATTGTCTGACCGCATGTTCCAGCTATTTATGAATGAGATACTCAGTCTATATTTTATTTTAAGTCTATGGTAATTTCCAATTTCCACAGTAAACTTTAATCAAAGCCACCCAATGATTTTTCTCTCGTATTTTACCGTTGAAAGCCATATGAAATAATACTACGTGTATGTGCGAAACTATTAAAAGATGTTACATAGTTTAAATGCAAAAAATGTTCATTTTTTAATTCTCCATCTGTTAAAATATAATATACAGGGTGTTCCATTTAAAAAAACAAAGAAAAATTATTTTATATTTTAGAAACTTTGGTGTAGAATTTTGAACACCGTGTATGATTTAAGATTACGATATTTATAGCAAAGTAAGTACAGACTATCTAAAGTATGTGCCTACTATAGTTTTGATTTCAAGACAGTTAATAATTAAAAAAAAAGCTGAAAAAATATTTTTTTTTTCATTTATTATCTCTGAATCTATTAAAACATATTTAAAATATTTTAGAATTATATAAAGTGATCGAACCAAAAATGCGATAATATACGGGTGTTCCATTAAAAGAAATCATCCCGATCCACTCAAAAATCACACGAAAAAACGGATTTTTTTGAAAATCAATTTTATTTTTTCCTGGCGTTACTTTTTAGAAAATCAAAAAACTAATTGCACATACGAGTACATTTATATGCCACACTTAATATTTTTTTTGTTTCGGACATTTGAACATAATTTAATTAAACCAATTTCAAGTCCGGTTTTGTTTTTTTAAATATTTAATCTATTCATTGTTACAATATTGGTAAGCTTCCAAACTTAACAATGACGTGGAGTAAAACATTAAATACGGAGAATCAAATGCAATTAAATAATATAAAATTATTGGGCATTACTGGACGTCATTTTTAAAAGTGACAATACGTTTCACCATTACAATAAAGAGTACAGAATGCATTCGGAAGTATAAGAAGAAGATATTATGTTCAAAGAGCTATAAATAAGATTGAACGAAAAATACATTAATTTTTGCATTAGGGACGGTGGTAACCCTTTCGAACATGTAGATCATTACTAGTTTTAGAAACTAGTTTGTAGAAGTTAATTTATTTATCATAAATAAGATTAATATTATGCATATTATTAGATCGTACACTGAAATTTCAAAATCACAATAAAAAAAGTTATAAATAATATTTTTAAATTGCTAACCTGGGTATTATTTGTTTGAATCTTTCAATTGGCTCCATTCAATTTTAATTAGCGCTGATCCATATTGTTGCGATGAATATAATCAGATTAAATAATTTAAAAAACCAGAGTGGGACTTTTTTTAAAAACCAGTGTGGGAATTATTTTAAATAATAATTAAATAGTTTTGTTATTGTTAAGGTACCTAAAACAAAAAAAAAAGTATCAAGTGTGGCATATCATTGTACTCAGGAGATCGAGTTCTTTCAAAACTTCAAATAAAAAATGCATGTATTTAAAAAAATTAAGTTGGCCTCTGTATCTCACAAATTTTCAGCTAATTTGAAAATCTAAAAATACTATCAGATATCCCTAATAAAGTAGTCATGAGAATGTGCAATTAGTTTTTTGATTTTCTAAAAAGTAACGCCAGGAAAAAATAAAATTGATTTTCAAAAAAATCCGTTTTTTTTTCAAAAAACTCCTTGATGAACATCCTTGAAATTTTTAAAACTTTTTTGATGGCATCTTGGTGAACATCCTAAAGCGCAACTTTGCCCCAATTTAACCATCTTCGTATCTCTTACGGTTTCCGAGATACCAATGGTCGTACCTCGAATTTGTAGCACCCTGTATAGATGCCCGACGCACTATTGCCTGACCCTGTATAATACTCCAAAGTAGATTTATAGCCTAATGTAATTTTTATTGAACAAACTCTTACCGGATAATTTGATAATTATTGTACCTATATGTTGTGTGAATTACCATTGTACTATCACAATGTAACTATTTACAAGAATACAGGATGACTCAGAATGTCGTAAATCACGACAATTAATTTTTGCGAAAATTTTTTAACTGTGTTACTGAACTATTCTTGAACTTAAAAGGTATTATCGTAACTTTTTTATATAGTTATATCCTACAATTTTTAAAAATATTTTCAAATATGTAATAAATTTTTACATTTCATTTAAATTAAATTAGATATACGGTATAATAATCTAATATAAGACATTTTATTGGTCAGACAATTGCGGTACCGCTTTGTAAGAAACCGCGAAGAATACTGCATGTTATTGTCTTGTCCCACCTTTACAAATGACCACGAACCTAACCACTGATCACTGATACTAAGTACTAATAATATGTTATCTATCCATAATAAATTAAATGCAACATTACTTGAATGTTTGTTAAAAATCAAGACAGGCAATTTAAAAACTTGTGTGTTCGTTGTTTTATTAACGTGTTTCGTGTCAAGAGCTCGGTAGATTACAAGATCAGTCAAGGTTTAACACATTGGATTTTATTTCATTGAAAAAAAAAACAATAAAAACGCATATACCTACTAAATAGTTATAAATAATATACCTCCCAATATATCAGCAATAAAGTGTTATTATATGAATAGGCCATCCTGGGTAAATATTTAAATTTATACTGACTTTCATTGTTAGCAATTAACAAACTGAAATATCAGATAAATAATTTTTTAAACAATTTGGAATGAAAAACTGCAACAAAATATACTACAAAAATCTTTAAAGTAGAGAAGTAGGTACATATATCTAAAATCTCTAGTGATTTCTCGTGACTATCACATGTTCGAATGAGAACGGTTAAATTATAATTAAATTATTAATCAGACAAGCATAACTTTAATTTTAAACACAGTGATTATATAATTTCCTAGTGAACTGTTTCGATGGGTTATCACGAAGCATGTTTTATTATTCACGTTTTTGTTGCAGAGGGGTATTATTTTTATGTACATAAACGAACAACGATGTATTTTAGTAAATAAAAAATAAACTACAATTAAAATCAGCTATATATTTTCCGACAGAAACGAAGAGTATGTAGATGCCCTCTAACCGTCATGATCGGCGGAACTGTGATAATACTAGTTTTAATTGGTGTAGTAGTTGGAATTAGTCAAGACAATGGAGAACAAGAGAAAGAGTTAAAAATGGTACATATTGTAAGTAAAGTTGTTTTATTTATTCCGAAAATTTATTAATTTAAAACTCACCAACGGACTTAAGCTTAAAGCCGGGATCATTAGGCCACACGCCACGCCACACCACGCTATCCCACGTGAGCCCGCATGTTGCGACGTAGGAAAAAGTGTACACGAGATTTGGGACAGACGAATCGCCCATCACACGTGTGATAGCGTGGAGTGGCGTGTTGCCTAGTGTGTACGCAATGTACGCAATACACCTAATTAAATGGAAAAACATACGCACAAATCTTGATGAAGTGGGGTGGCATGGCATGGCGTGTTGCCTAATTGGGTCCCGGTTTAACTTGTGTCAGTCCTTATTTGAGTAATTAATTAACGTGATTTTACTGCTGACTCTGGTAATAATCATGACTTGTTATGATTCGTTAATTACTCATATACATAATATAGAAAGTAACATTAAAAAAATATATATTCAAACTTTTCTAAAACTATTGTATTACAGGTTAAAGGATGATTATTTTAGAAATAAATAATACATTAATCATTTATTTTTTGACGCTGAATAATGAACTAAAAAACTTGAAACAGTAAATTTTTTATTTCTTAATGTAATTTTAATTATATTTTTTTAACCAAGTAGTAAAGTTTATTTAACGAGTCACGAGAAGACTTCGACAGACGATATAAAAAAATGACAGAAACAATGTTGCAAATGAAAAAATAACTGTTACTGTCAGGTACGAGTATACTATAGTTGGGCAAATATTTATAAGTAGTCTGCCCAACGGCAATACATGACAGTGACTGTCATTTTAATTAACTGGTAAATTGTATTTAACATCATTTTCTGGATGTCGTTTGTTTTCTCTTTCTAGGTATATTCTTTGATTTTCTCTGACTCGTTATACAGGGTTACATACAGCTAATCACTTACAATAAAAAAAACGAAGTAAACTTTTTTTCAATCAGTCAAAATATGTTTTTTTACATAAAATTGAAATTATTTTAAAAATTACTATTCCATGATTCTATATTCAAGTATGGAAAATCATACACAAAACCGTTTAAAATTTCATATAGAATAGAAACTCTTAAAATATACAGTGTCAAAAAATAGTGTATCTAACTTCGTTGGTAAAAGTAAAAAAAAAATTAACCCTCGTTACAGCACTCGAAAGGCTAAATAAAAATAATATAAAAAATGTCTATATCTATGTCTCATCTATGTATTCATCTCTCCAAAAAAATCCTTTATGGGTATTTCGCCACTGCACTGCAACTTTCACTGAAGATAACCAAATTGACAGCCACTTCCGGTGAAACCGGATGTACAAGAAAGTTTCAAACGAAAGTACAACTCTAAATATTCTTAATAGCAGCCTCAGGTTTCTATCTAAATTAAATCCTAAAATATTCTTTATGAATTGATTGTGGTGTCAATTGGTTCTATATAATCTAAAAATGAACATATTTTTTTTAATGTTTAGATAATGCGACATGGAATAAGAACTCCTGCAGATACTTATCCTAATGATCCTTACATAAACGATACCTTATACCCTATAGGTTGGGGTCAGCTAACTAACGTAAGTAAATCTTTAAGAAGTTTGATATATTCATTCCTATAACACTGTCAAATTGTAGGAAGGCAAACAACAGTTATACGAAATAGGTAAATTTTTCCGACAACGCTATAACAGTTTCCTCGGTGATCACTATTGGCCAGATGAATTTTATACACAATCAACGGATGTCGACCGTACTAAGGCCAGCATGCAACTGGTTAATGCCGGCCTTTGGCCTCCAAAATCTGTACAAACTTGGGGTCCCTTAGACTGGCAACCTATCCCTGTGCATTCAGAACCTCTGAGTCAAGACATGGTAACATATAAACTTTTAAATTAAAATTGACTATACATTACCGTTATTTAGTTACTTTTAGTTCGAAAACCATGTGCTGCGTACCATATCGAAAGAGACAGAGTTGTCGCATCGCAAGAAATACAAGATAAATTAAAATCTTCTCAGCAGTTATTTGACGATTTGACCAACTACACTGGAAGAAGTGTTAAAGATTTTGATGACGTACAAGATTTATTCAGCACATTAAAAGCCGAAGTAAGTGAAAACTTTAAAACTAAATTATTAATATTACTAATGTTGAACATATAAATTTCTTAGGAAGGTATTAATTTGACTCTGCCCGAATGGACAAATAAGTATTATCCTGATCAAATGCTTGAGCCAACTGTTTTCAGCTATATATTAAATTCATGGAATGATAAACTTAATCGGTTAAAAGGAGGTAAGAAAATGACGCTAAAACAACAGTAAATTCACGATATACATACTACCTATATGCTACATTCAGGACAAAGTTGGTTTGATTAAGCGCATTACGTCAGCTGGAGTAGATTTCATCGAACTGCATTGGTTTATAATTTCCTGTTACATTTACTTTTTTTATTTCCGGCCACAAATCGAAACTCGGTATGTGGTCGTAGTCTATTATTTCATTACGCGTTACCGTCCTATTTTTAAAACACCGGTAGTATGTGTATCGAGTCTGTGTATAGTCCGTCCAACGACATAAGAAAGATTTCGACATCCAAAAAATGACAGAAAATACAATTTGCCTGTGAATTTTTTTCGATCGTATAGTATTAAATACAGGGTGAGTTTTCTACGATGTCCTCTATGGGTATCTCGGAAACCACTGGAGTTAGAGTCGGTCAAATTGGGGAAAGAATTTCAGTTTTATGAGGACAAATATGTGTCTTTCGGATTTTTCAAAACTTAAGCTTACTAGATATTTCGAAAAAAACAAATTTCAGGTATTTTAAAAATGTTCCCTAATTCCATAATAATCTATTTTAGACAAAAATTTTACAGATAAAAGCTTTTCATTTTTGACATATGACACAAACATGTTTTTTTTTAAATAGAAACCGTAGTTGGCAGTAACCTCACAAAAAGCACAATTCAAGATTTCCAGCGATATAAGCTATAAAATGTTTTTTTTTGAGAAATTACTGAGTTATAGCCAATTCTTATCTTTTTTTGGCTAATTTCACTAGTTGGCATGGTATTCTTATTCTATGCATGGTAACTTATAGAAAGGCAAAATATTTTATTAAACGTTTTTTTTTCAATTTATGTTAAACAAATTAAAACTTAAAAAACTAATATCACTACATACACTTTAAGTTATTTTAACAGATGTTCAAAAAATCCGGCATTGTCTTCGGTAGGTACATAAAATATATCTTTTTAAACTGAATTACAAGCTTTTCTCACACGACATTATTAGACTTCTCCCGTACCGCCTCTTCGAGTGCCTCTCTTGATTCGTAAGTTCCCTTGGTGTTAACCACACTGCATAAAAAAATCTGAAACGGTTAGATTGGGTGACTGAGAAGTCCATCTCTTCCTATTCCTGAGTTTCCATAATTATGATATAAATAATTTTTTACATTTCTTGCACTATGCTGGGAAGCCTCATAATGAGCGTCTAAATACAAGTACAAATTTTCTAACATGTCTTGAAAACTGTTTTCTAAAAAGCGTAAGTAACGTTCACTGCTCAACGTATTCTCGAAAATGTATGTGCAAGAAGAGTTGAACCAATAGTCCTATACGCGTTTCTTCGATTGAAAAATTAATATTTACAATTTACTTGCTTCTCGATAAAATATTTTTGTTTGGATGTTGACATCTCTGAGAACAACGACGCTTTTTATCAAGTCATAGCCAACTGTGGTTTCCATTTAAAAAAAAACATGTTTGTATCATATGTCAAAAATGACCGATTTTAGAAAAAAAAAAGAACACAATCTAATTAAGGATGTGATTATCTAGGGTTAGTTGGGGTAATGGTAAACGATGTTAACAAAACTAATTTTAACAAGATAGGTATAACTTTGAAACTTTGACGTTTGCACTGAAAATTCTAACAGGGTATATTTAATACTTAATAGGTGCTTTGATGGACAGTTAGAAATTTGCAATAGGTTTCAAAAAAAAACTTGTTTATATTTACACCCTAGGAAAATCAAATATTGCCCTATTTTGGGGTAAATATAAACATATTTTTTAAATGGGGTAATAATGAACCAAGAACTATATACAAGTTTATTTTTAGTTGGGTTATAAGTTTATCAATGTGTTTAAATGTTTACAATTTTCCCTATGGAGACAAATAAAACATTTTGTTATAAAGACCAATTATTTATTACTGTTTCATCAAAAATGTACAAAAAATATTAAAGTTTTTCAACATCTATCTTTCCTGAAAACGAATATATTATCTTCCTTCCTACAAACGTAGCCAATGCATTTTTAACATTTCTCTTTTTTTGGTCTTTTTCATATCTGTCTTGGAGCTTATCAGTGTTAACACGTGTTTACTATTACCCCAAAATCAAGTTTACAATTGCCCCGCAATACTATTTTACTGGGACATTTGTAAACACCTCTATACTTCATTTCCCGTAAAAGTTAATCTCAAATTGTAACATGGATTTTACTAATACGACACTAAATGAAACCACTATGAATATAAATTATCTTAACTTATTCACAAATTGAAATTTTTAAACAAAATTTCGCTAAGGTATAAAACGTTTTACAAGTTTTAAAGCAGCTCTTCAAAAAAATGTTTTTGCGCCATAAACAAATAGTACTAGAAACTCATTTAATCGAGGCAATACACATCAAAGATGTGGGCGCCACTGTAGCCAGTCGGCTTATTCCCTACCCGCCAAATTCAAAAGTTATTGGACCTGTTTACAATTGCCCCTGTTTACCATTACCGCAACTAGCCCTACCACTTTTATATGAAAAATAATACAATAAATATGATTTTTTTAAAATAGGTCATACTGGAATTAGAGGGCATTTTTATAATAGCCGAAATTTGTTTTTCTCGAAATATCTAGTAAGCCATAAACTTTTTCAAAAATTCGAAAGGCGCATATGTTTGTCCTCACGAAACTGTAATTCTTTCTCCATTTGACCGACTCTATAGCTCCAGTAGTTTCCAAGATACCCATAGAGAACATCATAGAAAACTAACACTGTATTTGATACTATTGTTATTGGTGTAATGATGTAATTTTATATTATTAAATGTTTGTTAAATTTTCGACCAAAAATAATTTCATTTTGTAATTCAAAAAGAAAATTTTTCATTTTAGGCGTTTTATTGAAAAAAATCATACAAGACTGGCAATCAAAAGTAAACGATACAATTTCACCCAAATCCAGAAAAGCTTTCTTATATGGAGGACACGATTCTACAATAGTAAATCTAATGAGAACTTTAAAAGTTTGGGACCCTCAGTTACCTGATTATGCCATTACCATATTATTGGAGTTTTCTCAAGATTCTCATGGATTATATGGTGTGGAGGTAGGTATCCTTGAAAGCGGCATCAAACGGCAGTTTTATGGAAGGCTGTAACTGTGTGTTGAACGCGGATTGCTTCACGCAAAACAAAATTTAGTTAAATTAAAATTAAAGGTTAGAATGATAGATCCGGCAGAACTGGAACCTGGATTAGTCTAAGAGATAGCAACGTTTACGAGAAAGTATTTTAAGACGTCTGACTCTTTGATATATCTTTTACTATGCTCTCTGGAACAACATGCGGCCCGTCTGGCTGCCGATACCCGTTGCGTTCACTACTGCGCATCGGAAGAAGATCCTATATATATTTTTTAATTTAGTCGTATAAATTCTAGTATTGAATATAAATCGAATATGTCTCCATAGCGCAGTGCGTAGAGTTTCCGACTACGAACCGAGAATTCAGAGTTCGAATCCGGGTCAGGGCAAAGACTTTTTTATTTTATTTTCGTTTATATTCTGATAGTAAAGTATTAAATAATTCTGGTGATTCAAAAAAAAACAAATATTTAATATTTTACTATCAGAATATAAACGAAAATAAAATAAAAAAGTTTTTGCACTGACCCGGATTCGAACTTCGCTTGATAGGCAGAAACTCTACGCGCTGAGCGACTCGGTCGGTTTATATTCAATACTAGAATTTAAAGGACTAATAAAAATATAGGATCTTCTTTCAAGGCGCAGTGGGGCACGCAACGTTTACCGACAGCCAGACGGGCCGCATGCTGTTCTAGAGAGCATAGTAAAAGATATATCAAAGAGCCAGACGTCTTAAAATACTTGTTTTTCCGACGTTGCTAGCTCTCGTACTAGATGTAACTCCGAACCCGACTCTTTTAAGATACCGAATATACCCATCTCTATTTGATATGCTCCTTCCTTAATTTTATTCAAAGATATCGCTTCTCATAAAACTTAAATATTTCCAGGTATTTTTACGCAATTCTACAGTGGTACCACCCTTTAAGTTGACAATTCCTGGATGTGATAGTTTCTGTTCGTTGGATAAACTTGAGGAACTAACTAAAGAAGTAATTCCAGATAACTGGGAAGAGGAATGCAATATTGATGATAGTTATGTCGTGCCCGAACCTGGAGGTCCTTGAACGGTATTAATAAATTATTTTTGTATTTTGATCATGTTTCCTTTACATTCCAGTCTAAAATCCCCCTTAGCCTTCGAAGTACTTCTGGGTTATAAAAGCCAAATCAATAAGACTTTAAGTCTCTAACTTGATTTGGCTTTTATATTTCAAACCAGGTCTCTTTGGGTTCCATGGACGCCTTTTTTAAGTTGCCGTGAAAATATCGTTCAGGATGGTGAAAAAACATTCTGGTAAAGTTTGAGCTCTTAATATTAATATTAAGAGGTATCTCATCGTGATATTCTAGGTTTGTTCCAACCAGAATCTTGGGATTGTTTCGAAATCGTACTCGATGGGTTTTCTTGCACTTTGTTATCATGCGCGGACTTCGAATAGTTTCGTGACGGTGCAAAAAGTATCAAGGTTGGAACACTTTGTGGACTCGTGGATTGTTTTCGGGACTGTCAAAAGTGTCAAGCGTGCGTGTATCGATCGATTTTTTGTTTTTGTTCGAGGAAACAAGAAAATACGATTAAAGCTTACCTAAATATTGTTCATTTTTCACCCTTCCACTAGGCAGCAACTCCAAATTGTCACTATCTGAAGTAGAGGTAAAGAAATCAGTCATACCATTATCACTCATCCTTAATTATTATCTATAGATAATTATGAAAGTGTACAATTTAAAATTTCCGAACGATTTACTCCACACAAACTCACAAGCAAAAGTATAACACACACGTATTCGAATTCGTAAAAAATATCCAAGGCAGAAGCATCAGCCGGACGCCGGATTAGAATTAGCTGTTAAAAATCGAAAATCCCTGCCAATATGCTTTAATGCGCAAGTCAACCCAAACAGTTCTCAATTTGGACCATGTACCGAAATTACCGTTCTGAAATCGTAACTAAACGATCCCAAAGTAGGTTGGTACGCAAATAGGATCGTCCGATAACCGTCAAATCTCGGTTGAAACACATTTGAATTACTGCGCACGAGCGTGATCGTTTGGTGACGGTTCTGCGGCCCCCCCCGGGTTGGAACAGACCTTCTATTTCCCATTTAAATAACATGGGGAATTTTTTTTTGAAATTTTATTGCGTTCTAACAAATCTATACATCTTCTGGTATGAAATTGAACGGCTTTCAAAAAAGGTCGATATGAATTTTCATTTAATCGACTCGTTTGAAAGTTATTGAAGGTTAAAGTTCAACTTAAAATCGTATATGAAAATTTCTACAATTTTTAATATTTTATCACGAAATAATGGCCCAAAAAACATAAAATATCATATTTTTTATATAGTTTTTGAGCGATTTTTGAATAATTCAATTTCCTATAAGAATATGTATCGATTTTTACAAAACACATTTCTTAGAACGAAATAAAATTTTAAAAAAATGTTTCCTCTCGTGTTATTTAAATGGGAAATAGAAAATCACGATGAGACACCTCTTAATACTAATATTAAAAGCTCAAAATTTACCAGAATTTTTTTATTATTCTGAACGACATTTTCACGATAACTAAAAAAAAAATTTTTTTTTGGTGCACCCTAATATACAGGGTGTCACAGAAGTAAGTGCAAGTATTTTAACTGGTAGTATACTCTGTTTTTTTTCTCAGGTAAGATTTCGACAGACGATGACAGAAGAAAAGCAGATGACGTCCCATACCAATCTATTTATTTTACTAAAAAAAGTTTCTAATAATTTTTAAGTTATCTATGGATGGGTTTAAATATAAATCCGTCATGCGTCGTGTCTTGTTGTTTTTAACCAGTTTTATTGGTTTATTTAAAAATGACAGATCGTATTTCAATTTTATTGGTTTGACGGAACGATGAACGACAAACGGACGCCGATGCGTATGAACTCGCCTTTAGATTTTTGTCATTTTTGACGCTTGTCAAAGTCTTGCCAAATTATAGGTTATAATTTTGTGTCAACTTTGTTAAATCCCTGCGTTTTGGAAGATGATGCATTTTGATTCGTATTATTACGTGTGTTTTGTGTCTTTTGAAGTCAATTGGAGGAAAAATCGAGTGAAAATTAACTGTAGACCCAGAGCACAGTTTATGGTTAATACTCGCTGCCCAGGCAGAAAGTCTTATACACCAATGAAGTTGCCATCGATAAAGTTTGTACACCATTTCGTCGTAGATAAGTGCATCTCGTATATGGTAGAAGGATCAAACTAAACACATACTAAAAACTGGAGTAGCTGTAAAATATCGACATCACACGATAGGTAAATAATGGATTTTAGTACTGCAGAAAAATAATGTCAAAAGGTACTGGTTTAAAAAAATTATGATTAAAGTTAATTAATCAACCTTTAAGGTATAAAATTTGGTAGGTGTTATTATTAATAAAATAGTTTGTTTTATTTACCTATGTTGTTTTATTTATTCCTGTGAAATATTACAAATTTGTATTTGTACATAAGTTATATTGATAAATATAATCATAAATGCGGGTAGTTTCATAAAGCTTGAAAGTAAATAATAGTTCTTTTTTATATTTTTTTGGTATGTAGTGTCTTGTTCTTGTTTGTTTTGTATTAACACATACCGTTTTTATTAAATAAAATAACTCGATTACATTTTTTCAGTTTTATTCACAATATTTTGAAGTAATCACTTGTCATCTTGTCAATCAAATTTTAAATATTTCCTGCTATGCGTTGTACCAACTTATTTCTTTATAAAATAAAATAAACTACTTTGAAATTAAAATGACAGACACAACTATCACTGTCAAGGATCTTCTCGTTGGACAGACTATATAGTTCAACCCCAGATACACGCTTATGAGTTTTTTTCGCAAAAAAAAAGTTTGAAACTTCGACAATTTTTGAAAAATTTTTTGGAAATTTTTTTAGTTTTTAGTTTAGTTAAAACATAATTTCTTGATAATATGGCAACACAGGTATTAGATTAAATTTACAAGAAAGAAAATCCAGAAAAGAACCAGTGGTTCTCAAAATTTTCGCAAAAAATCTTTTTTTTTGGGAAATTCTCAAAGTAAAATAACTCCCGTTATTTTGGACTAAATAGGTTTCTTTTATCGAGATCTACCACCCCTTAAAATACTTGCACTTATTTCTGGGACACCCTGTATATACATACATAGATAAATACTCAATACTCAAAAATTTAAGCAAATAAAAAACCCGACATATACACATGTTTAAGCTTTATTTAATTTATTTTACTCCCGTTATTTTGGACTAAATAGGTTTCTTTTATCGAGATCTGCCACCCCTTAAAATACTTGCACTTATTTCTGGGACACTCTGTATATACATACATAGATAAATACTCAATACTCAAAAATTTAAGCAAATAAAAAACCCGACATATACACATGTTTAAGCTTTATTTAATTTATTTTACTCCCGTTATTTGGGACTAAATAGGTTTCTTTTATCGAGATCTACCACCCCTTAAAATACTTGCACTTATTTCTGGGATACCCTGTATATACATACGTAGATAAATACTCAATACTCAAAAATTTAAGCAAATAAAAAACCCGACATATACACATGTTTAAGCTTTATTTAATTTATTTTATATAAATAAGTTATCTAATATTAAACCAAGTTAATGTCTAAAAAAGTCTTGAAAGAAAAATAATTTTCAAATCGATTAAAACTTTTCTCCAATTTTAAGTTAACGGAAAGAAATATATTGATAAAAAATTCTACATCTGTAATAAAATTTCTTCTTAATTCTAACGTATTAATTAAATAATATTTACATTTACCAGTCTATTTTCTTCACGAATTTAAACATAAAAAATAATTATTTTACAAAAGTGATACATATTATGGATTAATTCTCGTAAGACCCGAAAGCAATAAAAATATTATATCACAACTTAACAGTTTACGGGAGGGTCGTTAAATACCTCTGGAGGGAAAAGTACATTCGATCGAGATTTGATGAAGTAAGTTAAGACAAAGGCTAGTACCATTATCATTGATCCAATCGCAATAGTACTACGCTCGTGAGCAGGGGAAGGTTTTAAAAAGATACGAACCCCTATAGTCCTCCACGCGGATTCGGACCAAGAACTGTATTTATTTGAAGACCAGTCATAATCTGAAATAAATATGTTTTATTAGTTGTGAAAATAAGCCACTCGTGATAACGTATATAATGTCACAGCACAGTTTATTCAGTACCAGCCGGCCAACTTCGCGTATTTTAGTGGTTCCCCTACACACACTCTAGTAGTAAGAACACCAATGGAGCTCAGAATCCGACATGTTATACAGGGTAGCGCCTCTCATACGCCGCGGAAGATCCAAGGAGAACGGTAGTTTATATCAAAATGAAATTTTGGCAGCATATGTAGATTAACTGAAAGCATTTTATAAAAATATATAGAATTATACAGGGTGTCCCCAAAAAACGTTACACATCAAACTTGTGTTTTTTCTAATGGAACACCCTATATATTAATTGATTTTCGGATTCTAGGAAAAAAATAAAGGTGCGTTTTATTAAAGTAGCATATATCTAAAATCTAAGGATTTTGACATATTTCACATTTTGTGAAAATGAAGAGTAAATTTTAACTTTCGATTACAGCTATCTAAATTTTAGTTGACCTTGTATAGCCTCTTATTTAATTACAGTAACTATCGTATGTTAAACCAAATTAAAATTTGACCCGAAAAGTTATACAGGGTGAGACAAAATTAATATGGAACATTAGTCACTTTTAAAAGCAAGTTACTCCTTCATTTTAAATGGAACACCCAGTATATTTTTCCGGTGTTCAATGGGGAATTTATATATCTTCAAAATATTATTAAGGTTGCCTACCCCTCAGACAAAGATTTTCCTAGATATTTTAATTTTTATGATTTTGCGTCAGTTAATCTTTATTATTTGAAAAAATCTAGGTGGCTGTGTAATATACCTTTTGTTAATTTAACAAAAAATAAAGATTGTAGAGTAAAATACTCAACGGTAATAAAAAAATACACGTTTAAAACATATTTTAATTATTACAGAATTAAACCTAGATATAAACGTATAATTATGTGACAACAATTAGCAAGATGAAATCAAATGCTCAAAATGCTTCCTTTCCTGTTAACTGCATAACATGATTGTCTTTTCAAAAGGATCTTTTCATTTTAGAAGGCATATGTGGAGTTCTACCTCGAAAAGCAGCTACAAAATTTCTCTAATGTTGTCGACAATAGTTGGTCGAGTTTTGTAAACACTGTCTTTAACATATCCCCATAAAAAAGTCCAGACTAGATCAAATCAGGAGCAATTAAGTATTCTATTAATTGGAGAATGCACACAGCATTCACCAACTAATAGAATTATATCAATTATCTCTGATGTAGGATAAGTTTGCATTTTCGGCAAATTTCTCAGAAATTTTTTTGTTTTAACTGACACAAAATGATAACTAGTTGTTAAAGTTGGACTAATTAGACAGTTACGTTGAAGTAACGTTAGACATATCACAGCCACCTAGATTTTATCAAATAATAAAGATCTACTCAGATCTTTGAACTCAGATCAAATCATGTAAATGAAAATATCTAGGAAAATCTTTGTTTGAGGGGTAGTCAACCTTAATAGTATTTTGAAGAGATATTAATTCTCCATTGAACATCGGAATAATATACTGGGTGTTTCATTTAAAATAAAAGAGTAATATGCTTTTAAAGGTGACCAATGTTCAATATTAATTTTGTCTCACCCTATATAACTTTTTGTATCAAGTTTTAATTCGATTTAAAGTACAATAGTTAATTTAACTACATATTAGGCTATACCGGGTAAATTCCAATATAGGTAGCTTTTATTGCAATCTAGAAAATGTTAAATATGTCAAAAACCTTACATTTTAATCATATATTTCTCTTATAAAAGTCACCTTTATTTTTTCCCCAGAATCCGAAAATCAATTAATATATAGTGTGTTCCATTACAAAAAACAAAACTTTGATATGTAACTTTTTTTGGGGACACTCTGTAGAACTCTCTATATTTTTAAAAAGTACTCTGAATTAACCTACATACGCTCGCAAAATTTCATTTCAATACAAACTGTCGTTCTCCTTGGAGCCTCCGCGGCGTATGAGAGGCGCCACCCTGTATATACGTATGATGTACGTATAGGGTGGCCCATTAGTTGCGAGGCCCATTAAATCCAATATCGTCGTTGTCGAAGATATGAAAAAAGGTTTTATAGAGACGTTGCATGTTTATAAAGGGGCATATCCTAAAAATATTTTTTTGTATACAGGGTGTCCTAGAAAAAAAGTTATGATAAAGTTTTAAGTTTTTTTATATTGCACACCTTCCCCTATTTTTCTGCGCAGATTTGGATTTAGCATAAAATTCTGCATATAATACGCTATTTTTTAGGATATACACCATTATAAACCACCCAACATCAGTAAAACATTTTTTTTTCAAATCTTTGTCAACATTGATGACAATGGACTTCCTCACACCCTGTATATTGTAAGATAAGTGAATATCTATGTCGAATCGCAAATTTCAAAGTAGAAGACCAACATAATATCTATATGTTATTGACATAGAGTCAACAACGATGACTCTGGACTTTCTCGCACCAATGGGCCACCCTGTATATTGTAAGATAAACGAATATGGTACTGAAAAGGCTGTGGTCAACCCTATTCAATATCTAGCGCAATGTTGTTAAGTTAGAACTATTTACTTCCAGCCGGAAAGAGGATAATTTTCCGTTTCTATCGGTTTCCTGAAAGTTTTCTTATTACCGAACACGGTTCCTGAAAAATTCAGTTATAGCTGTCACCAAACTAACCAGCGCGAGAAGGCTGGTTTTTCTAGTTTTGTTTGTCAATCAATGTCATTTATGTGACAGAAATCAAGCAAATATTGGAAGTTCGAGTGAAATACTTATTTAATTTCTAAAATTTGTAATAATATTTTGTATTTACATCCAAAAGCAATGGAGGTAGGCAGTAAAGGTAAATAGATTTCATTAATTAAATAGAATGACTTTTTAGGAGCATTTAAACTTATCATGCAGCCATTGTTTCTTAAAGTCAGGAACATTTAAAGAAAACATGAAAAACAAGACAAGTAATCGTGAATGTTTTGTAAGGTATAAAAATATAAATATTGATTAGATTTGTTTATTCATTATTGATCTGTTTTAATATTGGACCTGCAAATCTTCACTTGAGCTGTCTAACGAGTTTAACAGTTTATTAATAAAGTACTTTTCAATATTAAACTCCATCGAAAAGAAGAAGCAAACGTAACAGCAGAGAATAGGTACATTAAAATTCATAAAAGATAAATTTTATTGAAATTTAGAAAACGTCAACATTTGACGTTTCCAATATTTTACCAAACCGTTCCGTATTAAACCGATGTTTTTCAGGAACCGCTATTTACCGTAGTTCACCGGTCTGGTTCGCCTGGTTTTGCAACGGAATACAGCCTTAATTAAAATAACAGATAACAACTGTAACGGTCATATATTGCCTCGCTGGACAAAGTATACGTGTACTAGACAGAGAAGATATTTGTAGATGGTAATGGCATGGCATTTGTCATGGCGGCAAATTAACAAAATCCTCTTTCAATATGCAGGAAGTGAGATTAGACGATAAAAAATCGAAGAGTCGAAGAGAAAAGGTTAAACATCTTACCTGGAATGACAAAGGCTGGACTAATAGCTAAAGTATGATTTAATGTACATCTGTAGCATGATTTATTTTCCAGATCATCCATATTTGATGACATATTGTAATATTTAAATACCTGAAAAAATATAATTCTAGTAATAATTGTTTGATTCTAAACATACGTACATGTAAATTAACTGACTTACATGACTTTTTCCTATGTTTGTACAGTTAGGGCCTGATTCTTCGATAAGGTCTCCTGTGAACCATGCAAGTGTTAGTGCTATTAAATCAGTCAGTATGTTATCTTGTATGTCAACTCCTATATAGAGATTAAGAATGTTCCCACCCATACCCACCCAACTTTTTTCTCTTTTTAATACATTTGATTTGCCATTAAGCTGCCTACATCACTGTCTTACACGTTAAAATCCTATACACAGAGTTGACCTGTCCCGATGTGTATATATATATATATATATATATATATATATATATAATTAAAACATCTACAATTCTTAAATCACTTACCCGATTTCGAATAGCTTTATGGACTTTGCAACTTGGATCTTCCAAGTAACAATGAAATAATTCATCAATCTAAAACAATTTGTTAAAAACAATATATACATATATAGTAATATTTTGGTGTATATTGGCGAATTAGTGTTTTAATTTTTATACTGTTAACAAAATATACTTTGTTACACTTAGTGTATTTAAGTAAAGTGCCACTTTAAGGCATACACAGGGCGAACCAGTTTTCCATACCAAGTTTCCTATTTGAGACCTTTATTCTAATATTTTTTATAAAACACCCAAGCAATGGTAGTGCATATTTTAAAATGTATTCATAAGTATCCAAATTACATAAGAAACATATGTCTTGAACTAACCTAACTTCATAAATATTTTTAGAATTTTGAATTCTAGAGACTAATTTTTACATTAATATTCAAAGATCCCTACCCTAGAGTCCCATCTCCGTTTGCCATGCATGAATACATGGATAGGATTATACTCCTTCCTTAATCATTTTATTCAAAGATAAAAACTAATAATTTGTCATAAAATATTGGTTAATCAATTAATTCGTTTAGAACACCCAACACCCTGTATAATACAGGTATATACCGAGTGCGTCTCAAAAGTGGCTCACCCCTATAACTTTTTTATTTTTTCAGATAAAAAAACGAGATTTGGTATGTTAGTCATGTTATGTATAATTTATGTTATGACATAAATTAGGATTGATTGACGTATTCAATGTTTTTGGTCACTTCCTGTTTCACCGGAAATGACTACAAACTTTTGATTTTCAAATGGAACCCTTGGTATTTTTTTTACTTTATTCGATAGAAAATGACATTCTGAATAGAATGACATATCATATGTCAGCTTTTGACATTCTCGCTTAATAAAAAATTGTATTTTAAAGTTCAATCTAGAGTGCCATTGCTATGTTAAAAACACTAATTCTTAATCATGGAGCTTTGGAAAAATAAATTTGGTCTTCTAATGTTTTTAGTGTCTTATCCTGACCAGATAGTGAAAATGGTCAAATCGTATTTTTAATCATATCTCAATTTTTTCAAATGGAATGAGGGTGACTCATTAGCATATTCGGAAAAAGCATTTTTTTACAAATAATTTGATACCACACACTTTGTATTTCGAGTCAAATTTTCATTACGAACCACAAGTTATAATTTCAAATAAACCATTTGGAAAATGTCAAAAGTTGACATATGACATGCCATTCTATTCAGAGTGTTATTTTCTATCGAATAAAGTAAAAAATACCGAGGGTGCCATTTAAAAATCAAAAGCTGTAGTCATTTCCGGTGAAACATGAAGTGACCAAAAAAAGTTGAATACATCAATCAATCCTGATTTATGTCATATACTAACATACCAAATCTCGTTTTTTTATCTGAAAAAATAAAAAAGTTATAGAGGTGAGCCACTTTTGAGACGCACCCGGTATAAATATAGGTATACAACAATTTAAAGTATTTTAGTACGTAAAAACAACATAGAATTTGAGACGATGACAGAAAAAAAGCAGATGACGTCCATACCAATCCATTTATTTCAGTAAAACAAGTTTCTAATATTTTTTAAGTTAACTATGGACAGTGGCCGATTCAAGGGGGAGGCGCCTTAGGCTCAGACGACTCTGGAGTATGTACTTTGAGTAAAGCTTTGTATCAATTTTTTAATAAAATAATTTGATTAGATCTTTTCAGTTTTATATAGTTTTTTTTTCACAATATTTTGAAGTAATCACTTGTCACTCAGATAATTTTCGCAAAGCAGAAATTAACCAATTATACCAACTTATTTCTTTGTAAAATAAAATAAACTACTTTGAAATTAAAATGACAGACACATCTATCATTGTCAAGGATTATGTTGTTGGACAGATTAAGTATATAAATTACTATTTTAAGGTAGGTATATGTATTTTGAATGGGAATTTTATGGAAAATCCAGTGACTAAAAAGATATATAGGATTCCATTTTAAATCAAAATTACAGAAAATATATTTAAAACCATTCTTATATCTTAAAAAACTTTGTTTATAATGTATGTTACCGTTAAAGTCTAAAATGAAGATAATATCAGTTAATGTTAACATTAACATGTTATTGTTTGAGTTTGGATTCGTTTTTGGTTGTTTTCATAATACTAGGCCATCCTGTATATGTTCAACTTTTACCTAAGACTTTTACTAATATTGTAATTTTTATTTTAACTAATAAGTAAGAATTTTTAACAAAATTTTTATTTATGTTAATAAAAAACGCTATTTTGAATGAAACACAAGTTTGAGATGTTTTAAATGTTTGTGATCTGTCATAAAAAAGAAACTTCAAAGACAAAATCAGAGAACAACTGCCCAAAGTATATTTTTTTTGTATTTACCATTTCTAAATTGGCTGTAGCAGTTCCATTATACTTAGTTCCAATAATTTCCTCATAAAGACTGTTGGCCAAAACTGTTACAATATTCCCAATGTTACCTTGTATACTGTCATTAGGTATACTGCTTCCATTTTGATACTTATACTGAATATTTTCAGAAGTATCATAAAATGAATTATAATAATGATTGATATATTCTGATTCATGGTTGGTTATCACCATACCTTGGATGGAATTATTGCCCCTGATAAACGTATGTAGAGAAGATGGAGGTAAACTATTTGGGACAAGATGCAAAAACAGGGAATCAGTACTAGAATTCATTATATTAAAAAACGTTGCTACCTGTAATGAGAAAAAGATATTGATTAATTGGTAAGCCATAATTTTTTATGAAGAACATACTGTTTTCTGATTGTCCTCCAAATAATGAACATACACATCTTTCCCATAAGACAGTTGTGATATTTCAATAAATAAACTAATATTTTCAGGATAAATTATAGGGAGGAATGTGTTATTTTTAGGCAAATCAACAGGAAATAAGCCAAGTTCCATATCATAAAGAAACCTTTGTGATCCAATGTAATCGTAAGTCTCACCAGTAAATAATATAAACAGTATATTCTTTTTTACTAAAAACCAAAAAAGTGTAAATTTTATGATATAAAAAAATTACTTTGTCAGTAATAGGTACTTTTATTATTCCATTTTCCAACCATTTCCTTCAATAACTTAGCAGTACTTAGTAAAGTTACCATACTAGTAATAGGGTTTTCTGCTCCTGTAGTTTTATCAAAGAGTGAAGTTGTATCAGACCTCGCAGCAATTATAATATATTCAAAATCATTTATTGGTTTCGTGTTTGGATCTGATCCTTCTACTAAAGGAAATAAAGATGCCCAAGTATTATAATCCCCTAATGGATCACATAGTTTTACTGGATTCATGTTTGTTACAATATTAGATCGTCTAAAAATAATAAGACTTAAACGATATTAATAATAATAAACTTAAATACATACCTTTGACATGTCGGTGTGTTTGTAGTGGCAAACATAAAGGACTCTAATTCTAAAGAACATAATGATCTATCTTTTTGTGTATCAAAAGAAAAATTATTAAATGTCTGGAAACATTCTTTTATTTTCTGTGTATCATTTTCATTCTCTACATAAAACAGAGGAAAAGGGATATCAACATAAAGCAAACCAGTACCTAAAATAAGAAAGTAGTAATAAATATTATTAATGCCTATTCTATAAAGGAACATACCCCATGGATTCCATCCATTATTTTTACAAGTTCCATCAACACTAAATCTATTATTAGGGCATTTTTCATCATGCGAAAAAAAGTTCACTGGTTCATTTGTGTATACTATTAATCCAGAAACTTTATCACTATAAGACAAGTTATGTACAATGTCAGGACTAAATATTTTTGTTGACAAAACAGGAATGTAAGGACCAGCAGTTCCTGAATTTAGAATAAACTGTAAGTCATCGATCGTTTCACAAAAATGAATTACACCAGTGGAGCCTCCTCGTTTTGCTACAAAAAATACATTTTGAGCGGTAATTAAACTGTATAATTATAATATTCTTATCGTGTATGTATTTAACTCACAAGAACATCCAATTTGATGTGTAGCATTCAAACGACGATAACATGGTACTGAGCTATCTATACCATCAAACATCATGTCTTTAATTCTGTCACCATTGCCTAAAAATTATAGGAAGATAATGGTATTAATTGTAAGAATGGGTTGAGAGGCATTGGTGAGAGTGACTGAGTCATTCAAATTATATTTGGTTTTACAATGTTTAAATATACAAACCTGTTATAATACTAAGACAAGCGTATAATAAAATAATGATAAGTTTTATATGATCCATATTCTCAGTTACATTTGTTTTTGTTTATGTGTAAAATATTTAAAAATTGTTATTTTGTACAATAAATAACCAAACAATTTCCCAATCTTCAATCTTCAACTTTCTGTCAGAATTGACATTTCTTATTTTTATTATAATTTTCTAAAATATAGACAACCCGAAATACTTCATAATTTTGAACAGCTTATCAGCTTATCAGTATGGAGGCTAAACTTATCAGGGAATAAATATGCCAATGTCCTCCAATGAAAATGAGAGTTGCTTAACTCTAATAATTCTATTTCTGAGCTAGCAAATGAGCTAAATGTTTTACCTAAACCGATATTTAGAAGCTAAAAATCTATCGATGAAAAATGCATGAAAATTTACTTCTTAGCACACAACCAGAGGATATTGGTATGCGCTAGCTCGTGCGTCAAGGCTCACCATGCCTTGTGTCCCAATGCCATGTCATGCCAAGCCCATGTCGTGTCAGGGTCGTGGTCTGTGACGGCCTTGAATTTTTATTCCCATCGCATGTAAAGAAATTTCACTTAAAAGACGCCTACATAAAAATGTGTGATTCGCCATCGAGACATTTATTGTTACTAAACTTTAGTTCTGAATGAGAATCAGATGACATCGAAGAGGGAATTTTACTGTATTTTATATTAAAAAATAAGGCACACGACGCGAGAAAAACTGTGTCTGAACTACAGCGCGGTGCGTGCTGGTCAGGTTACGAGATATAACATTTTGATGCCAGTTTGCGCTGTTACACATTTATTTCTGTAATCTACAAAAACTCGCGTCGCATCAACAAAATGTAGCGCTGCGCGACAAGTGACCTGTGACACAGTTTCCGCGCATCGGGTGCGTGTTGAGGCTAGGTTATCAATTATAGACCTTTTATAGACCATATGCTATATATAAAAAAAATGGGGAGAAAAAGACTAGTATGGTATATTATCATTTATTTTACAAATATCGCGAAGGCACAAATCTCAAAAATAACAATTTTAACAACGCAGTATAATATGAAGTTATTAGGAATTAACAAAAATTATAACCCATACATACAATACTTTAAAATAAAACCATAAAACAAAATAAAATTATTAAACTAATAATTATAATAGCATACACTCGTATTTTCATTCTTTTGTCTTTTACGATAATTAATAGTCTAAGAAACAAGCCTTTATTTCATTCAGCTATGATATTGTCCCAACGTTTTTAATCTAATGTTCAAGTTTTAAGCTATACGTGTCTGATGTTTGTCAGTGCGATAGTTCACCAATAAATGGAATCATGTTTATTATGTTATATTACGATTTAATATTGTTAAATTACTTTATGTACGCAATTAAATAGAGGAGTATGACATTTCGATGAATAAGATATGTATTTAAAAATGTTGAAAATCTTTCGTTCGTATGAACTATCGCATACTAACATCATGATATCGGAATCGCAATTATCTATTTATCGATTTCTAACGTTAACATAATTATTCTAACTGCTAACAATATCTAAAAATTACTTTTTTGATGGGCCTAAAAATTTAAATCAGTGATTATTTAATTTCACAAACGCTACAAAATTATTTGTAAGAGTGAGCATAATATTCTGACCGTATTAATCTAGTTTCCTTAAATAAAATTTGCAACTTTATATTAATTTTACTATATACATAATATATGACTTAAAACATGGACGTTTACAGCGATATACAGTTTAAAATATGAAAACTAACATCATAAAATGCATGTTTATAATTATTATATGTATTGTTAGGTATTTCAAGAAACAATTACGAACTATCTGAATAAAGCCATGTTTGTTTGTAAGATTCACCAAAAACTAATTAAAATAAAACAATTATTGACTGTATATATCCATAAATAAATTACTTAACAGTTTGGACCAGCCAATCATAAAAGGTATCGCAATCCTTTATATTACATTTTGTGATTAATGTACAATTCAAAATTTTAAATTTATTTTTAAGATTCGCCATACAATAATTAAAAATCAAAGAAAAACAAAATAAACGTACAATTAAAATTAACAATTCGAAGACTAATATTATTTATGAAATAATTGCGCTAAGAAAAAGGAGCGCACGCATTGACTCTTACAGGCTAAACTTATATTATTTGTGATCAGGGACTTTACGTATTAATTTAAAATAATTGTACACCAAAATTTCTGGTAGCTTTGTATAAATAAAGATATATGCTATTTTATGTTTAATAACAATAAGCAACCAGCAACTATAACAACATGTGTTGGTACGTTCGTTAAGTAAATATTGCTTAGACGTCCTTTTTTACATAATTTAACATTTAAAGGACTATACATAACTTAATATTAATTAGGATGGGAGGACAGCTTTAACAAAATACATTCAACAACAATAACTAGTTTTTCATTAACAAACTCTCATTGTTTCAAGAGAGATTGAGAAAAACTATGCTTGCATAAAGTTACCTGCTTATCAAACAATTATACCATTTCATTATGCTTTAATTGTTTGTAGGATGACATGACAAAATAATTTACGTGATTTTATGATATATCCAAGTAGAAAAGTAAAATTTTATACTTTACAGAAAACGAGTTGGCAACAACGCATATCTTTGTAAATAAATGTAATTACAAGACATTTAACGAATTAATATCTTAACAATAGATTTTCTCTTGATAATATAAGGTTGTTCATGTACCTTAAAATACTTATTTCATATTCAAATGATAACTGAGTTTAACTTACATAATGACATGGCGTGTGTATAGTAGGGACATTAAACAACCTTATAAATATAATTTTTAAAAATGTTCTTATTAACAGTGTGACAGGTAGGTATTTTATTGTAAGCTGCAACATACAGCTTTATAAGGTAATGAACCAGGTGGAGGCATACTACTCTCCCTTTGATTTTGTTCAGTTTGTAATTTTAAAAATGTCTCATTTTCCCCGTATTTACTATTATATATTTCGATTTCTTCGTCCCCATATTTTAATTTAGAGCTTTGACATTTTGAGCATTCTTGTCCTTCGAGACAGAGTTTAGTACACTGCGCTTCCCGGGATTCAGAAATTGTTTTTACACAGGTGTCAATTGTCGTCAATTCATCTTCCCAGTATTCTAAGAGATCGCCCTGATCTATACCTTGATTGTCGTTGGAAGAAAACAAAGTGATTTCTTCGGTTTCCGATTCATCAAGGTACTCGTTTAGACCGTTTTCGAGGTTAACGTTGTTGCCAAATTCTTTTTTAATAGTGGAAGGACTCTTCAGCAATTCAATTTCCGGTGTTGTTTCCCTAGTTTTGCTCATCCATTCTTTCACAGCCTGCGTGATGGGATAAAGCTTCTTAACTTCTTTGTCTTCATCGTGGAATGGTGGTGTCTCAGGATTGACGGGTGCCATTTCTTCGGCTTCCTGGACTTCCTGGATTTCTTCGAAATCCTCTAGAGCAGGTCCAGCGCCCGAATCGGCAGAGCCTGGATCAAAAGAAGTATTTTTATTATCTTTATCATCATCTCCTACTCTAATATCTGAGATATCTGGCTCTACACTTACCATATTGGGTTTGAGAAACTGCCTTGTGCTCTGGAATATGCGATTAAAATCTGGCGCCTTCATGAAACCATTTCCTGCCGATATATTTTCCTTTGAAGGGGAAACAACGGAATCAAGAACTTTGAAAAATCCATCAGCCTCAGTTTCGACATTGATCGACTTCATTTTTTCTTGAAGGGAACTATACATACCCTTCTGAATTAGTTTGTCCAATTCCAGTGAAATTTCGTCGTTTGTTTTTTCCACGATTTCAGTAAGTACGCTGTTTTCTAGAAGGAAATCATAAGAATCTTCTGTATTATTCAGTGTTGAATTGGACGAGTTAACTTGTTTGATTTGTTTCTTCTTTTTCTTTTTAGATTTTTTCTCGGTCGGTTCAATTGGTTCAGTTGTAGGTTCGGCTGAAGTAGCAACAATATTACTAATATTTGTTGTTGAAGTCGATTTATGCTCTTCAATTTTTTTAACTACTTTCTTAACAGGAGTTTTTATTTCTTCAACTGTCATACTGAGATCAATATCAGTGATAATGACTTTCTTTGTTAAAGGTTTTTGCGATCCTTTTTTAGGTTTCTTTTGTTTGAAAGCATTATCTTTAGTATCAGGCTCCTTAGAAGAATCTAATCTCTCATCTTCCTCATCTTTTGCAGTCGTAATATCAACATTTAAGTTTTCATTAGAGGTTTCAGAAACAGGCAGTGCCTGTATCGGCTGATCGCAATGTTTTTCTTCTTCTTTAGCAATTAATCGTTTCTCAATATCACTTACTTCTGGAATATTATTAAGCGTTTCTTGACTTTTACATTCTAAGGATTGGGTTTGTGCTATATTTGTCAAAATATGATCTAGATTTTTATTACCGTCTTGTTTCGCTTCTTGGGTTTCTTGTTTTGAAGGAGGAATAACGTCAATAAGCTCATTAATGTCATATTTTTCGTACAAATCGTTTGTATTGTTTTCCAAATTTTCGGGCATAACTTCACCATCCGATTCAAATCCATTTTCTTCAACATTCTTATTCTTCTTTTTCTTTCGATTGGAGACTGATATCCACTGGTTTGGTTTAGGTTTGCTTTGTTTTGTTGTTTCTGAATCTATAGTATCTGCCTGTTTTACACTTTCAGTTAATGTGGATGATTTCTTAGGTAAAACCGGAGATAAGATAGGAACTTGTTCTTTTTTCAACATCTCTGAGTAGTTTTTGATAGAAGAAACGGAATCTCCATTGGTGTATTTTTTTTCGGTACTATTATTTAAGTGTTTATTGTATTGTGTATTATGTTGTACGTTTGCTTGGCGTCTTGGACTTGAAAAGCCATTTTGATAATTGTTTTGGTGTCCATTCGTTTTCCAGTTCCTTTTAAATCGTTCGGGACTATTTCTTACAACATGAGAATGTTCTTCAGCTTTATTAATGTATTTTGATTTATTTGTAAAATACTTGTCAGGTGTTTCTGTACTGACTTTTGTATGAGGCACAGTGTTATTATTAACTGGTATTGATTCTCCTTCCTGATTTAATAAATTATTTGCTTTAGTAATGGGTAGGGCTGAACTGTTTCGTTCAGGAGAATGTCTTGGCTGATTTGGAGTTCCAGGATTGGAAGGACTTGAGTCAATACTTTGTTTCTGAACAAAATGTCCAGTGGTCCTAGGATTGTTTCTATATCTGAAGTAATTCCTTTTTGAGGAAGATTTATTATTAAATTTAAATGAATCTTTTGTATTGCTTCCGTTAGATAAGGCTTGCGAAACAGCAGTTTCTTTAATATTGTTTTCTCTTTCTTGTAGTTTGGCAGCTTCTTCTAGTTTGGAAACCACAGTGGCAATATCTAAAGTTTTATTGTGCGTTAATGGTCGTGTCTCCTCTATTACGGGAGTATGAGAGGGAGTGGCAGTTCCTTCTTTCTCTTCACTTGGACATTGATTTTCGTTTTGATCGACAATTTCTTCGATTTTTGTGTCGTGAACAACTGGAGGTGCAAAATTGACAAAACCGGGAACAGGTGGGAATATTTTTTGTCCGGGATGATGAGGAATAAAGTTAATAGGAAATCCGGGTGGAATAAATGCAGCGTGATGATTGAAGTTTGGACCTCCAAAGTCATTAATAGATACTAATGGTATTGGTACGAAGTTCGGTGGAAGCATTTTAATATGCGGTGAAGCTCCCATGGGTTGATAAATACGAGGTACAAATTCTTCCGCGTCTGGTTTTAGAACTGAATGTTTCGGAGATTGTGACGTCAGCTGAGCCTGTTGAGTGTCGTCAATTTCGGTATATTCAGTCTTTGTATCGGCACAACCATTAGTAAGAGAATTATCACAAGGGGTAGTATCGGTAACAGTCTTTGATTCCTCTTCGTTTTCAGCGTTTTCGGATTTGTCTTGAGGATCTTCTTGACTAATCTGAGGCTGTTCTGTCGTAGATGTTTCTGATTTAGTGATGGCAGATTCACTAGGCGACTCTGCAGCGGGCACTATGCATGGTTTTTGGCTGACATCTTCATCAGAGGAATTGCCATCCGTGTTCTCCGAAGATTCCTGAAGGACCGTTTTTGAGGATTTTCTTTCGCGTCGTTTCTTTAATTTTTTAACTGGTTCAGTGCCAGAATGGCTTCGGTCTAAACCTGAAAAAGAAAAATAGGATTTAAAAATTGATATACTTATATTTACCACAGTCTTGGCTATGGAAAAGTGACTTGCAAGGTAAAGTGAGTTTTGATGATAGATATATTGAATCTTTCAAGCATGCAGGATATTCGGCGCCGGGCTGGCTAACTGGAATTTAAATTTCCCGCTAGGGATTCAGGTGGTAGCTCTGCTGTAAAGAATGTCAAGTTGCCGCATTTATTTATTTATTTCCTTTGTTTATTTCCTGACATTGTCATTCATTTTGACACTTTAGTTTTGTATTACGAGCATAGATGGGGATTACAGGCATTCAAATTTACAGTTCAAATTTAGATTTGATTTGAATGCCCCTCAAAATTTTGGATCGCAAAATTGTTTTGGGTCGCGACCGTTGTACGCGATCTGGCGCTGCTAAGAACAACCGCAAACAAAAACAGAAGTAATTTTCACTTGTCCATATCAATAGTAGATTATTTTCTTTTATCTATGTCCATATCTCATTTCTCTTGCCAAAGTCAGAATCTTCAAAAATTATAAAATCTTCCAAAATATAAACCGCTCTCATTGAAAAAATTCCGAAAAGTGTTTAAATCGTCCATTTTCAAAGTAATTATTGCTATATTGTGAGTTTAATTTTAGTTTTATTTACTCAAATCCGTGATAATTGTAAAAAAGTGGCATCAAAAACTTAAAAAGCTGTGCTGTGAACTGTGAACTGCAAAATCGTGGATCGTGGTATAACGTTGGTTTCTAATATTTCATAGGTATTTCATACATGTCCTTATATAAAATAAAGTTTCTTGTATGCAACACACTGTATTTTATTTATAAAATTAAAGGAAAATAATAATAAATTTGAATAAACAATATTTGGCGATATAATTCCGGAAAAAAAGCCGGACCGCTCCGAATTTTTCAAAAGCTTTGGGTCGCGACCCTTGCAAGAATAGCGCCAAATAGTGTTTACATTGTCCTTATGGGCACTTTCCAATCTAAACTTGTTTCATTTATCTATGATTGCGAGTTTTTGGTTTAAATATAAATAGTGTTGTGGTACTTTAAGCTTAAAAATTTTTACGAGTAGACCTTGCAGTCGAACATTGTTTTTTTTAGAATCTCTTTTAGTGCGAAGATTATGTATGTTCAAGTCTATGGTTCAAGTTTACCAAATAGCCTTAAATCTCATCGCAACTTTATTAGAATATTTTGAACGGGAAAGCGGTAGTAATGGCCTTTAAATGCTGTTAAGGAGGTGAGTTTTCTTTATGTAAATAATAATATAATTTTTATATATTTACAATTAATTTATTTTTGTTTCCTAAAATATTTTGATTAAAAGATAATATATAAAAGTGGACCACGCTGTGCCGGTCAAGCTTAATCACGTGACTAAAAGTTTATTTGGTATGAACTTTAGGTACATTTTCTTTTAGTTAAAGAAATCTATCTTTTTTAGTATAGTGAGTTAGCCCTTCCATTTTATCTTGCTACTTTGAAATACAGTTCTACATTTGGAACTGAAACTCAAAACACGTGTACAATGTCCACGGAATATTAGGACACCCTGTATAATAGAAAATAAAGATAAATACGACTATGTACGTTCCATTAAAATTACTTATCTAAATCTAAATAGGTTATAAGTAATAAAAACCTATAGTAATAAATAAAAAAAATAGCATGCATCGAGATGAAAAACATGAATTTAATGGGCAGATTACAATAACAATTTAGATATTTGATAAATCAATATTAAGGTCATTGGTCATTTTTTTGGAACAGCTGGGCTTTTTTATAAGATTTTTAATTGTTATTTAATTATATATTTATTTTGTTGTGGTGTATTAACGCGTGACGTCTAAAATATTATGATATATTTATTCCGATTTTGGTAGGAATATAGGAACGTTTATTATATTTAAAATTGTCCTTACAGTACAGTTCGTCTGCTGGATCTGTGTCTATGAAAGGAATGCGGACAAAAAACATTTAAATAAACAACAATATATTTTATACGTCGACTTGACGAGTACGTCACCGTAAATCGCTCCGCCCACTCATTTTATTGGCTACTTGCAAATTTGTCGAATTTTTATTGATGGGACGCGTCGTCTAATTTTTTACGAAAAACATGGAGAGAATATCGTTTCCCCTCTCACGGATATCCCGTAGCTACAGAACGGACAGACGTACTGTAGCTTGTCGTCTGTTGATACAACAACTTATTCATAACCAGCCTGTCAACTTACGATCATTTGCATAAAAATGTGCATACCTATTTAGCTATCGTCTGTCTTACTCAAGGTCTTACTAAACTTAACTAGCGAAAGTGGTCCGCTGGTACTAAATGAGCTGTATAATTGTAATGCGTGTCATTAGTATTTTACAAGTACACAAGAATTACATCAGTTCAGATCACTTATAACCATAGAATGAAATAATCTTTATTATCAACGACGCATTTTATGAAAACGTTTAATACAGGGTGACGCACCTCATTCGCCTCGGTTGATTATATGAAGACGGAAAGATGTAGAAACAAAATATTTTATGGGTTTATGTGGGGAGGCAATTTGCACAATTTAAAATTATTTTGAAATATAAGGGTGTTGTAGAACTAAGAACCATATCAAAGTTATATTTTTTCTTACGGAACACCCGGTATTTTATTTTATTTTTGGATTCTTGGGCCCAAACAAGGTATTTATTATAAAGGTTAAATATGTTTAAAATCTTTGGCTTTTGAGATATTTAAAGATATTTAAATATGAATGCTACAATAGAAAATATTATCAACACCCTGTACATTACTTTTCAGAATTAATTCTTGTGCTGAGTTTAAAGGTAGAGAAATAAACTTTACTGAAAAAATGTATTGCTTCCTTAAATTTATACAGAGGTGCCAAAAATTATATAGCATGCAAATTTAAATATCTTTAAATATATCAAAAAACCAAAGCTTGTAAACATATTTAACCCTTATAATAAATGTCTTATTTTGAGTCCAAGAATCCAAATATGAAATAAAAAACCGGGTGTTCCATAAGAAAAAAATATAATTTTGGTGTGGATCTTAGGTCTGGCATACCTGTACATTTCAAAATAATTTTAAATTATGCACATTGCCTTCCCACATAAACCCATAAAATATTTTGCTTCTACATCTTTGGCTTTTCGTATAAACAACCGAAGCGAATGAAGTGCGCCACCCTGTATATTGTTACGTTGTTACCTAAGGTTGTTACTGAGTTCCTCGTGGATAATTTAAAGTGCGAGTGAGATAGTCAGCTGTTCTCGAAGCTTTCGATTGTTCTCGTGCCTCCCTTTTACGACCTTCACGACCGTTAGTCAACTGGGCTGGTTTGTGACAATATTGTCAATTCTTACAGTCCTTTGTAATAATACAGTCTATTTATGATCAGCAGACCGACTTACAATTTTTATTTTTTTTTAATTTTTATTCTAGCATAATTCGATGCTGGAACCGACCAGCGTAGAACTATACCGGGTGCGTCTCAAAAGTGGCTCACTCCTATAACTTTTTTATTTTTTCAGATAAAAAAACGAGATTTGGTATGTTAGTATATGACATAAATTAGGATTGATTGGCGTATTCAATTGTTTTCGGTCACTTCCTGTTTCACCGGAAATTACTACTTATTCGATAGAAAATGACATTCTGAATCGAATGACATATCTTATGTCAACTTTTGACATATTCGCTCAAAAACAAATTTTATTTTAAATCTCAATCTAGATTGCCATGGCTGTGTTAAAAATACAAACTTTTAATCAAGGTGCCTTGGAAAAATAGATTTGATCGTCTAATGTTTTTAGTGTCTTGTCCTGACCGGTTAAAAGATGCCCAAATCGTATTTTTAATTTCTCAATTTTTTAATTTCTCATTTTTAATATTTCAATTTTTTCAAATGGAAAGAGGGTGGCTCATTAGCATATTTGGAAAAAGTATTTTTTTACGAATAATTTGATATCACACAGTTGGTATTTCAAGTTAAATTGTCGTTATGAACCGCAGGTTATAATTTCAAATAAACCATATGCGAAAATGTCAAAAGTTGACATATGATATGTCATTCTATTCAGAGTGTCATTTTGTGTCTAATAAAGTAAAAAAATACCGAGGGTGCCAAAAATCAAAAGTTGTAGTCATTTCCGGTGCAACCGGAAGTGACCGAAAACAATTGAATATGTCAATCAATCGTAATTTATATAATATACTAAGACACCAAATCTCGTTGTTTTACCTGAAAAAATAAAAATGTTATAGGGGTGAGCCACTTTTGAGACGCACCCGGTATAGACGACTAAATCCAAGAATTTTAGAAAAGCACTATAAAGACGGACACTAGGAATGCTTGACGGACACTAGGAATGACGACAATAGAGTCAGAGGGAATGCCTTACTTAACGTTATAGCACAGATTAGGTATACTATATGTATACAGATAAAAATCTTGTCCCTAATTCATGGTACGAAAATTGTTTTTTATGACGATGAGCAAACGAGTAAAATTTCCTGTGCGCAAAAATAAACTCGCGTTTAAACAGAGTAATAACCGAGCCGGTCAAGCGTTGTGCACAATTTTAGAGGCCATAAGTGGGCGTGCTATATGCGCAAACTAGTAACCTAACTAGTGCGCGACTCCGAAAATTGGAACCACGAAAAATAATGGTTTTCACGATAAGTTTATAATCTGTATAATCTGTGGTTATAGTGAATCTATACTTTTACCAAGGAAATTACAGTCATCTATAATTAATACTTTTGTTATATGACAATGCACACTGAGTACCCCCATTCAAAGACACATGACGTTTGTTTATCTTAGCGCGGAATCGTATCAGAACAATGTGATCAAATCTTTAACGACTCAAAACTATTAGAGTCTTGGTGGTATGCCAAATATTTGAAAATATACGTATAAAAAGTGATTTGTCACGTGCTGCTTAAATATATAATGGAAGAAAAAATCGA